CACCCATCATGTCTACACAAAGTGTCCGGTGACTAAGATTCTTTGGCAACTTTGCCGTCCACGCTCGCTACCAAGGAAACTCCGACTCTTTATTTGCAATTCTTCACTTCAACCTGTTCAATTGATGCAGTTAAATCGGTACCTTGTTCTTCTTTACAAGTTCCAAAAATTTCGACGTGCAGGGGGTCGGAACGTTGAGCTCACGGTCCACTTCATTAGAAAATGGGTATCATACGCGTCGAAGAGTCCTAACAACTATTCCTACAAACTTAGTCTTTAGGATGCTCCTGAAATAAGGTTTTAGGCAATGTTGCTTTTTGCCTTTATAGTATATTGTTTTCCGTTTGTTATATTTCTATATGTTAGTATGTATAAGAACTCAATAAACAGATTGTATATGTAAAAAAAAAAAGGAGATATAGCTCCAACTCAAATCCAGGTTATGACAAGTCCAGACAAAATCTACTTTCTTCCTTGTTGCTTTCTTTGGTTCTGTTGAGAAGGAGCTGTCCAAGGTATATATAAACATTTGTTTGTGTCGTTTTTACTTCTAAATCGTATCATACATCTTCCCCTCTCTCTTTCCTCTAAATTAGACAAAAAAATTGTTCTCAGTCTTAGTTAGAACGGTAGGATTCTTGAAAACTGATGATTGTAAATGAAGACCTCTCTAAATTGCTATGCCACTGTAGCATAAGTGTTCTTTCAGGGATTATTTTTAGGTGTGGTTTTTTTCTATTCACAATTTTGATTTTTTTGTTGAAGAATTGCAAAATTTGTTGCAATTTGACCACAAGCAAAAAAACATGTAAGACCCACTGAAACAAAATTTAAAAATTCCATTTGTGTTCGCTTCTCTCTCTTCTTCTTCTTGTCTCTTTAATTACTACAATCATTCCCATATCAATCAACTACAACACAATAGTATGTATATTTTCATTCAATCAAGTTCTATAGGAGATTGCTGGTATCTTGTTGAAGATATTCTGTTTGAAAAGTTGAAGATGTTCTGAGGACACAATTGGTACACAATAAACTATATGACTTTTCATTCTTGAGATAGAACAGATACTTGGTGATCATGCTAACATAAGGCAAAGAGAGCTAGCCTGAAGCTAGGAAGGGAGGCCACTTACGAAGCCAAAATATATCCCTTCAGATGGGTATCTTCAATGTTGAAAAAGGAAAGTGACAACGTTTCAATTTTGACTTGTTGGTATCTGTCTAAGTGTTGGTTAATACCTGGTCAATATCATTGCAAATACTGATGTCTGATGACACATGATATTTCTTTGATTTGGCTGGGGGGTTAAGGAAGTGACATAGGTACAAGGTGGCTGACTACCATCATACCATGTACATGACTTCATTTTGTGAAAAGAGGGGTCTAACAAGACTCAGTTATCCTTTTCGGCAATTTAGCATGTTGAGTTGTTTTCAATGCTGAGAATCAATTGTAACAACTTTTGCCTCTTACAAAATTGAAACTCTCCATTTCCACCCGTCAAAATCTTACAATCCTGCATATAAGCATTTTTCCCTTCAACTCGCCGTGGGTTAGCTTAGAGTAGCTCAAATCAGTATCAATTTGTAGCCAACAGACTTAGCAATGATTTCATATAGTTAGATCGGTAATAGGAATAAAATTGGTTGTGTAACAAGCAAAATTGGGAATGATCGTGGTTGCTATATATTACTAAAAAATAGGGGTCGACAGTCACCACGTAAACAGCGGGGGTTCTATTAAGAGCCCGTTTAACCAATTGCCCTTGGAAGTTCTCTTTGTCTGTGCTGATTTGGCTGCAGAGAAAGTTGAAAGCTGCCTTGTGACTTCTTGTCAAACTTACAGGTATCTTCCTTGGTTATGGTATGGATTATAATTCTTTCCTCTATATCCACCACGGTAGCCTCTAAAATCTCCACGAAAACCTCCATATCCACCTCTATTGCCTCTATATCCACCTCTGAATCCACCTCTAAATCCTCTATAGTTTCCTCTCCCTCTTCCTCTAAAGCCTCCACGTTGCCAATGATTATATTCGTATTTATTTCCTGGTTCGTAAGCATATTCATATCCCTGCTCATCCCCATTTACATTCCCATTTTCAGTCCTTGACGAATCAACGAAGTTCTGTGGATGTGCTAATCGCTCCTTGTGATGATAATTTATATATTTCCAAACTATATTTAAATTTAAATATTCTCCAAACGGTGTCGGGATTTGTCTTGTGGTAAGCTTTTGGCTCTCGAGGTTACGACAAATAAGATTACAAAATTCCTCAATGAATAGCGCAGATCTCATTGGTGTACTGAATATACACTTTATCACCTTATGGGATAGCTTTCTCGAGTCAAAAGAATCTGGATCACATATAGCTTTTTCTATCCCTGGATATAGCTCAAATAAGTGTTGAAAGAACAGTAACCATTCAGTAAAAGTTTCCGGCGATGTTAGATCTAAAGTCGGGAGTTTTTTTAACCGTTCTTCGATGGTTTTTTCATAATAATAATTCGTAACGTAGGAATATGTCAGTTGAAATGAATCAAAGTCTACAATATATTTCTCAAACGGGTATTTCGTGAATATATACGACCTCTGACCAAATTCGACGGGGGATCTGTTACCATCTTCATCTTTGATGAAATCGTCATTATACCAATTGAGAACTTCCGGTTCGTATGTATCTGAGTGTTTTCGAGTATTTGCAGTATTGTTGACACCTTGAACTTGAGTGGAGAGGGTCTCAAAGCGGCCCAGGGGTTTAAAAGGGGGAACCTGACTGATACTAGTTATCGCACTTCCAAACATTTCAAGGATTTGTTATACTATATTCTATCTTTATCTAGTGGTAATCAATGACTGGGTATTATCTCTTTCATTTCACTGAAGTGGTTCTAAATCTTGAATTTAATTTAATGACCTATTGAGATCGAAAAAAAATGTGAAAGTGCGTGTTGTCGTATATTCTCAGATATGTCGCGAAAAGCGATTATTCCGACACCAGTAGTCAACCGGCGATTTAACGAAGGATTGCGAGCAAAAGAGGTAGAATGCAATCATTCCCTTCACGATAATACTCACGCCATGGTAAGAAACAAGAAAGAGTAATTCTACTGCGAAGGAAGTAATCATCAAGTTTCCTTAAGGGATAGTTGGAGCCTTCCACCTCCATAACCAATTTCCGACATTCATTGTCAATTTCCAGAACTATTACAATACCTTCGAAAGCATTGGCTGCTGGCGTTGGTGATTACAAAGCCCTGAATGGAAATGGACAGAAATAATAGAAGGAAAAGAAGTTTCGATGAGCTCTAATGTTTCTACGTGAGAGAAATACATATACTTGAAAATATGTAGGTATTCCGACAAATTGGTCAAGACTAATGATATGTTAGTAACAAGTTTCAATAGTATAGTATCAAAATGAAGAAATCAGGTTAAACTCCATCAGAAATACTTTAAAGTCAGTGTTAAAAAGCTCTGAAATTATTTTTGTTCCACATGGTTATTCAGTTGAAGAAATTCATTGTAGTTGTGTATAATTATTCATCATATTAAGTAAATCTGGATAGGTTGGTCCCTTTTCTATGGCTTGATTGATTAAGGTCATAAATAAACATACATTTTGTATTATAATATAAACTATTGAACTTTTGGTAATGAAAGAAGATGAAAGAATAGAAAAATTTTCAGGAGAATCTTTTTTTTTTCTGTCTGCTTTTATTTATGCAAGGCGCTACCCAGAAGAAAAGTTTCCCTGTTACCCGGAAATTAATGCGGCTTCTAGGTTTATTCTAGTTGCATAGGGCTTCTGCCAGGCATCCTTCTTGCTACAACTTGGCACATGTGGAAGTCATAGGTTCACTTACGAGCAATGCTAATTGGAAACTGACAAATTTCTAAGTCTATTACTGTTATAAACTTGCAATATACATCAAGTGTTCTATAATTCTATCATAAAAACATTTTGGAAAGATCATCCACACGTTCCCTAATTATATCATTTGCTTCGATTCCTAATAAGATCTCTCCATTTGAAATTGATTTCTGGACAATTTCATACATTAAATCATCATTTAGCCATCCATTATTCTTTCCAAATGCACACCTTACCTCGGCAATAACTCGAAAATCCAGTACTACCTTATTGCTAAACACCTCAAGGTCCTCTCTATCCAATTGCGATGCAGCTTTTGAAAGGCACCGTCCAAATTGGTCTGAGCTTAAGTATCTTTCAATCTTCTCTTCTGAATATAACGATGATACTCCTTTCTTCTTGTTGGTTGCCGCCTTCAATTGATCTTGATCAATTGTATTTCTCAATAACGTGTTCAAAATCAACTTCGAAAAAGCTGGATCACTAATGGACTTGATGAATGTGGGGAAATAATTAATCATATATCCACAGTCCACAACCGTATTAAATCCGCATACTTGTGATAAGCATCTGGTAGACATTTGGCGAATTTCGTAGTTTTCGTCAATTAAACCTCTTTCGAAGCTTAACATTAGACAACTGAAATAAGCATGTCCTTTGCGGGTTGTCGAATTTGTCATGTATGAGGTAATTGCACGATGGGCACTTTGTCGACTGTCAAGTGATTGAGACGGTTCGGATAATATATCGCACCATGATAGGAATTTTTCAGATATTTCACCATATTCATCGATAATTGGGAATTTGGCAAGGCATTCGAGTGCAATGAGTTTGACATTAAGATTTGAGGAGTCTAAAAAGTTAATTAGATGCTTAGTTATGCTATTGGCATAGGATGGAATATGGATTTCCAACAATAATGAATATACTTTTAGTGCCCGTGTCAAGGCATAATGGAAGTCTTGAGTCTCGATATATTTCCAGATCAAATCAGCAATCCCGTGAGAATCAATCCTTCGGTATTCTCTTGATATATATTCAAGGATATCCATTTGAACTGTCAAGAATTTGGAACTTAAAATCATTTCCACATGATCCAAAATGTATCTCACATTATCCAAACTGTGCAGGAAAACAAAACTTGAAAGAGTCGACAAATACAATTGCTTCCCACCGTCAAGTCTCCGACCCTGCTCTTTGAGAACCTTTTCAAATTCGTTCTTCAACATATCCAAAGCTTGCTCACTTATTACGAGTTCAATATTGGCAAGAACATTGATATATGCATTCTTGATAAAATATGATAACCCATCAGTGACAAATACTTCAATATTAGAAAGAAGAAACTCAGCAGTAATTTGATCAACCTTGGCCGATCCGATATGTGCGCATAATAATACACCATGGAGGTTATTTAAGTCAAGTTTTTCCTGTAATTGATATTGAATGAATTGGTTGAACTCGCGCTGAGATAATATTGCAGTCATTGTGCGGGCAGCCATTTCTCGAATCTTCCACTCCTTACGTCCGAGATAGACTTGTACTTGTGTAGCAAACTCGGAGGATACAGCAGACGCTTGGTGCTCTAATTGGGAAAGCATAATTAAAATCGGAAAAACTACCTGATCATCACTAGTAGGAATCTGTACATTTCCAGCCGATTTCAATAAATAGTCCAAAAATGCAGTCTTCAATTTGGGGAATCTTGAAAAGAAAAGCTTTGATGATGTCTTTCTAGTTGCCGCCTCACCAGCACCCAAGGATCTCTGCTTTATACTTCCAAATAACATCACGGCACAATTTCGAATAGACCAATTTTCAGAACAGAAATTTTCTAGGGCAAGCATCATTGCTTCTTCGATATATCTAACACTATCATTAGCAAGTGAACCCTCTATGAATATTTGTTTGAGCGTGTTATAGGCATGGACTTGGGGTATATCTCGTTTCGTCTCCGATTTGACATCATATGGCAATTTGGCAATTCTCAATAATTCCAAAGTTGAATATTTGAATAGTTCGTCGGAATTAACTGATGATGACTTGGCACCTACCAAGACTCCGGCAATTAAGTATGGAATCCCACCTGATCTTCTTGATATTAATTGAGTTTTTGATTCGATTAGTTGGATATTGTCCTGGATCCATTGTTTCGGATAATGGGAGAGCTTTTCCATATTGAAGCACAATTTGCATATCTTGATGAACGATGGATATATGGATGAGAATGCTCCCCTATGCTTGATAGAACTTAATTGGTCCATTACTAGCTTGGTGCAATCAAGGATTGTTTCAGGATTGATTTGATTGTGATATTTCTCGAGCATGGATATCATTAATTCATTGGAGGTCTTGGCAACTTTCCAAGAGTAGTGGAGTTTGATTGTGTTATCGTTAACATCACTATAACCTTCATCATCGTCGTCTGAAATGTCTTCGTCTTCTTCAGTTGTAGTAACTTCTCTGGATAGGATGGATTTCTGCTGTTTCCAAATTTTGAATATTTGTTCAATTAGCTTTTGGAGTGTACATTGTTTTATGTCGACTTTCTCAACAATTAGATTCAATGCACTAAAGTACCCGTGAAGATATACTTCATTCTCGACAATCTTTTCCAATAGCTGTGACTCGAGCTTATCTAATCTTTCTAATTGATTGCATTTGAAATAAGCAATCGCCAAAAATTGGAACGCTTTTGCGGCTCCTTCACTCACACGTCCAGTTAGTTCCGTAACTATCCCTTCTGAATATTCAAATAATCCATTTTCTTCAACTTCTAAAAATGTCTCTAAGTCTTCGGCGGGACACTTCTCTAATAATTCCAAACTTGAATTTCGAATGGCTTTATAATCGGAAAATAAGTGTTTTGCTAACAGCTTGATTGTTCTCTGATTGAAAATATTAACTGAAAGTTTCTCTTGAATGTTGCTTAGGATAGTAATCACACCTATTGTTTGGGGAAATGTGCTCCCAGGGTCTAGGTACTCTAGTAAAAGATTTAATAACCACAGCAAAAACTCTCTGCTATTTTCAGAGTCTTCTTCTGTAAATTTTCCCAGTAAGCAATCACTGAATCGTCCAGAAATGAATTGATAAAAGATACTTATGAATATATCTTGTTTTGTAGAATCATTCAAATGGATATCTAAAATATGATTTTCTTGAATTATCTCATAGGCATGCTTCGGAATAGGTTTCCGTTTGAGTTGTTTGCTAGTGGTTCCAAGAAGTAATTGCAATGAATTCAATCGTATTTCATGATCGCTATTAACTAAGCAATTGATAAGCGTGTGTGAATCAAGGAGGGTATCTAAACTATCTATCAATTCTGATTTTTGACCCATGTTCAATAGTGGAATTAAGATATCTAAGTTAGCGCTATATTCAGCGACTAGTAATTCAAAGCATTTTGGATTTATCTTGAGTAAATTTGGTAGTAAGTAGGTGATAACATTCGCTCTTAATTTCACATTGGATAGTCCCGATTTAATTACCTCTTTCCAAGTGGTATACCACTGTTTATGGTTAGCGGTATTATTACCGTAAGCAATGATTAATGTTTTACTTATACAGTTTGATAATTGGTCATCGAATAATTTAATTGAGTTTTCGGGATATTCAGGAAATGTCCGAAGAAAATATGTCTTATCGTCGACTTTCTTTAGTAATACTTCCAACAAAAGGTATAAACTCTTCGTTAAGCTCTGTTTCATCACTTTGTCAATCCATTGAGTTATTTGCACCCCTTCAAAATTTAGCAACTTCTGGATTAAAGAATTTAATGAATTTTGCAACGGTGGGAACGGATGATTTATCAACTGGAGGATATAATCAAATATTGATTCACTTTCTTTTAATGATTCATGGGATATTCTATATCTTAATAAACAAATAGATAAGGTATCATTGAATAATACCACGTATTTATCATCACTTATTCCTTTTGATGTAATGGTTGCCAATTTAGATATCAATTGGGTATAGATTTGCTCAACTTCTGTTTGGTTTGGTTGTTTTTCTCGTATCAAATCTTGTTTGATTGTCGCAAGATCCTCTTGGGATATAGTCATCATATTATAGTTCGTGTAAAAGTATCTAGGGTATTTCAATCGTTCAGTCTAATTCCATTTCTTGGGTTATTTTTAATAACAAATTGCAAATAAAAAGACGTATCAAAACGATCCAAAGTTTGGTTGTAATGACGTTCAAAATGTATCTATATTCTAAAAGTATCTAAAGAAATACCCAGATAAATCGTTCTAAGATCCAGTAGTATCCTCTGTGTTCAGTAAATGGTCAAATAGAAAGAGATGAGGATCAAGTCCATCAAGAGGAGATGCTACATGCAGGATTGAAAAATCTGAAAATTTGTAGGAGCCATTTGTCGCAAATTGCTAATGGTGTCGCGTATGTCAAGTTTTGCGACTTGTTTCCGTCATTCTCATCATCTGACACCAAAGTCTCCTAGAGGTCCCACAAAGTACGTCATATACATCCAATTCCTGAATATTTCTTCTCTACCAATACTCATATTCCAGCGTATAAACATTATAACACCTTAGTTCACAGGGATAGTTCTAGATTGATGGTGTGCCTGCTCCCATTAATTCCTCAAACCAGCCTAACAAACGAAGTCAGGGTAAGAAAAAAAGAAACAAAGATTCTAATAATAAATTTTTAATTTCGAGGGTTTTTCGTTCTAGAAAGTTGTTTACATCATTTTCACCATTGCACCCTATCCCATTACTGAAGACTTTACTTCCCTTTACTACTATTTGTCATACATCCAAACATCATGCATAGCAAACCTACAGCAGAACAGCAGAAATCATACCCATGGTTATACAGAATGTATTTCCATCACTTTCCATTCACCATGTTAACCAAAACTGAATCTATGTTTCTTCACACTTTTCTCCTATTATTCACGATATTCATTATTTATGGAATCTATTACTATTTGCCTTCCACCATGATGTTCTCGTTGTCTAGAGCTTACTATTATTTATTTGGTGTGAGTGCCATCAATTCATTTGAACCGGATCTTTAGGGGGTTGACTGCAAACTATGTGAGACAAAGACTTCGCCGCCTTGTCGATTCATTAGAAGTCGATCATGTATATTATGCTTTTGAGGGAGTTCTATTAGATAATAGAGATAATAGAGATCGAAGGAATGAGGGTACGATTCCTTAACAATTTTTCAATTCGCTTTAATTTTAATTTTTATAAGTATTTTAATATATATTTGCTGTTACTATTAATAAAGACTGTTTAACTATATTTCTCTCGAACTGTACTCCTTTGTGGGTTGATTCAACAACTTCTAAGAATGCTAAGATCAGTTTCTCTCACTCGAGACTTTTAAATCCTTTTTACGAGCCCCAACGCGCGTTACACGTCAAAAATAAAAAATTCCTTGAAGAAATCAGAAAGAGAAAATTGGTTGCCAAAATAGCAGTTGAACCAAATGTACAACACCAAACCTAATGCTCCTTTCAGACCTCCCAGGTTGATACGGAAAATCGACTCCAATGGTCTGCTGTTGCTGCCACCACTGAGCTCCGGTAGCTCCCAATCATATGCTCCTAAACGCGATGCTGAAATTTGCACTAAACCCATACCACGACCCACATTGCAAGCACACCCTATAGCGAACAATACGCAACCACTTCCTAAGAAACAAAAGCCGTCACCGGATCCAACCGAATCTAGTCATGACAAATATCTTGTCCAATGGAGAAAAAGGACAACCAAAAAGAATAAGACTTGGGATGGTGATGGATATGCCACTATTGTTGTTGCTGCAAATACAAATCAGGTAATGATTTCACTTCGTTCACAGGATGGAAAACCCATGGGTAAGAAACAATTCAATTCCTTGCCTAATCTTGATGAAGTTATAGTTATAGGAGGCTATGAATTTGAAATTGATGAAAAAGTGAGCAGTTCTCAGGTAGCCTCTTCTGGTGTCGCTGATAAGGAATCGTCATCCTCGCCGGCAAAACCCAAAGTTGTATCAACCGGGTTTAAAAAGGTTGCTCCTCAGAACTATACTCAATCTCCTGATTTTAACGTTAGAAAACCATTATATGAAAATAATGCAAATGGAATTGCCTTGCCTGATCCACCTAATTGTCCAAAATTTGTCAAGGTCCATGTAGATCCCATTCTCGCTACGAAATTAAGACCACACCAGATTGAAGGTGTGACATTTTTATATGAATGCTTATTGGGGTATCGTAATTTCAAAGGTAAGGGGTGTCTCTTGGCTGATGAGATGGGATTGGGCAAAACTTTGATGACTATAGCTACAATTTGGACCCTACTCAAACAAAACCCATTTATAGACCAGAAGAAGCCGATTGTAAATAAGGTATTGATCGTATGTCCGGTGACATTGATTAATAATTGGAGGCTGGAGTTTAGGAAATGGTTGGGGATGAACAAAGTGAATGTCTTGACTTTGGGTAATTCAAGTAATGAAAAGTTGGATATTATTAATTTTGGAAAGTTGAATGTATACCAGGTGCTAATTATCAATTATGAGAAAGTAACTGCTCATTATAAAGAGTTGGCAAGTGTTGGGTTTGAATTGTTGGTTTGTGACGAAGGACATAGGTTGAAGAATAGTTCGAATAAAGTGTTAAACCATCTAATTAAATTGAAAATTCCAAGAAAGATTGTCTTAACTGGTACTCCAATTCAAAATTATCTACTTGAATTTCATACATTGATTTCATTTCTTAATCCTGGAGTATTACCTGATCTCAAAAATTTTCAAAAGAAGTTTGTAAATCCTATATTGCGGGCACGAGATATAAATTGTTTTGACCAAGAGATTAAGAGGCAAGGGGAAGAGATTTCCAACCAGTTGATAGAATTGACTAAACCATTTATCTTGCGTCGAACTCAACAGATTTTGAAGAATTACTTAACCACGAAAACTGATATTTTATTGTTTGTACCACCCACTCCACTTCAATTGAAGTTATTCGATCATATTATCAGCTTGAAGAACTTTAATGAAATGTTTTCCGGGCCTGCTTCATTCACCATGATTAACATGTTCAAAAAAATCTGCAACTCGCCATCATTATTAAAGAATGATGATTTCTTCACGAAATTAATCAATGAAGATCCAACTTCATCTGCTTTCCTTCAATCCAATCCCCTTTCTACCGCCTCGGGGAAGATCAATATGCTAATTCCACTATTGTTAGAAATCACAACCAGAGGCGAAAAGATTGTGGTAGTTTCAAACTATACCCAAACCCTCAACCTCCTTGAAATAATCCTTCAGAAATTAAACCTCACCTTCTCAAGACTCGATGGCTCAACCCCACATAATGTCCGGAACAAACTCGTGAATCAATTCAATAAAACTCCAAGTATACTGGTTTTCCTCCTTTCGTCCAAATCAGGGGGGATGGGTATTAACCTAACTGGAGCATCCCGATTAATCTTATTCGACAACGATTGGAATCCCGCCAATGATATCCAATCCATGTCAAGGATTCACCGTGATGGACAGCAGAAGCCATGCTATATCTATCGACTCTTCACTACTGGATGTATAGATGAGAAAATTTTCCAGAGACAATTGATGAAAAATAAACTAAGTGATAAATTCTTAGATGGGGGCCAAGATAAAGGAGGAGACGCATTTGATTATGAAGATTTGAGGAATTTGTTCATGGTTGAACTGGGACTGAGGTGTAATACTCATGATTTATTATGTTGTGATTGTGGTGGAGATGGAAGTCTTGCTAGTCAGGAGATTGAGAATGATGATGATGACACGGAACCAGTATTGGCCACCACAATGCCGTCATGGATGTCGGCAAGGGAGCTTCAAACTAATTTGAATGAGAATGAGAATGGTAATGGAGGGAAGAAGAAGAAGTCTATGAGATTGGCGTTGGGTGATTATCGGCATTACGATCCAAAGGTATGTGTTGATACTGAGTTTGATTCGGTGTTGCTGAGTATTGTGAATCATGAATCGTTTAATGAGAAAAGAGTGGTGCCGGTGACGTTCATTATGCTGAAAATATCTGAGCAAGTGGAGGATGCTGATGAAGCTCTTGATGAAGTGGGGGAGAAAGAGAACGTGGATGTTTCCCCTGTAGATGACAAACAAGTATGATAGAGATTAATTTTTCACTGATATAAAATACTAAAATGCATTGTAAATACTATTATTTTCTATCGCAATCTATTTACTTTTGAAGACCTTTTAATCTCGCTTCCGCTGCTCTTGCACGTTGTTCTCTCATCATTCTCATTTTTTGCTGTTCACTTAATCCACTAAGATCACTAACAACAACAGGAACAGCTCCTCCTCCTCCTCCTCCTCCTCCTAATGTACCCAGAGAGGAAAATCTTGGTTTTTTCAATTCCAATTCTGTCTTTTTGGCCAATTCTTCTTGAATCAACTTTTGCTTTTGCAACTTTATCTGCTCTTTTGAATTTTTCTCTTCTTGTTCTATTTCTTCTTTGGATTTGGCAGGTCCGACCTTTGCGACCTTCCAATCACAATAATCTTCTCCTAATTTATGTCTGACAATTTGGAATACTTTCTTAGTGTCTGATTCCCCCATGGCTGCTACTTCTGCCGCCGTTCTGCCTGCATTATTGAGTACTGTTGGGTTTGCTTTTAGGTTAATTAACAAAATTTGAACCATATGGTTTAAACCATTTGCTGAAGCGAAATGCAATAATGTTGGAGTGTGTGTATATCTTTCTTTAGGAACTAGTTGGAAATCGTTTATATCGATTTTATTTTGTTTTATGAAACTTATTAACTTGGGTGCCTTTTGTTTCTTCAATAAACTGACTAATTCGGTAGAGAGTTCTTCCAGCTTGATTTGTTCTTTGGATTTGATTTCTTTCGGTTTGGGGCTCGATTCTTTAATTGGAGTAGCTGATTTTCGTTGGATCACTTTTGGCATATCTAAGACTTTCAAATATGTGAGCTCAACCCAAGCACGTCTCAATTCCGAAGTTGTGGCACGTTTGGTAGTGAATGGAAAACTCCTAATTCTAGGATCATTATTCGCCAATACTGCACCCTCATATCCAACTAAGATCTTCTTATTAGCAGCACCATTGGCACGAATGAAAATCGAATCACATTCATTCAAATGATGTTTCCATTCTGCAAGCAATTCCCTCACTTCCTGAATCAATGCTTGTTCATTATATCTTCTAATACTTGACCCAGCAGAATTGGCTTTGCCTCTGGCGTTATCACTAGCACTTTGTGAACCACCCTGCTTTCTTCTGGTGGTATATCTATGAAACGTTTTTGAGACTATGATGTTCACGGCTTGCTCTTGAAGTGATCCTTTGGAGTTTGGAGCGTTGCCTTTTGTCAGTTTACGTGTATGCGATATAATCGCTCCAGCGAAATGCCCACCTCCAATCATGAAAAGAGCGGATTTTTGAGATTGTTTCTGAGTGAATAATTTAAGCTCTTCAAGGGGGTTAGAATTGACTAATTGGTGGTCGGTAAACATGGATTTGTATATTCCGAATGTCTTATCTGGATTTAAAATGGAGGATTTAAATAAGATGAAGGGAGATTTTGTATTTAGGAAACTAACAGTAGACTCGTCATTTTCTTGAGAATCCCCGTTAGATATTGCTAATTTCTTTATCAAACTTTGAAGCCTCTGTTCATACGCATCGGAGCTTGAATCGATTTCTTCTTCCTGTGAACCTTCGTCTTCCTCTTCGACTTCACTTAATTCTGAATCGGAACCTGATAAACTTTCGATGGATTCCTGTTCAATTAACTTATCAAACTCATCAGCAGTAATAGGCGGTAAATCCTGAAGTGATCTTTTTAAGTTATATCGATGTAAGTCTGACTTGTAGTACTCAGCATCCCTATTTGATTCATTCTTGACTATGGGATTGTTGTCCAAGTTTGCCTCTTCTGAGCTTTCAACTACTGGTTTGGTTTCTAAGGTTTTGGAGTCAAAGTAAAGTAATTCCAACGATTCAAGTACTCTCTTGGATACGTCGTATATGTATAGCTCATCGTTGTTAACTATGTTCTCTGACATCTTGCTTCCTTTAGTTGCGGATTGATGAGTCATGACAGTAAAGAAATCAAATGCTAGAAATTTTCGCACCATAAAAAAATGGGCCCCAATCCGAAAATGAGCGGGATTGATCGATGGATGGCCGTGCGCAATTGTTCTTAATACGTAAAACTCATAAGACGTTATTAGTAATAGTAATTATTATATACAGAAAGAGAAAAACATAAGGGCATCTATTGTAAACCAACTCTATGACATTCTTTTAAGAAATATTCAATTCTTTCAGGTTTCATAAATGGATGAGTTCCATGACCAAAATTAATAATATAATTTTGTTTTCCTCCACCAAAACCTTTAATCATTTGTTCAACCTTTTTGGTAATAACTTCATCTGATCCATAGATTGCTCCAGGATCTAAATTACCTTGTAAAGTAATTCTTCTACCATTGACTACTTTAACTGCATCTTCTGGTTTATATAACCAATCAAGAGAAACGGTATCATATCCGGCTTCACATAAATCATCTAAGGCGTACCAAGCACCTTTAGCAAAAACAGTTAATGGAATGTATTCCTCAACTCCCAATTCTTTAAGTCTCTTGGGTAATTTTTCACCAATTTGCTTTAAATATGGTAATGAGAATTCATTGAAATCATCAGGTCCAAGTTCACTAGCCCAAGATTCAAAAATTTGTAACATTTGTGCACCGGCAACAACTTGTAATGCTAAAAATTCAATACATGCATCACAAGTGGCTTGAAGAAGCTTATGAGATGCTTCTGGGTATTTGAAAATCCATTCCTTGGCAAATCTAAACATCTTTGATCCTTGACCTTCAGTCATGTATACTAGTAAAGTCCATGGAGCACCAACAAAACCTAAAAGTGGAACTCTTCCATTTAATTTTGTTCTAGCTAAGGTAATGGCTTTATAAGCCCAATCCAACTTAGACTTAACATCTGGCTTTAAATCAACTCTAGCTAAATCGTCTGGGGATCTTAATGGGGAAGCGAAAACTGGACCCTTACCTTCAACCATATCGATTTCAAATCCCATGGCTTGAGGAATAACTAAAATATCACTAAAGATAATTGCGGCATCAATTAATCCATCAAAATGATCAATTGGTTGGATTGTAATTTCAGATGCAATTTCTGGGTCACGACAGGTTTCAAAAAAATCTTTCCCTGCTTTAACTACATGATATTCGGGCAAGTAACGACCTGCTTGTCTCTATATTTGGTATGTTAGTTTGAAACCGTCGTTTTTTTTGGCAAAATTTCTCAGCTATGTTGGAAACATACCATGATCCAAATTGGTGGTCTTTCGACCTTCTCACCCTTAGCTGCCCTAAGTATTAAATCATTCTTCAATGGAGCGAATTCAGTCATGACTAAAATAAATTATATAAAACTCCAAAGGGGATTTCTGCTTAGTAATCCTTGGGAGTTAATGATTTAAAGAGGGTTTGGAAATTTTCAAATATTGGTGAGAGAATGGATTTTGTTCTTTTTTTCGGATGTTCGAAAAGTCGGAATTGAAATTTATCATGTGATTTGTTCAAAGCAGCTCCGGAATTCGGTTAAAAATAAAAACAACCCAGAAAGCGTAAAGTGTTGCCATTTTTTTGAAACCAACCACCATCAATCCCAACTTAACCAGCGCAATTGACGTATCGAAAGCTAAAAAGAGAGAACAATGACAGATAATAATAATCGACCATTGTCATCGTCACGGAATGGAGAAGGGGAACTGAACAATTCTACAACTCGTTCATTTAGAGGAATGAATGGTAATGGTAATCACCAACAGCGACAAGGTGAACATGATAATCCAAATATGTTTATTCGATTCTTCAGGTCTGTTTTTGGATATAGAAAGACTTCCTTAACATTGTTTGTATTTTTAACTATATTTGCTACTGGTTTATTATCCTTTATTGATAACAATCTTGAATTTACAATTGACTTACCATCTGATAATATTGAAAAGGAGATTTTAGATATGTCTTGGTTAGACTTACAGAAAATCGCAAGCCATCAACATACTTATGGATCTCATGCGAATGACAAGGTGCATGACTATTTAGAGAAAAGAATCCTGTTGTTGACTAGAAGAAAGCCATATGGTGAATATGATAATGATTTAGATACTGAAAACAGAATCTTGTTTAATACAGGTACAGTCAATTCTACCACAGTAGCATATTATGAAAGTAATAATGTCCTTGCCAGAATTAATGGAACTGATCCAGCACTTCCAGCTCTTCTTTTAAGTGCACATTATGACTCTGTACCTTCTAGTTTTGGTGTTACCGATGACGGAATGGGAATTGCCAGTTTATTAGGAGTATTAACATATTTTACAGAAAAGTCTACCCCTCAACCAAAAAGAACAATAATATTCAATTTCAATAATAATGAAGAGTTTGGTCTTTATGGTGCAAGTGCTTTCTTATCACATCCATGGTCTGAGCAAGTGAAATTCTTTTTGAATTTAGAAGGTACTGGGGCCGGAGGAAAGGCAATTTTATTTAGAGGAACTGACTATGGAGTTACCAAATTTTTCAGAAATGTGAGATATCCTTATGCAACTTCAATGTTTCAGCAAGGTTTCAATAATCGTTTAATTCATAGTGAAACTGATTATAAGATTTACACACAAGTAGGTGGATTACGTGGATTGGATTTAGCATTTTTCAGGCCAAGAGATATTTATCATACCGCTTCAGATAATATAAGAAATGTCAATATTAAATCGTTGTGGCATATGTTATCAAATTCACTCGACTTCACCAATTCATTTGTTAATGAAGAAACTGATTTAGATTTTGACAATGATGAAACCAATACTGTGAACAATGATTTTGCTGCCTACATGACTTTCTTAAATTTCTTTTTTGTCATGCCAATCTCGAGCCTCATTCTCATCAATCTGATTCTACTCATTTTGGTACCTCTTCTAAGTGTTCCATTACTTGTCATTATTTTGAAGTACAGGCAAAACTGGCAATTGACAGCAGTCAATGTACTCAAATTTCCAATAGCAGTTACAATATCAACCATTGTTTTGAACATGATCGTGACAAAAGGTTTCCAAACTATGAATCAATATTTACCTAGTTCCAACCCAATGCTTTTAGTCGCTACAACCACGTCTATATTGATGATTATCTATTATCTTTGTTTTAATGCTATTAATTTAGTTTTTATAAACTATAAAGTTTTGAACCATGATGAAAAATTGATTGTTATTGTGGAAACTTCTTTCCTTTATTGGTTGGCCCTTATCTACATCACGAGCAATTTTACCCAAAATGAACTTGGCAATGATCATACTGGTGAATTTCCAGTTGCAATTTTGTTTACTGTTCAAGCAGCTGGTGCTCTCCTTGGGTTACTTGGTTGGTCATTCGCACAGGGCCAAAAGATTGTTGATCACGAAGAAGAAGAAGCATCTCCGTTGTTGGGAGATGATGCCCATCAATATGGCGCAGGTGCCAACCAAGAAGAAGACGGATTACTCTCTCCACAATCAACAACCAGCTATTTAGAAGACAATGAAGGAAATTTACAACATTTAGCTAAGCATTTCGGTTATGACTGGTCCTTACAATATTTAGTTATCGTGCCGCTTTCGTCTCTAATTGTTTACAACTCCGGGTGGTTGATTATTAACGGTCTCAACAAATCCATTCAAGAATCGCTTGCTTCTGAAGAATTAATTTATGGTTTAATTCAGTTGTTTGCTCAAGTATGGGTCTTACCATTTTTGCCCTTTATCTTCAAGTTTAATCGAGTGATAGTTATGAGTCTTACATTATTTGCTGCAATGGGTGTGACGTTCATTTCCTTCCTTGAACCATTTAATGCGGCGAATCCCCTCAAATTAAGGGTTATTCAACAAGTTGATTTGGTCAAATCTTCTACAGACAGTTACGTTCGTGTATTTGGAAGAGAAGGGGTTTCCCGAGGTATACTTGAAGACTTACCATCAGTTAAGGTTAGCGGGGAAAATGTTACTTGTGATTCGTTAGCTGATGGAAATGAAGTTTGTTCCTACAGGAGTGTGCTTCCACCTAACATCATCCCAGAGGTAAAAGATTTCAATGACTACCTTCAAATCCAAATTGTTAAGAATTCCACTGAAAATCACAACTTACCTTATGGCCTTCTTCAAGGAGAAATAAGAATTAAAGCACCTGAAAATAGAATGTGCAATTTGAACTTTGACAAGACCAACAAAATTGTCGGAAAACACAACTATAGGGATTCACCAGTGAAAACTGTAATTGTATATGCGGAAAAAAACAACGATACGAAAAGTATGAACTTGAATGCAGAAGTTAATAATATCCCAAACGGATTTTCTCGAGATGATGATGGAAATTATTTGTTTAAAGATGTCTCGGGGATTGATAGTTTGTACCTCAATAAACTCGATTGGGAAAATGAGTTACATATTGGTTTCCAATGGTTGCCAAATGTCATTGACTCTAGCAGTGGTGATATCAATACTTTGGGTGTTCATATTGAATGCTTCTGGGCCGATTTGAGTCCCGTCAAAGGCGATAATGGTGTAGATTTGGCCATACCTGCTTATGAAGAATTGCTACACTATAGTCCAAATTATGTAAGTTGGGCTAATAGAGATAGGGGCCTACTTTCTGTTTCAACACATGTCCAAGTGTAATAAAAGAGATTGCTCAATGGCTGCGTTTTCTTTTTAATTGTATTTGCAAGATTAATGATTTTCGAACTATAGATTTATATAGCTTTTCTTACTTTGTTTTAATAATAATAATTTAATGTTACTATTTAAACTATATATTTTATATGAGTAGTCGGTGCCATATATGTTTTCTGCCTATGTGCTGGCTGCAAGTTTTCGGACTTCATACAATCTCTTGTAAATGGTAACCATTCGCACCAAAAATAACTGATTATTAAATCTATACCTCTTCCCCATTTCTTTTCAAAATAAGTTCAATTACACTATAGGATCATCAAAAAAATAAATGCCAGCTACAGGGAACCTATTATAAGTCATTCAAAGCAAAAAATATGCGATTTCTGTGGATCGAACACAGGACCTTCAGATTAAACTGTGACTGAATCTCTTCAGTCTGACGCTCTCCCAACTGAGCTAAAACCGCAACAAGAACCCATGGCGGGAGTCGAACCCGCAATCTTTTGATTAGAAGTCAAACGCGTTAACCATTACGCTACACGGGCTACTTGGTTGTTTTTGGGTTTTGGAAATTTTCCAGATGATTTTCTAACACGTGACTTTAGCGTGATTTAAGCGTGATTTTCGTGTGATTTTCACGTGAAAATCGTGTGCATATCATGTGATAATTTCTCAACCCCCAAAAGCCGCTTAAAGATATAATAAAGAGACATAAACGTTTTCATACTCCTTTAGTCTTGAAATAAGGAATCATCAATTGGAAAAGAAGTGACCGCTAAGCCATTGTTTCTTCTGACCTCAATAGAGACAAAATTCTCTGGTCAGATGTTGTAATACATGATTTTATATGAAACTATTCTGACCGTGAATGTGAATTCTGTGGCCGTTATGTCTGGGGTCGCTACTACACCCATCATGTCTACACAAAGTGTCCGGTGACTAAGATTCTTTGGCAACTTTGCGGTCCACGCTCGTTACCAAGGAAACTCCAACTCTTTATTTGCAATTCTTCATTTCAACCTGTTCAATTGATGCAGTCAAATCAGTACCTTGTTCTTTTTTACAAGTTCCAAAAATTTTGACTTGCAGGGGGCCGGAACGTTGAGCTCACAGTCCACTTCATTAGAAAGTGGGTATCATCGCGTCGAAGAGTCCTAACAACTATTCCTACAAACTTAGTCTTTAGGATGCTCCAGAAATAAGGTTTTAGGCAATTGTGCTTTTTGCCTTTACAGTATATTGTTTTCCGTTTGTTATATTTCTGTATGTTAGTATGTATAAGAACTCAATAAACAGATTGTATATGTAAAAAAAAAAAAGAATGTCAAAAAATTTGCAATAAAAATTTGCAACAATATCTATCCCAGGTTGATGATTCCAAAAAGATTCCAGTTCTGATGCTATGTAGTTAATTTCCAAATGAGGTAAAACGGCTGAGATGTCAGGAATAGCTAATGATAGCTTGAAACTTTTCCATGGGAGTTAGCTTTGTAACTCGACTGGATAAATCTTTTTGAAATAACTCTCTGCTGAATTTTCCAGCGTTTTTTCATATCCACTCTAATCAGTGTTTGAGAAGAGTTGATATATGTATTATAGTTTTCCCTTGGGTTTAACATAGGTACGATTCACAGCTACTCCTGGTGATGAGGCTACAGAGGTCTCAATCTAGCCAATGAAAGATATCATGATTCCAGTGCCGGGAGCTTTTATTTGTTGAAATTTGCCAAGAAAAGCCGTTAGATATTGCGCTAGGAGATGGGAACCCGAAAATGTCTCAGATAGATTCAATAACAAGCAAAACCGGAAACTTAGTTCAGATGTGATTCCAATCCAAAGTTGTGTACATACCCAACCACTCGAGTGGGGTAGCTGACCTATGTTGCCTATGATTAGCATAGGTGATGTCAGTTGCATAACAAGAGTCATATTTCAAAAGGTGATATCCAGACGACAAGCTAGTGAGCTAAGTTCAATTGCTGCAAATATTTTGTTTTCATCCGGACCGCGATTTCCTAAATGGACCCCACTCGCTTAAACCTCGCAAATCTTTTCCTTTTTCGACAGTCAAAAAAAAATAAAATGTTTTATCTCCAAAAGCTCACAACCCGCCAAATATTTAAACTCTCCTTGTTCTTCCTTTTCTTAAAACTCATAAATCAACGTGAAATCAAGTAACCAGATCCATATCAAAAAAAACCATGTCAGTAACAATCAGACCAATTGAAGCTAAAGATAAACAAAGATGGCTCGAACTCTGGACCGGTCCAGGAGGATATATCGATTTTTACGAAGCTCAAGATCGAATCACCCCGGAAATCTCAGAAAACACATTTCGGAAATTCCTTGACCCTCATGAACCAGTATATTCTGCCGTTGCTATTAATGATGCCACGGGGGAGATAATTGGGTTTATTAATTATCTTACTCATGCAAATACTTGGACGATTGAGAATGCACTTTATTTGAATGATTTGTTTGTCTGTTCTGAAAATAGATTAAAAGGGGTGGGGAGAAAATTGATTGAGTATGCGTATTCTGAGGCTGATAGATTGAATTGTAAGAAATGTTATTGGTCTACTCAATTTGAAAATCATCGTGCTCAATTGTTGTATACTAAAGTTGGAGTCAAGAGTGGGTTTTTATTATACAGAAGACCTTAGATAGGTATTTAGAATTAAATAATAATAAACAGTTGAAAATGTCATTATTTTTGTAGACGTCTAATAATATTCATACTAATGCACAAGGGGGTTATAACTTATAAACTTTATACACGAGCCAAAGCCAAAAATAAGCAAATCCAATAAATGAAATCGTAATATTCAAAATCACCCATAAATCAGGATATCTCACCGGAGGATCCATCATCGAATCTAATAGATGATAAATAATCATCATGGCATATGTAGACCACATGGCAATATTATTTAATGGAAACTTACTCTTTAATAAAATTTTGGGTCCAATTAACCAATTTATCAATAAATTACTGACGAAATATTGCATGATCAAGTCATCCTTCTTTAATAATGGATATAAGCTGAATGTACCTACATTATTCACCCATTGAATCATATTAATATCATTATGATCAATTAATAATAATAACAGAATTGGAATAAGTGGTACCAAGATACTCTTTTCATGAACTTGGAATGAAAACAAGTAGAATGATAATGAATTGATGGCAAATCCATAAATCATACCGGGGATTCTGATATTATCTGGTTTCTTTCTCAATTTGAAGAATAATAAAATATTGATTGGCACGGTGGCGACCAACGTTGCTAATAATGCTAATTTGGGTAAATCTTGAGGATCAATAATATCACGATATTTTATAATTGTATTTGTAGTACACCAAAAATTGGCTACTTTATCTTCAAATAATCCTCTTCCTAATGGGAAAACACGATGAACAATTTGTAAAATACTTTCTGGTTTATGAATGATAAATGGAAGTAAATAAACAATTTGGGTTGCCACCACAGTTATGCCCACCGATATAAGATGAGAGAAACTGTTCAATTGACTTAGGATATAAAAGAATATAAATAATGAATAATATAATCCCATTTGTTTGAAATTAATACAACTAACAAACCAAATACTTGCCAATATAAGATTCCCCTTAGCAAGATCAATCACCGAATATACAAATAATCCAAGCATGACCGAATTAAATTGAAAATGACCATGATCAATCAATACCAAATGAGCTTGATTTATAATCACAAGTGATATAATTATTTGATCCATTCTATTAACATTAAATTTCTTACCCAACATATTTGCAATTGATAAAACTGCCGGAATATATATAATCAATTCACTAACAATCGCCATAAATCTCATAAAAAATCGTAATTCATCAGTTTCAATCCCTCGAGAACTATCCAAAGCAAACCAATCGCCATTAATAAATCCACCAATCAATCCAATGATATATGAATGATAAGCAGTCAAAGGAGGATAATCCAATCCCCAATATTCTAAATCAAAATAATACCATTGTGATAGAGGTAAATTTATCGTTATTTCCATCCAATGTCTTTGAGCTTCAAAATCTCCAAACATGGGTGGGGTGGCATATCCCAGATGTCCACCTAATCCAATTGCGGTACGTAATATGATGGCGGTTAGGATGAGGATATATCTTGCTGCCCATTGATCTGGGGCTTTTTCGAAGTAATGGAGGAGTTCATAGACTGGGGAGTCTGAGAATATGCTTTTAGTATATTGATTTGTTGATGATGATGACTTTGTTGTTGTTGATGGTGATGTTGTTTCTTTCTCCTCGGATGTTGTGACCTGCTTCTTTTTTGGTTTTGCCATTTCGAAATTAATGTGATTTTAGGAAATGGGAATCAAAAGGATGAAAGAAAGAGATGAGAATGGAAATTGAATTGGGGAAATTATAAGAATATGAAAAGGATGAAAGATTTGTTGATGTGTGTCTCTGATGGTATGGATTTTGGTAGGTCAGTTTAAATTGATTCGGAGAAAAAAAAATATTACCGAATGACGAACAAATTGCAACGAAGAAAACCAAACCCTTTAAAGAAGAAGACACGACAGAAAGATAAACAGGCTAAGATGAGACAGACATAGAAGAGAAGCAAAATAACGGTCGCCTGAAAGGGAATCACAAGAACTAGAATACTAAGACGCAGGCGTAAAAAAATACATAAGAAAAGGTTGGCCCCCAGTGACTAATTACCCAAAAGTACTCAACGGTACATTTGAGAAACCGGGAGACAACGAGTCAGAAGATCATATTGTCTAAATTGTAGTCAGGTGCTCTTTGAAGCTTTGAACAAAGTGTGGGGTGGGGGAGTGAATGAAATCACAATCTGTAACAAGAATTCCAACAAGAGTTTCATAAAAGTGTAAAAAAATTGCATACTGATGCACCGTTTCAATTGTCATCTCTCCAAATTCCTTTTACTTAGTTTCGGATATGATGTAACTATTCATTGGGAAGATTGTTCTGGGGGGGGGGGGGGGGGGTGACCAACTTCTCGTCCCGCCACAATTTAACGAGAGCTTAATCATACATTCTCTTGAATCTTTTGTCGAAGGTGTACAGTACGTGTACTACCATAGATACACGTCTTATTATTTGTTGCAAAAATGGAAGGTCATCTGTTCAGCCTCTCGTTTTGCTGTTAAATTTACTGGGCAAAGTAAGAGATGGAAGGGCTATTCTCATAAGATTATATACAGATGGAGATTAACAGCCACTTGTTACTGATGTATTTTACTTTGTGTCAAAAATAGAAAAAAGTTCTTTGTTGTTCAAAGAGATTCTTTAATTAAGAAATTATGCGGTTAATAAAAATATGTACACAAATTGCTTTAAGGTACAAATTGACCCAACAAAGAGAAAGAAGTTGTCTAAAATTATTATCACCCCCTATTTTATTTTTCTTTATAATTCCCCATTTAATTAATTAACCTTTCCAGAAGGAGAAGCTTCTTAGCGAATTTACTGTTTAATTCTAGTAACATAAGATGTACACCCCTTCCAGGTAACAAGACTCTTTTCTCTACTGAAAAATATGGTTAGAAAATTAAACAGCAAACAGACAATAATAATATTTTTATACAGGAAATAACAATAGCGAGATATTAGCCATTAATTTATTGAAATATTTATTATGTAACAACACCGACACCAATTTACAAATAACGGTATAAATGACGTAACCTGTAAAAAAGTAGACAATATGTAATTTTTCCAAATCAAGAATATTTATAGATTTTTATGCAAAGTTTATTTTTCAATGAGATGCAGTCGCGTCTGTAACATCCATTCTTCAATATTTAATGTGTATGTGGGAAAAAGTCGCGTTATTTCTAAATTATTTTTCAATTAATTTTCCATTTTTGATTCAAGAATTAAAAAATAATATTTTTTCGCTTAATTATTTTTTCTTGTTTCCAATTAAATTTTTGCATGTTTCGTCTTTTTTTTGTTTCGTGTCTTTCGTGTGATTTAATTAAAAAAAAATTGTCAACTACATTCTCCTCCTCTACCTCTTTCCTTACTTTCCAACCTCCCTCTTTTTGGTTGTAAAAAAAAGAAAATTCATCAATCAAACCATTTTTTATATCATTTGATTAACTTGTTATTATTCCATTAGAATAGAATAGAAAAAGACAATAGATATTAGTAGTGTATCATATATATATAAACTCAGGTAGTGTACTTTATTACTAAATTTAATTTATTTATCAAGAATTATCTCGTTGTTCAGTTTTTTTAATAAAAAAATTCTGATTGAAACAAAGTTCTTACATTTCAAAATAAAAAAGGGTGTTACCATTAGTTATGTTTCAGCAACATCCAAATTATATTCAATCAAATAACATTTATTCACAAGAACAACAACAACAACAGCAACAGCAACAACAACAGCAACATATTACAAGTACCACCAAAGATAACAACAACTACATGAATTATAACAACTACAACAACAATAGTCATCATCATCATCATCATGTCAATGAATATGATGACTCTGGTAATATGGTTATAGATATGAATGCTTTAGTTCCTAATCCAGGATCAACTTCATACATTAACTCATCTTATGACGATAACAGCAATAACAGTAATGAAAGTGATCTTGAAAATTCCGATATTAGTGCTCAACATAGTTTTTCTTCCATTAATAATTCAATATTACAAGATCAGAACAATAATTATTATTATGATGATGATTCAACACCAAAATTAAATATGAATAGTAGATATGAAAATGATCCAACACCTATTGTGGATAACAACGGATTCGTACACGAACAACAGCAACAACAACAACAACATCTACAAGTACAAGGACAAGGACAAGGACAGCAGCTACTGACTGCAGGGTTACCTCAACAAGAATTAAGTTCTAAATTCAAACGATTATCAGTTGCTATTCTCAATACAAGAACATCAGGTGATTCACATCAATTTATGAATTCTTTTCAACAGAATATAGAACGAGCAAATAAATCATCTTCTGAGGAATTTACATCTGGTCGTACTAGTAAATATTATCAAAAGATTTATCAAGGACCAGAAAGTAATGAATCGAGTGACAATCATGGAAATAATGCTTATGCTCATAGAACATCTGCATCTGATATTAGTTCAATCAGCACCGGAGGATCTAGTATTCGTAGTATGGAATCTCATGAAGGACTGAGTAACGAATCTTCAACAGGATTTACATTTCTTCCAGCATCATACAATCTTCGTGGAAATAGACTCTCCCCTGATAAACATACTCTGGATGAAGTTCCTGTTCGAAAAGATTTATTAGAAAAAGTTGATCATTATCCCGATTCAAGAGTTCATGAATTATCCGAACAAGAAAAGATTAAATTATTTATTGCAACCAAAGGTGATATCAAATTAGCTGATCAAAATGGATTGAATATCATTTATCAATCCGATGAAGAAACTAGATCAATGGAAAGTGAATCCATGGATGAAGGTGAACAAAATGCCGCAAAAGTTGCCAGAGCAGCTTATGAAATTGCGTCAGTTGCAGCACAAGAATTACAAGAAGAAGATTTATCATCATTATTTATTCGTGCATTACATCCATTTGATTCAGCTACATTACAATCTGAATCGGATGCTTCTATTTGTTTATCATTTGAAAAGGATGATTTAGCATTTGTTCATACTATTGATGAATCAGGATGGGGTGAAGTTACATTAATTGAATCATTACAACGTGGTTGGATCCCCATGAATTATTTCAAAATGGCAATTGCTGATGAAGATGATTTAGATGATGATGATGAATCAAGGATTCCAAATTGCAATTATTTAAAACCATTATTTCATGCTTGTGGGAAATTTTTACTTAATCCTTTAAGTCATAAATCTAGAAAAGGACAATATACATTTTCAATCAAAGTAATTAATTCAATTAGAGATGGAGTTAGATTGTTATTACAAGAAACTGATTGTTTATCAAGATCAAATGAAATTGTCACCAAGAAACCAATTGTTAGAAAATCAAGAAAATCTTTATTGGCCGATTGGTATAATCTTATGGTTAAAGCTAATGAATACAAAGGTACTTCAAATTTTAATAAAATTGAAATCTTAACATTAATGATTTATCAAGTTACAAGAAAAGCTGTCAATTTCTTACAAGTTTGGTCATCTGAGCGAGATAACATCGCACGAGAACAACATGAAGAATCTCAATCACAACCACAATCTCCAGAACAAAAAGCACGAAAACATCGTGATGATATGAATGATTTCCCCTTATTAAAAACCCCACCATTTGCCAAACAAAGAATAACGGAAATTAATGGTATTCTTTATTCTTATTTTGGTTTAATTTTGGGAAGATTGGATTTAATTGAACATAATTCAGTTGGATGTGAAATTTTGGAAACTTTAACTCATCAAATAATTCTCCTTCTTCGTGAATTATTATTCATATCTAAATCAGGTTCCGATTTCTCGTCGGAAAAACCCAATGATTTAGATTCTTCATTGGATGGATTATTATCATTAGTTAGTGATTTGGTTGGCAGTGTTAAGAATCTCGTTGCCAGAAATGTGAATGATATGTCTGTGGCTCGTAATAGTGGTCAAACATCATTTTCATCTCCTCTGGTTCATGGAGATCGTGATTATCAATATACTCCAGAAGGTGGAGATTTGATCCAAATTGCATCAAAAATGGTTAAAGCTATAAGTTTAACTGTTACTTCAATTCGAAAATTATTAGAAGTCACGGGTGATTTTAAATTAAGTTCAGAAAGATCATATCCTGATTATTCCATAATGAGAATCGAACCCGATGAATTTGTTCGGAAATGTTCAATGGGAATCGCAAGAAATGAAAATATTAATCAACAATTAAATGGATTCAATATTAGTCGAAGATATAAAGCCAATAGATATTCTATGATTAGATCAGGTCAAACTGGAGATTTGGGCTTCACCGAAGGTGGTGCAAGTATTTTACAACATATTATGACAATTGACGAAGATGATGAAAATAGTGGATCTATTTCTCCATTTAATGTGTTTTCTGCCGAATTTGAACCATTTACTACGGATAAGGAATTGGAAACTAATATCAATGATGAATTATTAGTTGATAGTTCAGGGAATTTGTTGGGTGCTTCATTTAAAGGATTGGTTTATACTTTGACTAATGAAGATTCTCCACCGGAATATTTCTTTGTATCGACTTTTTTCATTTGTTTTAGAAGCTTCGCTTCCGGGATAGATTTCGTGGAAGGATTGATTTCTCGATTTGATATTGAAACGAAACCATCAGATGTAAGTCAAGAAATGAAATTGAAAAAGAGAAGAAGATTAATTGTTAAGATGTTCCAATTATGGATGGAATCTTATTGGAATCATGATGCTGATTATAATTTGTTAACCACTTTAATCAATTTCTTTAATGAGGGTGTTAGTTTATTATTACCATTGGATGGATTACGATTAATTGAAATCGCGGCAAAATTGTCTTCTAAACCATTGGTGGAAAACAAACCAAGAAAACCAAGAAATAACAAACAATTAGTTGAAAGAAGTATTGCCGTCATCAAACCAAATAAAAAGAATGTTACTGATCATCATTATATAAATCCAAATAGATTTTCTGTGGTTGATGGTTATGAATTATCAAAAATCAATACTAATTCTTCGACTTCAAGCTCAATAAAATCCATGTCATTGCCAATGCCTTTAGGTGTTGGAAATCAAACATCTAATTCTGGTTCACTTTTAACTAAAACTCAATTAGTCACTATTGAAAAAGCCAATCTTACTTATCGTTCCATTGTGGGTAATAGTTGGTGTTTGCCGAGATATATTGATAATTCTAAATATATCCCATTGGAATTGGTTAGTATTTTACCTAATTGGTATACTATTTGTGAACAAAGTTGGGTTTTATCAAATTATAGACCTAATTTATTAGATTTTAATGGGTTGGAGATTGCTAAACAATTAACAATTATTGAATCCCAGATTTTCTGTTCTATTAGACCCGAAGAATTATTGAATCAAAATTTCACAGCTAAGAGAGCTCATTTGAAATTAGCTCCAAATGTCAGACAATCATTATTGTTTACTAATTGTCTTTCTGGTTATGTGCTTGAATCTATTCTTCAACCTAAGATCACCCAGAAATTAAGAGTTAATATGGTTAAGACTTGGTTAAAGGTGGCAATTTCCTGTCTTTATTTAAGAAACTTCAATTCTCTTGCTGCTATTATCACGGCATTACAATCTCATTTAGTCACCAGATTATCTAAATTATGGGATAATTTATCGGAAAAGTATACTGAATTATATGATTATTTATCCAGAATTGTTCATCCAGATAAGAATTATCTTATTTATAGAAACAAATTGAGAAATTTTTTGATTTCAAATGATTATAATATTCCAATTGTACCTTATTTTTCATTATTTTTACAAGATTTAACATTTGTAACTGAAGGAAATCCAAATTATAGAAAGGCAAATACATTTTTAAATCAAAAATTAATTAATATCGATAAACATTTAAAACTTTGTCGAGTAATTGCTGATATTGAAACCTTACAAGTTTCCTATTTGGATTCCAATGCAAAGAAACAAGTTGAAAATAGAAGACACAGTTTATTATCATTATCAAGAACAAATCTGGAAGATAGTACCAACAACAATAACAACAATACCGTGGGGTTGAGTGATTTCTTTGTGGCTCCAGTTCCCGCATTACAAGAATTGATTTTGTTTGAATTATGGAAGGTTTGTCAGTTGAATAAGACTGAAGAAGACAGGGCTTGGAATTTGAGTTGTCTGATCCAGCCTAGAGATTCTGCTTAGATTGGGGGGAAAAGTTTGATGTAAATGGGTTAATAATTTTTAGATTTTTGTAGTTTATTGGTATTTAGAGGTGTATCAGTATGTGTTAATTTGTGTATAAGTGTTATACATATATAATTTTTGAGAAAACTAACGGGGCCAGTTTTTATTTAATTATTGGAACATTTGGCCTTTGTATTTTCTTCTCTTATCTGGTTTTGAAAAGCGGTCATTGACTAGCTTTGGACTGGACCGGATAAATTGAAAAGATTTATTATTCATTACGTCCTGATTTGCAGGTGTTCGGAAAGAATTAAATTTTACCGAAATCGTTAAAGGAACAACATTCTACAAGCTGTATTATCAATTCAACACAGCGATTTCAATATGTAATTAACGCTTCACTTTATTGAAAGATCTAAGGAATTTAAGGAGATTCAAATTCTTAAGTTCAGCTTGGTAATGTATTTCAATATGCAACATTTGAACCAATAACAATTTGATACAATAGTAATTAGATATGGGAAAAAAATATTTAAATTCTTTAGTCTTAAACTTTTACTTTCTTTTATCAGAATAAGAGTCAATTTAGTACATTAACATTATCAATAAAGCTTAGAGATGAAATATAATTCTCTAAGTAGTATTATTGGAAGGCGGCAAATCACGACAGCGGCGAAGAAACGAGCAACCAATACATCATGTTCTTCTCCAACATCATTGTGGACTAAGAAAATGATAGAGATACCAGAGATCAGTATTCGTACTTTGAAAGAAAAGTTAAGAGGATTTTCGGTACCATCTTTGTTACCAGAGCGAATAAGACCTATAAATAAACTTGATATAACCATTGACAAAGAAAACAATATCAAATTGAATACCCCAATTACTTTGCAACAAGCGTGGAATTATTTCTATGCATTAAATCAATGCCCTCGAAATGGTCCTCGAAAATTGGAATACATTAGAAGCAGGTGGTTTGGAATGACTGATTTGATGAGAAACGAGTATCGTTTAATTTACCAAGAATTGCTACAGAATGGGAAGGATGTTTGGGATAACCAACATGTCGACCTTAGATTGATTTTATCCGAGAACATCTCCGTACTTACTGGAGTTAAATATAAATTCATCGACAATAAAATTGTACTACAGGACGAAGTTAATCTAAACAATGCTGAGAAGTATTTTAACGAATTGAATAATCCGATCAACAACGGGGTTAATGCATTTGAAATTCTTTCTCACGAAGAAAAGCTTGAATACAGGGATGCCTATCTTGAATTATTGTCTTCTGGAAGGGATTTGTATAATGGGAAAATCGTCCCCCTTACAGGGGCTCCGTCGGAGGATGATGATCACCCCTATATTGAGCCCGAGCCTGAGCCCGAGCCTGAAGCAGCTGTCGGAATGGTAAAAAAACTCGGTAACACCAAGCTAAGAGACTTTTATGTTTCATTAGCGACTCCGCACTACTACCCCTCGGGTATCCGAGGACCCTTATTATCTCCAATTGTCCGGCAAGAATTTCCTTCCCTTTCCAAGGAACAATGGAACCATTGCATGACAATATATTTAGATCGGCGTTCTAGGAAGAAGGAATCCTCACCAAAGAAACAGGTGTCGTCTGGTACGGATGAATTTGAAAGAGATTTCCGCCATGTCTATGCCTGGATGTATTTTCGTTTCAAAGCCGGTCAAGATGGGGCTTTCCTGGTTTCTCTCAGTCAGAAGTGGAGTAAGCTTTCGAAGGAAGAAAGGAACAAATACGGATTGGAGTATCAAAAGATTTTGAATTCGGGTTATTGCATTTATAATAAAAAATTGATTCCAATACAGGAAAAGGCGAACATCGAGAGTCGCAAACCTCCAGCTAAATTTAGCTGGGGGGGTAGAGCATTTCGATATTACTGTGCAAAGAGAGCAGTTCAGCTACGAACGACCTCCACAAAGGCCAAGGAAATAAGAGAAGAGTGGAACAAGCTAGATAGTGACCAACGAGACGAATGGGTAGAGGAGCTTAAAAGATTGGTTTATGAAGGGAAAGGCGAATGTAATTCACCAACAATAATCAAGTTAATAGTCAAAATTAGACGAGCCCTAAATTCCCAATCCAGAGGAGTTACACTGGGAGAACAGGAAGTGGCTCTTTCTCGGGAAGAAATATGGAATTATTTCGCAACTAAGCGAACAAGAGAATTGGCCGACACTGAAGTGGCGAATATCTCAGTTGCACATACGCAGAAGAAGGAATGGAATGAAATATCCTTACAGGAATATGATAGACTTGAACGAGAGTACAAGCAAGCGATTTCTCATTCAAAAGATGCAATTTGGCCGAAACAGCTGGAATGAGTGGGGAAGTTATGAATCAAGAGGATGAATTTAGGCTGTGCATATTTTTAGTTTTTCTTGTATTCAGTAGAAGTTACATGAACATGATTTATTTGAAACTGTTTCCTCTCTTAGATAGCAGCATTAAGCATTTATAGTACCAAACGCGACGATGTCCACTTAATGAATACTAGTCAACCTCTGAGTTCAGATGATGCGCGCGATTTTCAACATGGTTAGAAAAAAAGACGCGTCCAAATAGCACTACTATAACAATTGATGGTCCTTCATCAAATGACGTCAAACATTGAAGAAGCTAAGGCGTTTCTAGAGACGTCTAAGCGTATGAACCTTAGCATCTTAGACGCCCAAGAAGAGTACAAATCACAAACCAAACTCGTCGATCCTCGTGCTATAGATGACGAAATAAATCATAAACTAGGAATTTTGGATAAATTGCGCTTCACTTACTTAGAATCCATGTCTCGGGAAGAGCTACTTCGAAAGATAGACGATGATGATTTAGATATTGGCCAGCTGGAAATTAGACAAATTGAACAAGAAACAACAGAGGCGGAAAAGGAGTATCAGAAATTAGAAACAGAATTGTATTTGAAAGTTAATGAACATGAACAAGATACAAGGGAAATACTTGAATTATATAAAACATACGAAAGTGAGATTCAGGTGTTTAAAGATTTACTTGATGACGCTGAAGCTTTGGAGAACGAACTACAAAGCATGATAAATCTGTGCGATCCCGATGTACTGTTAATAATTCAATCTAAACTTGACCAAGAGAATCCAACTGGGGATTTTGAGTCCGAAATTGAATGGAATAAACTTCAAACCGAGCTTGAACAAAAGCAGTTAGATGAATTGAGTAAACAAAAGGATGAGATAAAGGCTCAATTGCGAGAAGTCGAAAACGAGAAAGAGGAAATCCGCAAGAGATTATTGAACTTAAAAACAAAAGCAGCCCTATCGGCAAACAGTCAGGATCAATGGAGCGTGGTAGAGAAAGGAACTCAAGAATATGCACAATTCGCTAAACATATGCTGGAAATACTTTTGTTGCTTTCGGCTGAGCCAAAGGATATTAAAGTTCAACAGTTAGATTCAGAAACTTATCAATTGGATGTATATCCTTACAAAATGTCAAAAATTTCAGTTGTGTATACTAGAAAATTCAACATAATAAGTATTGACGGGATAAAGGATACCAATAAAATCAAGCAGTTCATCCATTCCATAAACTCATTTGTTCCGAATGACAGTATTAAGTTCATGGATTTAGTAGGAAGCTTTTTAGCAGAATTTATAGGTCAATAGGAAAAGTACTAGGCGTATGTTTATGTTCGTAGTGGTAGTGTTGTAAAGTGTGGGGTTTCTAATCTTTCATCGTGAGGCTGAAGACGAAACATCTAAAGCAAATTCACTACAGCAATCGATCAATAACTGTAGGAGGATACCAACCATGTTCGAGGTAGGGTCCTACCGGTGATAATTTTGATTGACGACATTACCGGTTATTTCTGAATGTTGTTGTCGTCACCTAATTACTACATTTGGATTGTTCCGCTCGAATAAATTCCTTCTACTTTTGATCCTCGGCTGAACGTCGAAAACCGGAGCCAAAAAAAAAAAGCTTTTTTAGTTAATTTTTACGTTGTAAATTTCTAAATGGAATTAAGCAACTCCACTTTTTCTTGTGACAAGATAAACTTATATGTTGAATGGACACACTATGGTTACTACCACTACTATTGTAACACCACAAGCAGCAGCAACAGTCGAAAAGAGACAGGAGATCATTAACAATTTAATTAACTTAGCAAAACAAGAACAACAAAACGGAAATACAGCAATCACATCTGATAAGTTAAATAAATTATCAACTTTATTAAATTCACAATCAACAACAACAACACAAACATCATCAAACAAGAAGAGGCTGCAAGTCTATAATAAGTTTAATAAGTTACCACAAGTACCCGATAAACCGAAATACCCTCCACTCTTTTCAAAGTTTGATTTAGTTAAAGCTACCACACATTCGACCAACCCTAGAAGAAGAAGAGATAGTAATAATTCGTCAGTATCAGCATCTTCAGAAGATCCAAATAGACCAATACGAAATAGCAATAATAATTATTATAGAAATCAAGGGGAGAAATTAACATTTAAGAAATTCGAAAATATGGTTGTAACGGCATTAGAAAACGTTGCTAATATAATGGATAATTTACATTTACTTTCGCATTTCCCAATGTTTCCTAAATTCTTACTGAGATTGTTAAAACAAACCAATAAGCTTTGGGTAATCATCTTAATATTCTTGGTTAGAAAAACAATATCCCAATTACTTAATGTTATCCGTAAGATTAATAAGGTACGTATTGAAATGGATTTATTAAATAGACAAGCAAAGAAGAATTCCACTGCAATGAATGAAGATATTGAAAAGAAGTATAATAAAGTATTAAAAGATTTAAAATTTGATAAAGTAATGTTAATAATTGAATTGATTGGTAATTTCTTAGATTTAGGATTCAATTTAATTGAGTTATATCAAGTCATCTTACCTGATTGGACTATGAGTATATTGAACTTCGCAAGTATGGCAATGACTGTTTACAGAATGAATAAAGACGATGAATATGTAGATGACGATATTACAGAAGATTTGATATAAAATGATTTCCCTCTGGAAGGTTGATTTAAAAAACTATATAGTTTATACATACATAATATTTTTTTATATAGAGATACAAAGTGTAGCTGAAATAGATTGATGTTCTTTCATTGTTAGCCCCTAAACAAACAGCTCGGGTTCTTCATTTACTCAACCCATTCTGTACTTTTTACCAGATTTCTCTCTTTCGATAGTTTTGCAACACCTTTCGATGCTATCATATACAACGCTACCAATCAAACTCCATTCAAGGAAAAAAATGGGAAGCGGAATTTGATTTCGTCAACATTTGATGGTTGTAAAACTTATAAAGCCATAAAATACAACTGTGCTTTTTAAACTTTAAAGATGTCATTTGATGGGTTATTGGTTGAACAGGAGCTGTATCTAGAGAATATAGACCGACAGATTGATGGTATTACACAGTCTATCCTTATTAAATCGTCATTAGAAAATGATTCTTCATTGAGACAGCAATTCATGATTGAAGTTGATGAAGGGATACAACAAGAAACAGATGAAAATGATCTAAGCAATCAATCCATAACCCAACTAAATAGTCGATTTGAAGTTGTCAACAAGAATATTCATGAATTATCCCATTTGATAGAATTGAATAAGAAATTGACTGAAATAAAGTCGTTGTTAGACAAACCAAAGACAATTGTAGACTTATTAGATTTACAGCAATTACATAACTTATTCAGATCAACTTCTATTACCAATTCCAATAGTTTCATCATTTATAAACAAATAAACAAGCAGTATGATAACTACAAATCCACATTTATTCAACAATTGAATGATTATTTAAAACTTTTGATTCCTGATTGTTATTCAATTGTCAATATTTCAATCTTAAGTGACTTCAATCTGTTTATATCTAAGAATGCATATGTCCTAGACACCTATAATCAATATAAACTACAATGGGATGAGATAATAGATTCAATACTTTCCCATGACAAACAGATTTCAGTCTCACATGAAGAAGATGAAGATAGCATCGCAATGGCTCTTTCAGACTCCTCTCTGCCAGAACAACAGCCATCGTTTTTATTATCATTAGCAAACTTTATGAAATTTATCAATGAATTAAACAATGAAAATATCAGAAATTATCTAAATTCAAAAATCCAACCCATGATAACCAGCAAAATATCATCCAACATTAATCAAATAATAAACAACGAATATCAGATCAATGAATTAAACGGTCTAGTTAACTTAAGCAGACAGACTCATTGGAGTATATTAAGAAGATTGGAGAACCAACCAGGTGGAGCCATTGATGAGAAATTGAATAAGTTGTACTTTGATTGGATAATTGATGGATTTATAGATCGAATTAGAAATGAATTTAAAAATAGTCTGTTTGAAGTAGTGGAAGAAGTTGAATTTGATATACCCGAAGAAATCGAAGTGACTGGCAAGAGAACGAATGGAACGAATAATTCAATATCACATGCCCCTCCACCTCAACCAGCAGCGCCAGTCATAGAAGCAGTGCCTTCGAAGGCTGAAGATGATTGGAATGCTCAATGGAGTGATGATGACAATGAGCCAGTTAATCAGGATGCAGATGCGGATTCATGGAATGACCAGTGGGAGAACAGTTGGGATGAAGACGATCATGCAAATCACGATAGGAAACAAAAATCAGGAGATGAACAAGAAGACAATTGGAATGATCAATGGGAAGAAGACTGGGATGAGGAAGAAGATACACCTACTGCACAGCAGTCTAAACCGGATCCAAAAGAGAAGACGTTAACACCAACCCCTGCGCAGCCAATAATAGCCCCAACTCCAATTGAAAGTAAAACAATAGAAACGAAACAAGTTCAGAAAAAGGGCAGCATGCAAATCACGCAATTGCCTAATAATTTGATCACCATTCTTGAAGAATTTAAATCGCATTCAATTGATTTGAGATATATTGTGTCCGCAATTGAATCATTGTCTTTGGTCACATATACTCCTTTATCAAGTTCATTTTTGATGTATAATGATTTTCAGTATTTGTCATCTAAATCAGACATATCTGAATTCATCAATTTTGTTGAATCACAATGGAATCAAGTACGAAATGAGTATTATTCTGAATTTGAATCTATTTTGTCAGGGCTTGATTTGGGTGGAACGTCGGGGGACGAGGGAGATAATTACGATGATATATTGGACGATTATAATATGGGGGAAGTGAGTAAGGTTTACGAGTGGTTAAATAAATTATTTGAAAAGAAACAATATCTTAAAAGTAATAAATATAAATTCAAACAATTGATTATTGAGTTAATGAACTATGGTAATAAGTGGTTAATTTCGAAGATTGTGGAGTTACCTGATATAAGCGAAATGCAATGTAATAAAATCACACAAGTTATTGATTCATTGAATAATGTTACAATTCCAATTCTTCAACAGATTCAAATTCCAAAGGATTCTGTCGAATCATATAGTAAGTTAAACAATGTTCAATTCTTGTTAAATAATCATTTGAGAGATATTATGGATAGATTTTACGCTGGTGATTTATATGATTTGACAACTGAAGAATTAATTAGAATAATTCGTAATGTCTTTATCCAAAGTGACGTCAGGGATAGTTGTATAAATGAGATTATAGAATTTAGAACCATGAATTAATCCAAAAACAATTCTATTATGGTATTTGTCGTACTATTAAGTAATTAAATAGTAATAATCTATATGATCTATTCAAGGGTTTCACCAATAACCTATATGATCTATTCAAGGGTTTCACCAGAGTGGATCTTCTTACCAGTCTTGGAAATAGTATTGTAGACAGTATCATAATCGAGAGAATCTTCAGTGGTAACATCAACAGTTTGACTTTCCAAGGAAATATTGGTATCTTTGACTCCATCTAATTTAGCCAAGACTCTTTGAACAGCACCTGAACAGCCTGAACAGGACATAGCAACATTGAAATGATATTTATGCATGATGTATAAGTGGTTTGAAAAGGGGATATGAAAGGAAAGGAGTCTATAAGTCGTTCTTTTTCTTTCTTATATATAAATTATCAGGAAAACTATTTATAAATTAGTTTCGTAATAATGCCTGCGTAAAAGAATGACGTAAACCTTTTAAAAATTGCTTTGTAATCAAGAAGATCCTGTACCGTCATCGCGCTTTCTGCCCAGCATAAGATTTGATGGTTCAGATAAAAAAATAAAATTCATAAACTGTGGCACGGTAATTGAATTGGACACGACCCAACGTAAATCTGGGAGATGAAGATAAACTTCAGAAATCGAATAAACTGGAGGTAAATGAAGTTGAATGAGATTGAGGTGTTTATCGCCATGTTGATTAGATGATGATATATATTGTACAACAGTAAATGTAGTTACAGTATACAAATATATCGTTTGTTGGTTTGGTGTGCTGCGAATTTTTACAATTGCAAATAAAGTTGCATAAGTCCGTGCACGGATAAACACAATTACATGTATTAATTTTAAATTACATTAATTACATTATAATTATACAAATAATAATCTAATTCTATAAAAGCAAAAATAATAAATAAATATTGTAGCAAAAACCAAATTAACAAAAAAATCCCAAACCTCATAACCTCCAAAACAAAAACAAAAAATCAAACTAGCAATCATTAAATATATTTTTTAATTCATTATTTTTAGTTCATTAAAACATTTTACATTAACCAAGTAAGCAAGTAGTATATTTTAGCAAATAAAATTAACTCACTTCTTTCTATTTGTTAAGATTCGTAAAAACTCACGTTTAGTATAAACTGAATAATTTCTAACTTTATTAATCAATTCATCTAATCCAATATGTTTACGATCCATATAATCATCAAATACTTTAGCAACATCATACACGTAATCTTGATCGGTGATGTTTTTATTATACACCTCTTGTAAAAGTTGTTCAATTAGATCAATTAACAACTTTCGATTATTAAACAACTCGAAATCAATAACACTTTGAATCCAACCTTGTCCATATCTTGAATTTCTTTGTAAGATGGAATACCATTCTTCAACTAGCTGGGTCACAGTTTGGATGTTTCTATTCATAACAAAACGAGGAATCTGGTCATCACTGGCTGATTGTTTTGATTTCACTCTCTTTAGATCGGGCCTTCCATCAATTTCGCGTTCTTTTTCGTCATCTCTGAATGACTCGCTAGTTTGGGTGACAGATAGTGTATCGGAAACGACAGGGTGGGCCCTTGGTCGTTTCTTTTCAAAAGAATTCTCCTGCTTTGCAACAGCAGGAGGATATGTAGGCACAGGAGTGGTGGATGGATCAGTAGTGGAAGCCATTGTACTAATTGTAGAAGAAGAACTACTTAACGATCCGTCTAACATCGTTGACTTTTTGTACTCCTTTAAGAAATCTTTAACCAAATGGATATCAGGAATAGTAGATGGATAGCCTGGAAACACTTCTGCGTTGATTGAATGTAATCTATTCAAACGACTTAAGATCTCTTGCAATTTCTTACCTGAGAAGTTTGGCTTTCTGCCAATAATATCATTAATGAAAAACTTTTTAATCAAATCACCCGTTAAATGGAAATGATCATACCCCTCTCGGCTGCAAAACATGGCATATCGACTATATTCATTAAAGTATAATTTCCTGCTTCCATCGGATAACCCCGATAACAAGGTTGTTTGATCGCACATTGTTTGCAATTTTGACAATAATTTATCCTGATCAGATTCTTCAAAATTCGGTAAGCCTTCTATATTATCAAGAAATTTGTTAATGAGATAAACGACTTGTCCCTCAGAATATTCAATATCATAAGCTAAGGAATTCAATTGATGCAACTTCAATAAACTACTTCTAAGATTTCTAAGTCTAGTCGAAGTAAGCTTATTCTTCTTTTGGTTGAATTCTAGCTTGATGAATTTAGTCAAGATCTCTGGTTCCAACAAGAAATTATCCCTTCCTTGTCTTGCACAAAACTTGATGAATCGTTTAATATCAGTTGAGTATGACTTGAATGTATTCTCAGTTAAGTTTTCCAAAATTGCTGTAGTCTTCTCTGATTCGATAACTTCATTATCAAACTTCTTTAATAATAGTACTTCCCCCTCGGACAATCTATGCTTTGAAACTTCACTAAGTTTGAAGAATGTTTTCTCTAAATTGACCCAATCGGAAGCTTGTTCCGAAGACAATTTGGTTGCGGTCGTCCTGCCTCCCTCATGCATTGATGGCTGTGGACATTGGTTTTCTAAACTATTGAGAATTTCTCGGATTAACTTTCCGGCCAAAGCCTCATCAGATTGTTTATCGCCATATACGATTTTATTCATTTCTTGAAGCAAATTTAGGGCAGATGTAACATTTTTTATAGTACCTTCGGTTATTTTGACTCCGTTTGAAACCTCCCCCAAAATGAACTCTTTAGCATTTGAATATGTCACGTAAAAATTATCCATACGTTTGTTTACACAAAACATAATGTAACTTCGTATGTGATGCATATATGCTGCCCTGGTCTGTGTCTCTAATCGGTCCGAGACCGTTCTCGAGGTGATATTTTGCATTACTTCAACCTCGAACTTCTGTAGTAGATCTATTTGCGTCTGAGGAGTGTTATTATTCGCAGAGCTATTAGTATTCACTGGCAAAGCATAAGGTGTTGAACCGAATTGTGGATGCCGATGCGCCGGAATTGGTTGCATTGGGTAATTACCAGGAAGCGTTTGATAACCAATATGACTAGGGTTATGAAATTCGTACGGCTGTAAGTATGCCATATTAGGATTCTGATACGACATATTTGAAGCATTCTGATATTGATGAATTAGAGGAAAATTTGGTTGTTGCAAGTACTGCTGGTTTTGTTGTTGTTGATGATTTTGTTGTTGGTTTGGTTGATGCTGCCAAATTTGTATTGGCGGTTGTGTTGTCGCAGAGTGATTTCTTAAATTTAGATCTGACGGAGGTCGTTCCTCCTGCTTGTTTTTGTCTGGTTTTGGTTTACGACGAGGCATCTCGTTATAACACTAGGATCCCTTCTTTTAAGTGAATTCTTTATTGAAATTTTGATATAAACACGAAAGTTTCCTTTAATTGTTTTTTTTACAACAATTTTGTATGTTAGAAAAAAAGAAGCTATTAATGGCGAATTGAATTTAAAGAAGGAAAAAAACTTGTATAAATATAAAAACCCCCTCCAATTGGCAATGTCTTCTAGAAGAACTACAAGCCACAAAAACTGACATTCCGTTCTGCATCATCTCCGTGATAAGAGCAATTTACAAGGAGGGTTGAAATTTTGCGGTATTTCTTTTATGACGTGATATTTCGCCCTACGTCGACCTATACAGGCAACACGACCTTAGGTGTCAATGAAGATGTCATTATGTGTTCTCGTGGTAAAAGGGGGGAATTAGAAACCCAGGTTCCGTTTCTTTTTATTGAGAGAAATTATGTGTCATGTAAGAGATATGTACTGTATGATGCCCTTGGCTTTGGGATGGACCTTCGTTCGCATTCTTGAAAAATAGTTGAAATTTTCATTTGGTTGTTCGGCTTGTTTCCTACATTTTTCAAGAGGAGAAGTAGTTCCGTTATTTTTTTTTTTTCTCACGAATATTTTTTTGACGAATTATTATTTTTAGAGAAATTTTTTTTTTCCTCGTCTTCTTTTATTGATTTAAGTGACCCTGTTCGCCTTCTAGAAAGAACTTGCATACGGCACGGAAACCCTATAAGCTTCCCGAATGCGCTTGAGTCTCGTGCATGACCGAGATATGAAAAGGATGACTACAATCATTAATCGTAGAAGTTTGAGACATGCAAGTTCCTGCCAAACGTTTTCAGACGGCATCCGGAATTCGTTATCGAATTTCCGAAAATAAGTCGTGGTGCATAAGAATCTGAAATTTAGAAAACTGGTAGATTGATCGTCAAACAATAAAATTTCCAAATGTATTGTAGTTTTACACCCGGTTGCATTAGACTTGCTTCTATAACTTATCGATTCGAGTATCGTTAGTTTCGGCTTCTTTTCTGATCTCTGAGATCTGTGGATTGTACATTTTCAAACATGGACGATACTCTTTTCTAATTTGGAATGGAATTACCTTCCGAAGATATTTTCAATCAAGCATCCAATGTATACATTGTTGCGAAACATTCCCGATGTCATATTGTCTCATGAATCACAAAATCAGATAAATCTCAAAATTTGGAAATTTCTGTTGCCTGAATTTTGGCGTTCCTGCAGTTCGCTAAAAGGTTGCGAGTGCGTGCGGGTTTATGCACAACTTCTTATAAATACGAACTGCTATTCTTTAATGAGGGGTAGCCCATTGACAGTGTTGAAAAATAGAACATTTCATTCATGTGTGTGTTCTATATACTATACTTAATACTGAAAATAAAAGTAATCAACTGAATACTTAAAAATGGCAGAAACTAGTATTTTACTCCTTGATTGCAAAATCTTCAGCCACAATGTTGGACTGTCACACATTTCTCTGAATTTTGTAGTACCAGGGGTGTTAAACAAAGCTAAGGGAGCATCAAATTCAGCAACTTCTCCTCTATCCACAACAAGAATTGTATTTAATCTATAGGCAATGCATAGGATGAGACAAACAGCAAACTCTGTATCCACTGTTTCTTGGGTAATATTATCTGCTTCGAAATTGATTGACGAGGTACCTTCCTCAAGAACTAATATCCTCGAATCTCTAAGCATGGCTCTAGTAAATGTGACCAATTGACGTTAAGAAAGGTTTTGTCCTTCATCTTCAACAACTTGAATTTGGGTAATTCTTCGGCTGAAGTGGATTCGTTAAACTGTATTCTTCAATATCTTTGGATTTGGTTTTCCCAGTTCTTCTTATTACATCCCACAATTCTTGGTTCGGATATTCATTGAATGGATCTAAGTTGCTTCTCATAGCACCATTGAAAAGAACTGGATCTTGAGGAATAATAGACATTTTTGGGTCTCAAATCAAACCAATTTTTGATATATCGACTCCATCAATAATAATTCCACCACTTTCCTTCTCAACCGATTGAAATAAAGTAATCTTAATTGAAGATTTCCCTGTACCAGTTCTCCCACAAATACCAATCTTTTCATGTGAATCAACTTTGAACGAAAGATTCTTAAGAACCATATGCAAGCCAGCTCTATACTTCAACGATTCACGAAATTCAATGTCACCTTTCCTTGGCCAGTTCCCAGAACGTCTAGTCTGTGTAAGTGAATAGGGTGATTCCTGATCTAAATGTAATGCATATTGACACATTCTTTCTGCCGAGTTTATATCATTTTAGTAGTCAGTACCTGATAACATTCAATAATTCACTGGCAATTTGAAAAGAGTACTTTAACAACAAACCAATTGAAACCGGATTGATATTAAACCTTATTCGCACGTAATAAAGCGACTAGTAACACTAATCCATTTGCTAATAATACCAACTGTATCCCAATCCATCGTTGACTAGCTGTCACAACAAACGATGTTTAATTTGTACGATTAATTAACTGGTTGTTGAAATCATTAAATCTAAGTTCTGCATAATGGATCTTAACGGTATCTATTCCACTTAAGGATTCCTTCACATTGTTGTATACAAATGACGTAAGAATAACATCCAATCTCTTAACCTCCCTATTCGATGCTTGGTAGTATTTGGCAACTAAAATAAAAAGAAAAAGAACAATAGAAATGCCAGCATCAAACAAGGCATATAAACAATACAAAGGATAAAAATTCCAATCATTTTAGCTATCGAAGTACATAGGAATCTTAAATTCTCACAAAGTTCATTATCCAAGACATCTGTATCTTTGGCAAATCTATTCAAAATCCTTCCCACCGGAGTGATGACGGTGAATTACATTCTTGAGTATAGGATCTTGTTGATAGGTTTGACCTGTAAGTCCTTGGCCGAGAGTGTTGGCGTTGTACTAAGGGCAACATATGCAAGGATCAAGAAAAATGTCGTTAAAATATTGAACAAAACCTAAAAGCCAATGTAGAATCGAGTCGATTTAAGTTGAAACTTGTTAGCAATCCGAAACGAAAGTCAAGTGCTGGTAAGATTTCACAGAATGATTACAAGGCAAGCAACAGGGCAAATAATGTGAAGAAGCCAGACACTCCAAATTTCCCTGAACCTTGTTGAATGCAGTTCTTGCATACAGCTGCTGTAATACAATTCACTGCTATTTCCTCTTCTTCGATTATCTTTCCTTTGGAGACATCTGGATTTCTAATAGGGCCTTCACAATCATCTTCGTTCAATGAGAATAGACCGAGAAATTCGGGAAATTGTTTTCGTGGTTTTTTTTAACAATAATAGCGACATGACATGTGACAGATATCTGCCTAATACTAACTCTTTGCAATATGTTGTATATTTTGAAGTATCTTAAATTCTTCTCTCTTTGCTAAAATCAGTTCGGTCTAGAGTGTTTAATAAGACTTGATGCTTCGGCACTTTTGGTTTTTTGCATGGGGCTAACGCAACATGCGTACTGTAGCAATAGAATGGCTGTGGGATAATAATTCGGTTACCTACTTTACCTCAATCCACTTAATCCAACAATAAGCTAAGAGATATGTTATGGAATAGTAATTCAAAGATGCAAAATATTATATTAATTAATCTATCAGTGTTTACAAAATATTTACACTACTTCTACTTAATACTTATGCTCAAAATCATCCTCGGAAATATTTGATTTATCACACATCTCTCTAAATGTACTTCCTGGAGTATTAAACAACTTCCATGGAGTATCAAACTCAGCAACCTCTCCTTTATCCATAACAAGAATACTATCATAATTAAGAATGGTCTTCAATCTATGAGCAATACACAAAATTGTACAATGAGCAAATTCAGTGGCAATTGTCTTTTGAATGGTGTTATCGGTCTTATAATCAATCGAAGAAGTAGCTTCATCAAGAATCAAAATCTTAGATTCTCTAACCATTGCTCTAGCGAATGAAACCAATTGTCTTTCACCAAGGGAGAAATTTAGTCCTTCATCTTCAACAATCTTATCTAAATGGAATTTAGGTAAATCTTCAGATGGAGTTGATTTGTCAATCTTTTTGTATTCTTCGATATCTTGAGTAGTGACAATACCTGATCTACTTAATGAGTCCCATAATGCATCATCTTGATGTTCTTTGAAAGGATCTAAATTACTTCTAATAGTACCATTGAATAAAACAGGATCTTGAGGGATAATGGACAATTTGGATCTTAAATCATTCATACCAATTGTGGAAATATCAACACCATCGATAACAATCTTACCACCTTCCAATTCTACCAATCTATAAATAGCAGACATGATTGATGATTTACCAGCACCAGTTCTACCACAAATACCAACTTTTTCATGAGGAGAAACGCTAAATGAAAGATTCTTGAGTACTAATGGTAATTCTGGTCTATATTTCATTGAAGCTTCCGCGAATTCAATTTCACCTTGTTGTGGCCAATCCAGAGAAGGTTTGGTATCAGCTATAGTGTATGGAGCTTCTTGATCTAATTTCAATCCATAATGACAAACTCTTTCAACTGAATTCATATCATTTTCAACTTGTGTAAAAGTTCTAATAACATTTGATAATTCACCAGAAATTTGTAAGGAATAAGTTAATAATAAACCAACAGAAGCAGGACTGATATCAAAAACCTTATTAACACATAACAATGCAACCAATAATAAAACAGCATCGGCCAACAATTCTAATTGAATAGCGACCCATCTTTGACAAGCATAAACAAGGAAAGAAGCTTCATTTGCATGGTTGATATACTTACTACTAATATCCCCGAATCTAAGTTGTGCATCATAAGATTTGATAGTTTCCATACCACTCAAAACTTCATTAACATTATTATAAACAAATGATCTAAGAATAGCTTCTAACCGTTTGACTTCTCTATTTGAGGCTTGGAAATAATTGGCAATCATGACAAAGAAAATACCAATAAATGGAATAGCAAGTGCAATCCATGGAATATAAATGATGAAAAGAATGAAAGAACCAATCATTTGTGCAATTGACATAGCTAAGAATCTCAAATTTTCACTGATTTCATTATCTAAAACATCGGTATCTTTGGTAAATCTATTCAAGATTCTTCCCATTGGTGTAACATCCATAAATGCCATTGGTGTATATAGGATTCTATTGATAGCCTTAAGATTCAAATTCTTGGATGAGACAGTTGTCATGGTAATTAAAGCAATAAAGGAAACAACCAAAAGTATCGTAGTCAAAAGGTTAAACATCACATATAATCCAATATAAAACCCACTACCTCTACCTGGGAACTTATGAGAAATCCAAAATGAAAGCCAAGTATTAGTAAAGATTGAACAGAAGGTATAAAGTGAGATCAATAAAACAAATACAGCCAAAAATCCTACAACTCCAAGTTTCCCTGAACCTTGTTGAATATAATTGTGATAAATATCCAATGTGATATGGTTGATTGCTCTTTCTTCATCTTCAATGATTTTACCCTTTGCGACACTCTTGTTGACATTGTATTTTTCACATTCTTCCTCTTCAGAATCGATTGTTTCATGTACCTTAACAAGACTTGATTTTTCATTGGTATCACTAGAATCCGAATCGAATTCTTCTTTATCCTGTTCCAATTTACTATATTCCATAAGTTTACTAAATGTTTCATTTCTTTGTAATAATTCAGTCATAGTACCCAGATCAATAGAACCATCCTTATCAACAACCACAATTTTATCAGCTTGACCAATTAATGCCAATTGATGAGTAGCCAAGATTCTCGTTTTATCTTTCAATAAACCAAGCAAACAATTATTAAGAATATGTTTACCAACTCTAGCATCTACAGCACTTAAGATATCATCCATCAAAACAATATCTTTATTAGCATAAACAGCACGAGCTAAATGAATTCTCGCCTTTTGACCACCAGATAAAGTAATCCCTCTTTCACCAACTTCTGTAAAATCACCACCTGGTAAATTATCCAAATCAATCTGTAATGAACATGCATGTACGACACTTTCATAAAATTTCTGATCGAATTCAGAACCGAAAATAATATTTTCTCTAATTGTACTATTTTGAATCCATGGTGCTCCACATAATAAGAGTTGCCCATTGATATCAATTTCACCTTGTTCGCATTTCATAGTACCGGCAATTGCATTCAATAACGATGTCTTACCAGAACCGACTGGACCAGTAATAACGACGAATTCACCCTTCTTGATAGATAAATTGATATTCTTGAACCCGGAGAAATTAGTTGAGTTTGTTGAACCATACTTTTCACGATCTTTCTTTCTTTCTTCGATATCCTTTTCTAATTCTTTTCTCCGTTGTTCTCGTTCGGCTTTAGCTTTCTTGGATAATTTCTTCTTCTTTTTGGATTTTTTGTTGTTGTTGTTGTCCGTTTCATCAGTTTCCTCATTAAGACTTTCTTCATCGAGGATTTCATCTTCAAAAATCATCCATTTGAAAGAAGCTTGAGAAATTCCAACAGCTAATTTATTTTCAGGATCATTGAAATTCCTATAATTTTCATAAGAAATCTCTTCAGGAGCACAAAGTAAAGCACCAATTCTTTTGAATCCCATAGCCATATCAGCACTAGTACTTAAAGCTTGTGGCATGAAGAAAATCAAAATGGCTAAAATACCAAATGCAGAAAGTGATGAAAAGATGTTGGCAGGATTAGCAGTATTTCCTTTAATAGCATACAAAACTAAGAAAGCAATCATCGATGAAATACCAGTTAATGTCATAGCTAAACCATAAATAACATTTCTAATTGCTTGAATCTTTAAGATGATGTTAACTTCTTGATCTCTGATTAGCATAATGTTTCTATGATATGGAAGTTCCCAGGAATAATATTTGATCATTTTTAAATTATTTAAAATTTCTTTAATTAAATTAACTCTCTTATCAGTAATCTTACTTACAACTTCTCTAAGATCGAATAATTTTTTAGCACCAACTGATAAAACACCCAAGAAAGATAAGAAAATACCAATACCGACAACTGCAGATACACCAATATTAACCACTAAAACAACGATTGCAATAATCATTGGGAGAGGTAAACAAATAAGAAGGGGTTGCATAATAACTGCAATTTCAATTCTTGATAAATCAGTAGTAATCATCGATGTGATTTTCCCCGTGGGGAATTTATGTCTACCTTCAGGACTTAATTTCAAAGACTTCTTAAGGATTTCATTAGTTAATAATGATTTAGTTTCCGTACCCATTACGAAGCCCCAATAAAAGAAATGAGTGAATAAAATACCACTTGTAAGTGATAATAAGACGACACCAAATGCATAACCAATACCTTTACCAGGATGAGGTTCTAAGCCTAAAGCTCTTTCTTGTACAAATTGAATCAAATATTTTGATAATAAAGGAGAAAACGCCAATCCACATAAACCAATTTGAGCCATCAAGGTTGCAAAAATCAACTGACCTTTTAAAGTACGCATTAATATCATAATCATATTAAATGGAGTCAAGACGAAATCTTGTAAATCATCTTCAGGAGTAACACTTGAAGTTTCAGGGGTTTCATTTCTTTCTTTACATTTATTAGCAATATGTTTTCGTTGAGCCTTTTCTCGTTCTTGTGCAAGATAAAAATTGAATTTATCAGTAAAATGTTCAACTTTCATATCATCAGTTAAAACCCATAAATCATTTGGTTGTAAAGTTCTTGAATAACCAACTTTTAAAATTGGAAATAACCACCAAAAGAATATTTTACTAATAATATTAGCTGAAGCTAAAGGATGTAAAGTTCTTTCATCATCTTTTGGAATTGGATATACTTTTTTTCTAAACATAAAACTCATCAATCTCTTTTGAGGTTGATATTCATTATCACCTAATTCTAATGAACCATCTGGATCATTCATGATTATTAGTAATGTTTTGTTATTGTATTAGCAAATTTCTATAGCATAATCCTATTGAATTATGGGAATTATACTTAGTCTATATATATTTGAGTGTAAATAGTTATTTAAAGTGGCAAAAGGAAAGTATCAACGAAAATCAAAATCAAAATAAAAGATGACTAATTTTTCTTTTCCTATTTGTTTATTGTTTCTTTAAGTTAAAGAATAAAGGAGTAAAATGATAATAGAAAATGTTTCATGCCATTTAATGCCATTTCTCATATTTAATTTATGTTTATTAACTCCTAATTAATTTATAAGCCTCTAATTGAAATTTTAGTAGCACGGCGGTAAAAAAAAAAAATTAAATTTGTTATTTCCGATCCGCTTTATCTTTAATCGTCTAATCCCTTTTCAAACACACCAAACTCAAACGGCTCATTTAACCCAATCATCGGTGTTTCATTCAATGTAATACCGTCATCTAGATTGTTTGCATAAGTATCTTTTCTTAAATGTACCCATTCAATGGATTTAAATGTATGTCAATCGGACAAATGACGGATTTATCTATTCTCAAAAGGGAATAGTTTCCGATTTTTTTCAAATTTTGTGCCACTTTTATGACTGGCAGTTAAAGCCCACGCATTCGTAAAATAAATGAAAGCCCATCCACTATTGGGAAGCGGCGTGTAATTAGTTCATTATTAGTTCCGATAACAAACAATGGAAGGCAATGACTACTGCCGCGTCTTTCTCCTTTTTTTGCCATCAATGTTCTCATGATAACGACAACAAACCCCTTTTATTAAATTAACATTCCGTCGGATTCAAAGTCAAAATGCCAAGGACCGTTTTCTTCGTCGTCTTCTCTTCTTTAGCGAGAATTTGTTTGAATGGAGATAAACTGATTGTGTTCTCGTGGCCAATAGTGAATAACGTTTTGTAACTTTACTGCTTTAGTCAGATATCTCCCAACACTCTTACAAGTCTGTTGTCATAAGACGTAAGATTCCCTTCTCTTTGAAATTTCATGTCTCTTTCTTTACACATTAAGTGGGCTGTGTAAAACTTCACGTGAACCTTTCGGGAAATTAATTTCGGCATCTGAGAAAAAAAAAGTATCCGATCAAAACCTTATTCGAATAATTAGCACCGAATAGACTAGACTCCACCGATTGATTCATCACTTGCTGCAAAGGTCATGTAAAAACAAGAGGACATATCTGATTAGTCCTTATCTTTATGGGGGATGCCAGCTGTATTGTTTTTCTGGTCGAAATGAGGTTGTGGTTTTCAAATTCTGTACGTATGTCTTAGTCACGTTTTTGGACACACCAGAAGAGGAGGATCCAAGATATTTGAAGAATACTGTAATTTACAACTGTAATTTTTGTCTACCTTAGATTCCAACTAGCCCATTGCAAAGATTTTCCTATCTAATGCTTTACACGAGAATCTATTGGTAAATTTATTCAGCTTAATTTAGCACAATGCGTGTGGAGCTACCAATTTCTGTTTTGCAGCCTGGAAAAGTAGATGACAATCCCACTGCTTGTTCTCTCACTCTAACCAAGAACTGAATCTATCACTAGTCACAGTAGCATATCAATTCTTCTACCTTTACAATGTTCCTTTTGTTTAGTTTCTTGAGAGAGAAGTTTGCGGAGAAGATAAGTTACTACGGTTATTTAAATTTTAACTTAGAGCACTGTCGACTAAATCAAAACACTCACAACCTTTCCCAATGTGAGTTAATATGAACCAATATAAATCCCCACTTTCATGGAATATCATCCTTCAAATGTAGTTTACTTTCTTTGTTTCAAAAAGAATGACAATACCCTTTTCCGACTCCCTTTTAAAGCTTCCCCAAGAGGTAATCCAAATTATATTCACATATATTCCAGAAGAATGTTTATACACTTATATCGATAATCCCGTGATTGGAGAATATTCCGCCGATGTACTTCTAACCAAAGTCATAATCGGCTCTGGTCAAACTTGGTCACTCGAGAATGCAGGTCAAAAACTCCGTATTCCAATTGGAGATGAATTCTTTGTGCATAAGATGTCTGATCGCATGCTGCAAATATCCCAACAGATTCGATTTTTTGATGTCTTCAATTCCTTGAATTTATGGAAAAGTATCCCAATTGCAAACCTAGAGCAATTAGTTTTTATGGATTAGATGATGTGTTAATTACTCACAAAAGAAATCCGGCATTATTGCAAGTAGCTGAAATTGATGTACGATGGGTAGCGGACTATAATTTCCCAGAAGAAGTCTTAAACCTTGGATATAACTTCCACAGAATCGAATTTTTTGATGATAGTCACCTCAGAATTCCTGAAACAGTTCGAGAATTGACTGTACGTAGTGTATATCCACTTGGTGGAATCACTTCTTATTCACATTATATCCAAAACTTAAGACTTGAAAATTCGACGAGTATAACCCAATTGAAACATATTCCATCCAATTTGCTGAGTTTACATATACAATTCTGCTTACAACGAGGATATTCAAAACCTACATTGCCATTACCATTACAATCATTAACCCTAGATGTTGCCTCCCATAATCCTAACTCCGAATGTGATCTCTCACATTTATGCAACCTCAGATCATTTTCATCCGGATCTTCCTTAATCCCAATATCTTGCTTCCATCTCCCGAGACAAATTACTTGCCTAACTGCAAATTGGACACTGCAAAATGTTTTGAAAACTACTGGAAAGTGTTCAAAACTCAAAAAATTACATGCCAGAAGTAGTCTTGAAAACATGTTTAAGAGAATTCCATTTCCACGGGAATTGCAAGTCTTAGATATCCAAATGATTTCCCCCATACGTCTTGAAATCAACGAAAACTTCACCTTACCTTCCAACCTCAAATTCCTCAGGATTTCGGGGATTAAAGTAAGTTACAGACTACTGGAATTAATCCTACCCCCTTCACTTTATTTTTTGGAACTACGATATTGCTTATTGAGCTCTTGGACTGATTTGAGACTACATCCGAATCTTTTGACATTAAAAGTTCTTTCTGGAAGTATTAGTGAGTCACAACTTCCTATATCTTTAACGATGTTGAATTTGGATGGTTGTAGGTTTGCTTCATTGTCTGGATTCGATTTTGGGAGGTTGATTCATTTGGTTAGGGTGAGTATGAACTATACACAACTTGAAAGTATTGATTGTCATTTTGATTCAAATTTGAAGTTTTTGAGTTTGAAAGGAAATTATTTACTGAAGGTGCTGATAGATGCTCTGAAGTTAAAGGCACTCGATTTGGGCAAATGCAAAATCGCAAGCTTTGATCCTGGCAGTTTCAAGATTCCACAAAGTATAGTTGAATTGACTTTGGAAAGAGCAGTCATTGACACTGATCTAAGTAATCTCGTACTTCCTAGGTGCTCACGGCTGCTAAATTCAACAAGATGTAATCTTACTTCCGACATCCTCATGTCATGGGATTTATCCAACAGTTGTAAACAATTACGAAAAGTACGTTTGAATGGCAATAAACTAACCAACATCGAGGCTCACTTTCCAAAAACCTTAACTTCACTCGATTTAAGCCAAAATAGAATAAAAATCCCCGAAGAAAATTTCTTTATGCATTTCAACAAATTACAAGACCTAGCAATTGCCGATATTGGGCTAGATAAATGTCTCCGCGTGCTCAAAACAATTGATAATGCCTCGTTCAAACAGCTTGAATTCTCCAATTGTAATCGATTGAGATATGTTCTGTTATTTATGAATCATAAATGTGATCACGAACATTTATTTGCTGATTTAAAAGAAACTTGCCCCTTATTAGAGTGGATAAAGGGACAAACATATAGAGGTCTATCTTGAACTTTTCTATCTTCTGAATCTATTAGCTAGGTTCCTAATGAAAAGACATTACTAATATATCCATATATTATTCATTTATAATACCAGTGCTTATCGGGAAACTATTCCTAATTAGGAACTTCCTCCGATAATCAAATCACGTGAGATTCAGGGGACGTGCGCTACCAATGTTGTGAATCCCTTTGGTATTGACCTCCCATGCATTAGTGTTAATTCTACGGATCTGGTTGAGATGACCTATCTAGTTTACCGTTATTGCTAAAACAAATTTGACTTTATTAAATGGTTTTGGGTGTTGTGAATTAGTATGCATTTTGGCTGTCTTAAGGAGATTGGATAAAATAATGACAGAATTTCATTAGAAATCGAACTCAACTTGACTAAAGACAAATATTAAATCGATAGAATATTTTTATTTAGGATTATAAATATATGTATATAAAGTCGCTATATTCCTTGCTAGTTGTTCGTGTAATTGGTTTTCAATTTTTGCACCCAAGATTCGCCAGTGGGAAGAAGTCCGTGCAATCCCTCCGAGACCACTCTACAACACGTTCGCCTTCAATCTTTCACAAATGAACCCACAACACAGACTGAATCTCTCATGGAGTCATCCTTTTCGAATTGGTGAGCCCGTTACCAGGTGTTGAATGATTTTTTCCTAATCGATGTTGCTTCCCATGTCTCTCTTTCATTCTCACTAAAGAAAGAAAAAAGAATAAAATGTTAAAAAATCTAAAAAATTTAACTTTCATGGTTGTTTTACCTTTTAATTGAAGCATTTTCCAGGTTCACCATCCCCTCTATTTACGTTCAATACCGCCGAGAAGTTCCAGTAGAGTGACTTCTATTAACTTACACTACTTTTGTTTAAACAAAGAGAACAACCACCGCAGAATAACAAAGAGGAATACCTGTTCAGACTCCGATAGCCCAAGAACCACATAACGACTGAGATTCCACCATGGCAGTACATCTTTCCAGTGAAGACACTGTCCTTACAGAACGATTAGTGTCACTTTTGGACACTGAAGCAATAACTGGCTTACAAGCATATGTGACGGATGAGGACGATGAAGAAGAAGAAGAACATGATGAGGATGAAGACTGCAGTGATGTTGAATCTGAAGATGAGAATTATCCTTCTACTTTCAATAGCGAGTCACAACTTAATCCTCAAGAAGATAGAGATATTATGAGTAATTCAATACAATCATTTCATGAGTATGAACTAAACCAATCAGAATCACTTACATTTTTGTACAATTTATTATATGATAATGCATCCCAATTATCAAAATCTGATATCTTGGTGATTTTGAATGCGTTAAAAGTACGAGAGGATTCGTTACCATTTAGTATAGATACCTTGGAATACAATGATGTACAGGGTGTTCGATGGCCCAGAGAATTAAGGCGAAAGTTTTATAATGATAGACTTCGAGTAGGGAAGGATAATTATTTTCATAATATCCCAGATTCTCGAGAGAAGGCATTAAAAGTATGTTGAGCCCTCCACCAAATTTTAATAATTTTATGAATTGAAATACTAACAATTTCTATAATTACAGAGTGTGGATGTTTTAGGATATCAAATCAAGACTGATTTCTTTAAGTTCCATAAGTTCTTTAGTAAACTCAAACTCCATATAACTCATTTACAATTAAGAAATCTAGTATGTTGTGGGCCAAATATAGGCAATGGTATTTTCTACCCACTGAGTTATTACCATGATTCCCACTTAAGAACCGTAAATGTTCTCGATGACGCGGATGAAGAATATCATGCATTTTTCAAAATCAATCGATTAATGAATGACAAGACAGGTTGTGAAAAATCTGATTCCATGAAGTTAGATTGTTTGATAGATTCAAGAACTTTAATTAAGAATTCCAATAGTAGAATATCGACTTTAGCTTGTTCAAATAATTACTTAGCAAGTGGTACATTTGAAGGAGGATATATACTATCGGACATATCAGACCCAGATAATGTAAAAACCCTCGGAGAATATCATCTTACAAATAATATTGATGGTATCACGAATCAGATTATAGTAAATGAAAAAGATAATGAATTAATAATATCCTCAAATGATAAGAGCCTAAGGCTAATTGACTTGAACACCCATAAGACCACCAGTCTAAATACATTACCATTCCCATTGAATTATACTGCAATCAATCCTCATAATTCAAATGAAATATTTGTTACTGGAGATTGCATAAATTCATTTATACTAGACAAACGAATAAAATTTGATGATTCCGGGAACAAAGTACAATTTGAATGTCATGATGATTTTGGATTTGGGTGTGATTGGTCACCACGAGATGAAAACATATTGTTGACGGGTAATCAAGATAGTTGTGTTAAATTATGGGATAGAAGGAACCCCAAAAAGGCATTATATGCCTGGAGTGGGACATTGGGATTTTCAGATAGTGCATACGGAGGACCCGTTAGAAATTGTAAATTTAGTTATCATGGAAATTATATTGCATGGGCAGAGAGTTTGGATCATGTGGGAATTATACAAATGGATGATTTATTTAATACTAGAGATGATGGAATTTTATCAAGAGTTCAATCAATAGATTTTATTGGGAAATGTGCTGGATTGAATTTTGCACCTATTGAACAGGGTTACGGAGAGCAATTAATTATTGGAGTAATTGACTGTCCGTTGGGAGGTATCTTAAGCTATAAACTACCAAGCAGTCATAAATCATTGGATTTTGACTTCTACTTTTAGGTTCTAGATATTTTTTTATAGTTGTTGTCTGTGTATATATCCAATAATTGCATATCAACTCGGATTAGGTACTATGAGCCCCAGGGTATCCCTCCAAGCTCACCACATATCATCAACATTTTCACTAACTTGTAATTGACCTCCAACTTCTTTCATCAACTCATCTAAATGACTAATCTTCCAAGACTCTTTAGCTAAAGTAGCAACTACTCTTAATTTGTTTCTAGCTTTATTCACCCTCTTCTCAAATTCAGCAACTTCTTCATCTCCATTAATAATCGGTATATCCACTACTAAGTCCTTCAATTGTTGTAAATGAGATTCAAAGGATTTATTATTAGCATATTTCTCAATATTTTTCTGCCAATATTCTACCAATCCTTGAATATAACCAATTATTAGAAATCTTTGGAAACCAGTTTGATAACCATATTCTTCTCCTTCTATTAATTGTTCTTTTGTTGATTGTGCTACACCATCATCATATCCTTGTTGATAATAACGTTGTTCTATATTAAGAATCTCATCAGTGTCGATATTTATGTCACTCATCTCTGTTGTGTCTTTCCTCTGTGTTTCGATTGACTTGCCCTTTGTTTTACTGGTGTAGTCTTTCAGGATGCTTTTTCCTTGATGGTTGTAATGAGCGGAGAGAAATTTTCTGGTTCTTATTTTTTTTGAGGGGTAGAACATCGAGAACATCTCGATGGACGAACCATACCGATGAATCTGAAACACCGAGAATCAGAAGGAGAAAGCGAAGAAGAGGAAGAAGTTGATGTTTTGGGGAATGACAGAAGATATAGACAACGGCATAGAAATGATCTTCGTTTAAATTATGACTCTGACTCGTCATCACCGGAGAGTGAAAAGGAAGAGGAGGAAGACAACAATCCAGTAGTGGAGAAGACCGAAGAAGTACAAGACGGGGACGATGACGATATGTTCAGTGAGGAACCAGCAACTGACAAGGTTAATGGAAATGGAGTACAAGTAGCAGAAGATGAAGAAGACGAAGATGATATGTTCGCCAGTGATGACGACGAACCAAAAGAGGAATCCAAGAACCAAGATCAATTGGGTAGTGAAGGAGAGCAGGATATAATACCCCAAGTCCAAGAAATACAGCCAAATGAGGATGACTCCGAGGAAGAAGTCGATGTTCAATATTACAACAACCCAGAAGAATTTCAGCCAGGACAAACTTCCAAAGCAAAGAAAGGACCAAAGATTGAAGCATTCAATGTTGAAGAAGAGACAGAAGAGGGCCATTTCGATGCCGAAGGTAACTATATTCGCGACAGGAAAGACCAACCGATTACCGGTGACGACTTGTGGTTGAATGATTTTAAGAAATCAGACATAAAGAAAGCCGAATTGGCTCAACGTGAACGAGAACAGAGAGAGACTGAAAAGTTACTTTCGAAGAATACGAACATGGTGCCAACGGAGGCATTACTTACTCAATTGATTGAACTTTTGGAGCCAGCGGAAACTCCAATGGAGGCTCTTGCTAGATTAAATCCAAAGAGGTCGAGGAAGAAAGCAAAGCTGGACATAACAACTCAGAAACAAGTGATAAGCCAGATCACTAATCAATGCTCTGTTCTTATGAACGATAAATATATAGTTGATGTATATGACTTGACGCGGGAGGAATTAATGAGGAAATATAAACAAGAAACCGGAACAGAATACTCAAAAAGCAAGAAACGACCTCGAGAAGATCTGGAAGATAACGAGGATGACAACACGAAGGGGGATATTATAAACAGCGAAGAATACGGCGATAAAATATGGGAGTTCAAATGGCATGGAGATGATAACATCAATGGACCTTATTCTGAATATGAAATGAAACATTGGAAAGAAACATACTTCGAGGATAGAGTGGATGTACGAAAAGTTGGTGAGACGGAGTTCCAGAATGTTAGAGAAATAGATTTTCAATAGTTACATAGTAGTACATGTATTATTATTAAACCGAATAAGTTCTAATCTTCTATCAAGTATTCCGCAATTGGGAAATTGACCATTTTCGCAAGGCTTTCTGCAGTTGGCCAATTAATATTACATTTCCATCGGATTTTTGCTCCTAAGATATCTGATGACGAAGTTTTACTTAACAATCCCAATGAATACAAAGTTGCAATTTGGTTATTCAAATCCGTATTCTTTGTCAAAGTAAATTTGGATTTCTCAAGTTCCTTCTTTTCCTCTCGAGCTACTATTTCGTCGTCAATATATAGCAACTCGTCTTTATCTGATTGATTTAATGATGGGGCATAATTTCTGTAAATCACAGCTAAGATCGCCAATATTCTTTCAAGATCAACATAATTAGGAGACAATAAACGGTTATCTATATCTGTCTTGAGCATATGTGCCTTTTTAATCTTTGCCGGACTCGTAAGTGCTCTTCTCTTATACTTGACTAATTTGACTTTAGAAAACTTTTGAAGATCGCCCCTTGGGTTTCCATATGATGCTAAATATGATGCGAGTAAGAAGAATTTTGAATGTAATGGTAAATCAGCAACATTTCCATTATCAATTTGTTTTTCTTCTTCTAATGTACTGAAATCCCTTATTGAAGAGTTGGTTATTATATTATCATCCGTGAATAAATCGATGCTTTCCTTATAGATCTTAATGAAATCACTAACCATTAATCTACCCTCTTTTATAGGTTCAATAAATCTATCCCATAACCTTATGCAAATCTCTTTAAGTAAGTTTAGATCCGAGCCTGTGTACTCAAAAAACAAATCAACTATCACTTTAGCATACTTAGCCCAAAAGTCAGCACTCGAAGGAGTGTCGTCTATTTCATCTATTCCAAATTTGGCAAGCTGATTATCTTGCAAGATACCAACTATTTGCGACTCAGAATACTCGTCAAAATACACATGAGGTATTGAAAGTGATGCCACATCTTTCGGAACTTCACCAGAAATGATAATAATAACAGTCAAACTCTTTATCCTTGATTGCTCCCTAAACCGTAAAAATGATCCAAACAAATCTCGAGTCAGCTCCATACATTGATCAAATCTATCAAGAACCAACACATGATGTTGGTTATAGTTACGCTCATCCATGAATTGTTCAACTGCAGATAATAAGTTTGAAAAGTTCTCTCCTATTGATCCATATCGTAAATAATCATTTTTACTATATTTCCCATGACGAATTCCACTATCTTTTCTAAATCGACTGAAACATTTTTGTAAAAGAATTTTCTTGGAAATGCATTCATCACAATTTATCCTTGAGTATTTTATATTCAATGCCTCGAGAAATTTAGTCACCACTAAAGATTTCCCAACTGCTTTATAGCCTTGAACAATCACTGCATCGGACAGTAATGATGGATCTTGATTGATGAACGCGTTCAAAAGATCAAATTGGACATCACGCTCTTTGATTTGCTTTTTCAATTCAACTAACGCCTGATCGGACTCATCCATCACCATTTAATTAACCACAATGTGAGTATTTAATCTGATGGCTACCAAATTAGTTGATGGCGGTTGCTGATGAATTTTTGTTGATGAAATTTTTTGATTCGAGGTACACGACTATATAAAATCTGTTTGGTTGCAAATCATCAAAAATTGTTTCTTCTTGATTTAATAAATAATTACGAACCACTTTCTATTAATTAATATTATACAATCTTCTACAAATTACATATACACTTTCTATGACACTTCTTCTATTAAACCTTTTAACAATTGTAAATTGTAAAACTTAGCAACATTGACAAATGTTTGTAACTTTCTTTCAAGTTCAGAATGACTAACAGTTTCAACCCAACTACCAGAACATTTACAAAAAAGATCCATATTACGTTCTCTAATTTGATGACATTTAGAACATTTCAAATCTTGATTAAAGAACTTGGTAAACATCTTGTTGAATTGAGCAATAATTTCTTCTTCCATAGTGATTTTATTATATGACTTATGACATTGTTGACAATTCCAAATATTAATTTCTTCTTCTCGACATAAATCAATATCTCTAGTAAAATTACAATAATCACAAATAACATGAGGCAATTTCAAGGAAGCACTTGGATTTCTAAATAATGCTTCTTTACTGAATTCTTTGATATCAAATATCTGTAATAATTCTTTTCTTAATAACCTAACTTCAAGATTTCTCTTTTGTGATAATTCAAATACGGCGCATAAAGCCTTAACTAATTCTAAAATCGGATTCTTGAAATGTAAATGGGAACCAGCCAATTTAGGGAATTCATATTCTTTCTGAAATTCAGGATTAATAATAGCTTCATTTTGACGACGATATAATTTCTCAATTCTCTTTTGGAGTGGTTTTCTAAAAATCTCAATAACTCCATTCGTGATATCTTCTTCTTCAATTTCCTTTGCTTCTAACTTCTTTTGTCCCTTAAGAATATGAACAATTTGAGTAACTCTGGGAGTTCCACTTTGAGTACCAGTCAATGTTTCTGTTTTATGTTTGGTAAGTGCATCCAAGAAAATAACAATCCAATCTTCAAATTCTTCTCTGAAAATAATTGGTAAGAACTTCTTTATTTGCCATTGGTTCTCTGGCATCAAATTTTGCATTTCATCATTAGTGATTTCAGTACAACTTCTACCACCATAATTAAATTCATCCATCCATACCAAAAGATCCCAATATTTAACAACTTTCAAATCCAAAAAGTTAAAAAGTGGTTTAGATCTAGCAGCCTTAAGAATATATTGTCCATAAGCATAAGAATTTTCAACTGACACTTTACTTGTTTGAATCAACATCTTGTTTCGATTAGCAAATATAACTTGAGCATTCATTTTCTTGAATTCACCAATTAATTGTAAAAGTGCTTTTGAAGTCAAATTATGAACATGATAATGCAATGCATAATCATACAAGAATGAATCATTTCTTTGAACCCAAGTAACCAAATTGTTCATCATTGAATCAGCATTGATATTATTTCTTAAAGCATCATCCCACCAATCTTTGACCATTGATCTCAAAATGTTTAACGCAGGTGCTGAGAAGGCATCTTCAGCAAATGTAGTTGCACCATTATTCTTATCCGATCTAACTGCATCATCAGCCAAATCAGTACCTTCAGCTTCATTAATCAAAGAACTGGTGAGAATTGTATTGATCGTCAAAGTACCAATTTCAACTTCCAAACAGGCTGTTTCATAAATCTCAGGATTATTAATTGTGGGGAATTCCAAACTCTCAAAATCCATTGTATTATCAGATTCAAACCCACCATGATCAGGTAATGGATTAGATGACCACCATAAAACGATATTATTTTCAGTTAATCTTCTAGCATATTCAATATCAATCAAATATCCCACATTCTCAATTTGCAAATTACAAAGGGGAACACCACCATATTTGGATAAGGCAATCAAATTCTTAACCCAAGATGCTAAAACGAAATAATGGTTGATTACTCTCTTCGAAATTAAAGATTGCCACCCAATTGCGGGCAATACAAGCTCACTAACATTCATCTTAATTGTCGGGAAATCAGCAGCTGAAGATAAAACATTAAGAACTCTAGCTGCAAATGGGGATTGGACTGCAAGTAATGCCTTGTTGCTTCTGCTTTCATGGATTTTACTAATCGTTTTATTAAGCTTCTTGAAAAGTTTAGAATTGTCCTGGAAGTAATCAGCTTCAAATGTCATTTCACTTGGATAGTCAATAATATTACTTACTTTACCCAATTTATCTTTCTTAGCTTCATAGATTTCACGATAGATCCTGTCTATATTTGTTGGCAATTCTTGAGCATTGGCAGAAGGTTTCAAGACAAATATATGTGCATGATTCTCCCAACTTTTGAAAACAGTATAGAATTCATAACTATTGGTAACAATATGTAATAGATACACCATATCCATATCAAATTTTCTCAAATAAGTATCTGATTTAATCTTAACCAATTCTTGTGCACTAAATCCATTCTTCATCCCTTTTCCTAAGGCACCAACTCTAGTATCATCAAATTTAACAACATTACCTAAATCAATAATTGCTCTTTCAACGGGTCCAACTTGTGTTTCATAAAGTCCCAAAATATTAGAATCTTGTAACAAACTACCCACATCTTCAAATTGTTCTTGATATACAGATTGAGGCATGGTCAACTTATATAAATTGGTAGCGTCGTGCCCATTTGGAAGAATAGCATTTGATTGTTCAATTTGACATCCTGCAACCGAAAGTAATTTTCTTCTTGAAAGTTCAGTCTTGAATGACGCATAGAGTTTCTTGGGAATATTGAATTGGAAAGAATGTATTTTGTTGTTACCAATTGAGACATATACTTTCAAATTACCTGGCTTAGTTGGATCTTCTTTATACTCCAAAATCTCCCAATTTGAACCAGCAATATTTTCTGCTTGTTTACGGATCATACCACCAACCGTTGATCTTTGTGAAGTTTCACTATTGGCACCAAACAACTTCCTTCTTCTTTCTCTGTTTGCTGCTTGTTGTTTCCATTTAGCCTTTTGATATTGCAAGAAAGCTTGATAATCTTCAGTCATAGATGGACAAGGACCATTCAAAAGAGCTTGCATTCTTTCTTCTTCTTCATTGTCAGACACTGAGTTAGCCTTACCTGCTCTTCTTTTTCTTGAAGTGACTTTTCCAACTCGAGGTTTCATCATACCACCTTCCATATCAACTTCACCAAAATCTTCAATATCTTTAACTTGCTTTTCAGTAACTTCTGCTTTCGTTGCCTTGCCAAAAAAGGTTGCAATTGAACTCTGTTGTTTTGAATCTTCTCTAGTGGCAATTTTTCTCAGTAACCAATCTGGATGTTGTACTCTAGGAACTGGATTCTTCACATTTTGCAACGCAGCAGGAATGGTAATAATCTTTTGAATAACAGATGCTAATCTTTCTCTATAATAATCCCAATCAATAACATCACGTGGACTAAAATCGGTTAATGAAGGATCCTTTAACCATTTCTTCAAGAATAATTCCTTCTTTTCCAGCGAGAATATAGATACCGGAACAGCACGTTCAGTAACTGGGGCACCAACAGGTTTTGCACTAATAATGTACTTGGTAGCTAACCCGGCATCTTTCACCATTTCTTCTCCCAAGAATTCTCCTAATCTTCTAGCAGTAGTGATAGAAGTAGATTTTTGATCACCATATTCAGCTAAACTCTTGGACATACTTCTATTTTCACAAATCAATTCAATCAAATCTTCATCTTCTAACATCCCACCTTTTGTATCCAAAACATCCAACCAATTGTTGGCAACAGTAGCAACCGCCAGATAACAACTTTCAAGAGAATCACCATCCAAAAACAACTTGAATATATCACTTTGGAAATTCTTAATCAATTGTAATTCACCTCTACGTTTCAATTCAAACCCTTTCAATTCCGCCAATGATCCATCTTCATTAAATACAGCATAACGCTTCTTTAACCCCTTACCTTCTTCTTTGGAAGTTGGTAAAATCATTGCTTTATATGGTCCATCAACTTCAAAGAAAATCGAATTATCATCTCTGGTCTTATATTTGAATGTTTCCGGATCTACCAAATCTTGATATTGATGATTTGTAAATCTTTGATGCACTAAATAATTCAACATTGAACAAGGATATTCCAAAAAGACCTTCTTACCATTCTTACATTTCAAATTAAAATTCTCGGGGAATGATTTAGGTAAAATACACCAAATACCATCAGTATCCAATTCCAATGGTCTACCGATCCTTTCCACTAATGCTCTCGCCATTTGAATAATAGTTGCACCTGTTAAACATGTCACACCTGCCATTTCCATCGAATACCATCTTGACCCCTTTCTCATAACATATCCATAGAAAGAGTTCAAAATGACTTTATGAGCAAGTTGTAAGGAATCATAAAGAACAACCATTTTCTTAGCTTCATCTCGGGCAATGGTATCATTACTATCAATCTTGGAAATTTTACCTTTCCAAGTTTTCGCCAATCCTTTGAATTCATATCTACGATCTCTGAAATTTCTCACAGTATCCACATAAAATGGGTTTTCTCGTTGACAAATGATAGCTTCTCTGGTGACGACTTTACTTTGTTTGACTCTGTGGTAGACTTTTCTAGAATAATCACTGATTCTCTTCTTGATTAATGCAGCCTGTTCAGTATATGACAATTCATCAAATTTTCTTGGTGGGACCCAATGTTTGGTAGGATGAGGGAAGGTTTCATTCTGTAATGTTCTTTTGATCATATTATACTCATTCATTTCTGCCGGGAAATATTCACCTCTCCAAGACCAAGGTAATCTTCTATCACAATTCTTTCCTGGACGATTGAAATCACAAGCAGCACAATCTTCTTCAGTTTTCATTGAATCGGGTTGTAATCTATTTGAAGTCATAATATTAGGATACATCGATGCCACATCCACATGATAAATCAATGGAGTTTCTTTTCTCGAGGGGTTGGTTTTCAACTCGATTAATTTCTCCTTTATACCTTCATAAACTTCATCAAAATTCTCAACATCATCCATACTTTTTCCATTTTCAACCTCAATACAAAATTTGATCGAATTATGCAAATCTCGTAACAATTCATCAATTGCCAGTGGATCAACTTTAAAATCTGTGGAAATATCACTTCTGAAAACACCGGCTTCTAAAGATTCAACATGTCCACCGACATAAGTTTCTGATTCCAATAAATGTCCATCATAGAATCTTTCAATAGGATCTGAATGTTTATTAGGTAACAAAATCCCACCTTCATAAGCTTGAACCGAAAGTAACATTTCACATAATGTTCCCGTACCTTTTCTTAACACTTCATCAGGATTCAATGGAATAATAGTACACAAGGAAAAAATAAATGGATGAACATATTTATAATACAAATAATAAGTCGCCACTGCATCCGAAACAGAATATTCCGATAACAATTGTGGTTTTTCATAAGCATATGGTGTCATTAATTCCGGATCAAGTTCTGTAGGATTATATCCCAATTTTGCAGTTGTGACTGCTTTTAAACCTTGTGAACCTTGAGGTAAATAAGAATCACGTTTCACCCATCTAAAACAATCCATATGTACACAATATTTCGATTTATATTCTCCTTCATTATCCCTGGCAAATCCAATTTCATCAAACATGTCCATATCATGATATCTTGTTCTAGTTTCAATGAATGGCCAATCGAAGAAATCACCATTAAATGTGGCCATGACGGTAGGTTTAACATCCCGAATATGTTCATAGAATCTTTCAAGAACGTGTTTTTCATCAGGTTCATTAAAAATAGTGAATTGTCCAGGATATTCTGGTTTGGGAGTATATTCAAAATCATCAATATCTTGAGAAATAATTTCTCTATTGGTAATTAAATACCCATCTCCATCAATCATATATGAAATCATCATAATTTGATCTATTTTGGCATCTGGGAATTTTAATGGTGCTTTTGTAGTTTCGATATCGAATGCTAATACTACTGGATCAGCAAATGCAATCTTTTCTTTATCTTCCACAAGTTCAACTTTAGAATGTTTGGCATAGACATTATACCATTTTCCAACTCTGATTTTATTGTCGATAGCTACTCTAACATGATATGGGACATCATATTCTTTCATATCATCTATAAATGTGGCAGGATCCGTGTTACGGTCATCTTCTCCGTTGGTGGTTGTGGTTGCAATAGAATTTCCAAAGTTCAATACTTTATAAATATCTCTTGAATCTCGTTTCATTTGATTATCTTTAATAATAGGTGTTAATAATCTTCTTGCAGCTAATAAATCAGATACATTATGAAAACTTAACTTAATTAAATTCTTCTTCAATCCAACTAAATGATTAGGTAATGCTAAATCATCCTTAATTACTCTAGTTAAATTCTTAACATTACAAGTTTCTAAAAATCTTCTCAGCCATTCTTCAACTTCCAGTTCTCTACCAGGTATCACTTCAATAAAGAAATATGGATCATATTGTAAAGTAGCTTTAAAACTACCACCTTCTTCATCTAAGAAATAATAATCAACTCCAGAATATCCAATAAGGTAATTAGTATCTTCTCCATCATCTTTAGGTATAGTAGTTGCATGCATATTGATTAACCAACCTCTTCGTGGTTTATTTCCATCGTTCTCTCCATGCTCAAATCGATCAAATCCCATTATGGAATCAATATGGTCTATTCTTGTAACTAATTCTCTCTTCTGATGAGCATCATTTAACATTGGGTTATTCGCTATGTATGGATCAACAACCGGTGTTTCTCGTTGTGATTTAAATTTGGTTGTGATTTCTTTGTTGTTTTTGTTGTAGTTGCTGTTGTTACCATTCTTGACATAACGGGCAGATGTTGACCCTTTAAAGTTTGATCTTGATGACATCTTATTAATGATTATTGAATGTTCATATAATGTTCTATTAAAGGATTAAAGAGTATTGGTGATAAAATCAAAATTGAAATAAGTTTTGCAACACGCGTGTAAAATCCAAAAAAAAATTTCTGATGGCTGACAGAAAAGAGAAATTGTACAAAAAAATAAAAAAAAACGCGTAAAAATGCAAAATTGATACATATGGAAGCGCTAACTTTTATACGCAAATAGTATATCATTCTCATAGCTGAAGGAATAGTTAGGCTTCTCGCTAATTCAGATACAACTACTAAACTGCTATCTCTTCTCTTGTTCGCAAGAAATGGAAGACTAGCTTTGAAAGCATCTCAGTGATGTTTTTCTTACTATTGTAAATTTCTTGATTGAAGAGAGTCAGACATGGAAGCGCAAGGTTCACATCACAAAATTGCAACTTACTAATTGGAACTAGCAGAACTCCAATTGGTTTTGCAACTTTTATATTAGAAAACATTTGTTCTATTAAGATAAATATAGAAGGATTGATTTAACATGAATCCTGTCAGACTTAGATTATTAGCACGCATTATTAAGATTTGTACTATGTTGTAAAATACTATACCGGGAAATTACTGTCTATTTATATAACAAGCTACATCTCGTGCAATTACTTACTCATGTAAAGTATAATAAGCCCTTGAACAATCACGGAATAAATGAACAAGAATTGGATTCTAATCTTACGTTGCTTTGAAGTAATACTATTAGAAACGCCAGTAGTACCGCCAGTATTTGGATTATTATTAACATTAGGTAAGACCAAGAATTTCAACGATCTCATTAAAAAGATTGATAAATTAGCAATCAACAATATAACAATTGCATAATATCCAATTGAACCTAACCAACCACCAACTAAATGTTTAGTACATAATAAAACAATAATCAGAACATATTTATATCCAGCAAAACATACAATATCATAGATTTTCCCAGCTCCTCCACAATTCAACAAATATAATCCAGTCTTAAAAATTACGACATCCAATATCGAAAATGCCATTGTTTGTGAACTTAAATATCCAAATAATTGAGGATGGAAATCTCCTTTTAATCCTTCAAATGCAGCCCAAAGTAAAATATAAGTCACAAATGACATTAAGGGAATATATAAATCAGGAGCATTAATATCATGACTAGGTGGCAAGTACTGACTTTGTCCAGTTTCTTTAGTAGATATTCTATTCCAATCTTTATGTCTATATGGAAATAATATTAATAAGATCTTACGAAATACATAAGAATTAGAAACTTGGAAATAATATTTTATATCAACACCTGAAAATGCAGCAAATGAACCAAAGTTTTCTTGAAGATATTGATTTGAATGTTCAAATCCACTACGAGCAAATTGGGATGCTAACGCTGTTGCTGGATCATTAAAGAAATTAAACCCTGGTTGTTGTGCTTGCTGTTGTTGTTGTTGCTGTTGATGCATTGGTTGAGGTTGAGGGTGTTGATGCATATGGGGACTATCTTGGAGTGGTGGTATTCCCATTGGTTGCGGTTGACTAAATTGAGTTGGATGATGAGGTTGTGGATGTTGTAAATGTTGTTGTGGTTGAGGTGGAATATATTGTTTCAGTTGAGGAACACGACGTTGCTGTTGCAGTTGCTGTGGTTGTTGTTGTTGCAGTTGATACGCATCAGCTACATTTCCATATGGATTGTACATGATGATTATTAGATTTTATTTCTATTTGGCTATGTCTATAGTTACAAGTAATAATTGCCCTTGATATTAGTTTAAAATTCAACCTGTCAAATTTTGTTTCTGAATGAATTGTTAGTCCAAACCAAAGAAAAAAAGGTTTCGGAAGGCAAGTTGTAGACTTCCTAATTAGGAAGGAGGCTACTGGAAACTTCTGTATCGGTTAAAGTCTACTTTTGTGTAATATTTCATCTTTAAATTTGAAAATGTGTGTTGCTTTCTGGGTTTATATGCAGTACCTTGACTTACACAATCTCAATAATGGAAAGTTCCAGATCGTTTGTAACCTTAAGGTACACTCCTCGCACCCACACACCCTCATCCTGCCCGCCCCTTAACACATAAATATTACATCATAGCCTACATCATACACACACATATATATATATCTATTACCATTATACCAACAACAATAGGATTTTTCAATTATAAATAGTTTGGCTTTTTTCTTTTCTCCCTTTTTGTAATTTATTTTCACGCACGGCTTATCAACTATCACAATAGTAAACTTATACACAACTCAATTACATATATGACAACAACAATGGTTCAAGGAAAAGTATTAGTAGTCTCCAATAGATTACCCGTCACAATTAAACGTTCCAGCGATGGTTCATACACTTATTCCATGTCTTCCGGTGGGTTAGTCACCGCATTACAAGGACTTAAAAAATCCACCGAATTTCAATGGTTAGGTTGGCCAGGATTAGAACTTCCTGAAGATGAACAAGATAGAGTCAACGCTGATCTTAAATCCAAATTCAACTGTACTGCCATTTTCCTTAGTGATACAATTGCTGAATTACATTATAATGGGTTTTCAAATAGTATATTATGGCCATTATTTCATTATCATCCTGGAGAAATGAATTTTGATGAAAATGCTTGGGCGGCTTATATTGAAGCCAATCGGAAATTTGCCATTGAAATTGCCGCTCAAACAAATGATAATGATATGATTTGGGTTCATGATTATCATTTAATGTTATTACCACAAATGTTAAGAGCTGAAATTGGTAATAAAAAGAAAAATATTAGAATTGGATTTTTCCTTCATACTCCATTCCCATCTTCCGAGATATATCGTATTTTACCAGTACGTAAAGAAATTTTAGAAGGGGTTTTATCTTGTGATTTAATTGGTTTCCATACTTATGATTATGCTCGTCATTTCTTATCTTCAGTTTCAAGAATCGTACCCCATGTTACTACATTACCTAATGGTATCCAATTCCAAAACCGTTCAATCAGTATTGGAGCATTCCCAATCGGGATCGATGTGGATAATTTCATTGAAGGATTACAAAAACCAAGTGTAGTTGCTCGTATTAAACAATTAAAATCAAAATTCGATGGAGTTAAAGTCATAGTCGGAGTAGATAGACTTGATTATATCAAAGGTGTTCCTCAAAAACTTCATGCATTTGAAGTATTCCTTAATGAAAATCCAGAATGGATAGGTAAAGTTGTTTTGGTTCAAGTTGCCGTTCCACTGAGAGGTGATGTTGAAGAATATCAAAATTTAAGATCTTCAGTTAATGAACTTGTTGGTAGAATAAATGGACAATTTGGGACCGTTGAATTCACCCCAATTCATTATTTACATAAACTGATTCCGTTTGATGAATTGATTAGTTTATATAATGTAAGTGATGTTTGTTTGGTTAGTTCTACCAGAGATGGGATGAATTTGGTTAGTTATGAATATATTGCTTGTCAACAAGAAAGGAAAGGTGCTTTGATCTTATCTGAATTTGCTGGGGCTGCACAATCCTTAAATGGTGCTATTATTGTTAATCCTTGGAATACTGAAGATTTAAGTGAAGCTCTTAAAGAAAGTTTAACTTTACCCGAAGAAAAGAAGGAAATTAATTTTAAGAGATTATTTGGATATATCTCCAAATATACTTCTGGTTATTGGGGTGAAAGTTTCGTTAAGGAATTATACAAATGTAATAGTTCAAAGAGAGTGTCTTCAAAGACTACCGTATAGAAAGTGTTTTCTTCAAGTTTTATATTTCAAATCCTTTCTCTTTCTCATTGTATAAGTTTATCAAAGACGTTTTTTTAATAATCATAACTCCTCGTTAGCTCTACAATCAAATTATTAATTAAATACCTCATAAATTTAACCTCAATATTAAAACAAACTGTTCCATAAATACCATATATGCTAATAATTACTAATAATAAATAAACCATCACACAGTAAACCCTTCTCCCCCATCCCAACCACCGCACACATATCTTCTACTCTACATAATCATCAATATCATCATCAAATGATTCTATCATATCCAACTTCATAATCTCATGACTTCTTAAATTCTCAGTCGTAAGTAATCTCAACCCCTTTTCTTGATTTTCTTTATCCTCATCATCTTCCGCTACCTTCTTATCCTCAATCATAATACCAGGAGTACTGGTGGTAGCATTTTCCAGGGGCACGGAAATAACCTGGGGACGGATCCCTAATTTTGACAAAAATGATGAATTACTTGTCAAGACATATGGATTGGGTAACCTGGCTTGAATATTATCTCCAACTATACTACTTTCACTATATAAACTAGATTGAGGTAGATGACTTGCCTTATGGAAAAATGGCCTTCTATGTTGTGCTTGTTGTTGCTGTTGTTGTTGTTGTTCATTGAAATTGGGTGGTAGGGATGGTCCTAATGGCATACTACTTTTTCTGAATATAGTTGATGATGCTGCCGTTGCAATACCAGAAGGTGGTGATGACCGATTGGAACTTGAAGTAGGCGATAATGGTCCTCTAGGGGAATTGGTGTTGGTATAATGTGAAATATCTTCTTCCATATTTTTCACTGAACTGAAAGCTGTCATTAAATAGGGTAATTCATCAGTGATTGTTGATTTATGAGTTGATGAACTTGTGGATGCGGCCGACAATGAATCTTTAGGTTGATTTCTCGTGATTGAATGAACCATAGGCGCATGAAGGTGTTGCTGTTGTGATACTGAAGTATTAATATCTGAATCTGAAGAATCGAAATCAAATTCAGAGTACGTCACATCGGAATACCTACGCTGTTGTGGGTGGAGATGGGCATCATCATGTGTTGGAGTTGTGGCGGTGACCAATGCAGTCTCTTCAATCAATGATTGTTCTATTGAATCCACCATTCTTTCTAATTTGAATTTTTCAAACATTCTTTCCATATCATTGATCATAGCTAAACATTCATATTTTGCGTCATTATCAGCTTGATCTATGGCGTCGTTCAATTGACGCAATAATCCCGATATGAATGCCTTATAGGCATCTACTGTAGATCTATCTTTATTTTCTTCATCGTCATCGTTGCTCATTATAACTTCCAATTCTTGACCAATTAAGATCAATTTCGCTTTCAGGTACGAAATTGATAATAATTCAGTTAATTCATTCTTTAATTTTATTATTCGAAGGATTAATGAAGTTAGCATGGTCCCACTATCAGATATCAAATCTATAGGAGTTAACGTTCTTGATGATTTACTTATGAAATCAATATCGGAAGAAATTTTCGATATTTTTCGATTAAGTTCAGTACATGCTACTAAAACTTTATCAGCAACACCAGTATTAAATTGTTTAATATCGCTATTACTTTCTTGTTCGAAATGATATTGACTATTATAATCTAATGATAAAAATTCCCAACTTTTTAATTTTAAATGTAATTTATCTAAAGTTTGTAAAATTATAAACGCTGATGAACATAATTTTGAAACCTTTCTTTCTGTTATATTTTGAATTAGTCGAATTAATTCGGTGGATTTTGTTTGATCTTTATTTAAATTAGGATCTGTTACTAATGATATGACCGGGTCATAATATGGTTGTCTAGTTTCAACATATGCCATTGTGGATGCTAAGGAGTGTTTATTTATGAATTATGTGTTCCTAGGTGTGTTTGTTTGTTTCTTGAGGAGGTGAAATAAATAAATATAAAGGATAGTTCTCTTCCTAATATAAATGGGAAAATGTAATTGGGTAATTTGTTAATTAAAAAAAAAACGAATGAAAGGAAAACCTGAATTGATATGTGAAAATGTAACGAATTAAATGTAAATATCCTTTATGAAAATTAATGGATGGTTTCTTTTTCTGGTTTTCTTCTCGAAAATCGAATGGTTTTTTTTTTAGTTTTATTTTTTTATTTGCTTCTCTTTTTTCTTTTTAAATAAAAAGTTTCTTCTGGATTTCTTTTTGATTTGCAACGTTGTCTTAAAATGAGTCACACGGCCAGTCACTATTATCGTTACTTGAAACAGTAGACTATGATAGACAAATTGTTCTCTTACAGAATTGTATCTAAGCGAACAATGCAATTGATTCTATTTATATTCTTTTTCTTTGCCAGATAACCAATCATGCGTTGACATGGTGATATTGGGGAAAAGCCAGCCTAGCGAATTACTACTAAAGTTCTCTTGTCCCCACATTCCACGACGACAGAAGAAGGTAATAACGCTATCGCAACCCTTTAACTGATACCGTAGCATATGTAGATTACACAATTGCCTTGAATTGGACAATCAAATGAATTGGGACCCCCTTTGATTTAATCGTCTAAGAAATTTAGCAGCACAATTTCTTATTGAATTCCTTCTGGTTGGTTTCTACTACACTAAAAACAATCATTAGTACTTAACAGCTAGGGTAGACTATCGACTTACTTCCTTATCTTCAGCCATTAGTAAGTAGCTCATTCAAATAACTCAATTCTGTTGTCAATTTTAAGGAAAATCAAAAAGTTTAATTTTTTTTGCGACACTGTGGAAACTCCTTATGTGCTGCCAAGTGAATTTTTTTCTTGTGTGTAAACACATTACGGAGACATAGTCGATTTCTCCGAAAGTACGTCAGCCATGTGTACCCAGTACATACTTTACAGATGATTTGAAATACCGTAATTAGGCTTTTTTTCTTGCCAGTTGATGATCTCGTACATGCCTTTGGTAGGGATGTTTTCAATTCTGCAGAGGGAATCATTAAGTTAGAGAGAACCTGGGGCGGAAATGAGCGTCATTAAAACTTTTAACTACAAGATGCATCCCACGGAACCAATTACAAAGATATTGCTGGATTCGGAAATCCATTTCATTCATACTATCATTGGGAGCTTCTATCGCATGTTTGTGGTTTAACCAGATGACTTGTCGTAACAAATCTGACGAGGGACAGCCGTGTTCCAGACGGTGGTCTCAATTGGCTGTGCGTCTATGCTGGCTAAAGTACTCAAATCATTCGGATAAATTTGTTTCAACGAATAGACAGCAGACTACACAGAAACTTGCATTCGACGAACGGATATTCGTATTCATCCACTAGTTAAACTCACAACGGCACAGGCTCTACTACTCTTCTCATCATTACCATTAAAATTAATTGTCATTAAATTAAATAAAATATATGTACTATGTCTACAAGGAATGATTTGTTTTATGTAACAGTATGCAAATGAATGATAGTCATGACCTAAAATATGTCATTTATTTATTTATTACATTAAGTTTTTCTCTTTTAATACTTTATCAATCATCATTTTATACCAATCATCCATATTACCACCTTGAGGATGAACTGCAACTATGATTAATGTCATATTATCGAAACCAATTCCGGTATAATTATTCGCCATTGTTAAACAATCATTCAAAATATATTCGACAATTCTATTTAATTTCCAACCAAATGCCAATTTATCTCTAATTAATTTCACCAATTGATTATTCTTAAAACAATCCCAAATTCCATCACAAGCAATCACTAAAAACTCAGGTGGTGGAGTATAAACATTCTTAATATCATAAATTAATATATCAGGTTCAACAGTAACTTGAAATAATTCTGGAGGTAAATGAACAATTTTTTTCAGTAATTTAAGTTTATTTTCATTAATATATTTATTTCTTGAACTATCAATAAATGGTAATTTAAATTTAAAATCTCCAAATGCTCTTGATAATGCAAGAATTTCATTTATTCGACTATTCAATACATAACCATTACTATTTTCAATTCGAACTCTTTCTCCCATATTACTTGGTTTATGATCAAATGATAATGTTTTTGCCGAACCATTGATTGATAAAATACATCTAGAATCACCAGTATTCGCTACATATATTCTATCATCTAACATGATTGATATAATTGCAGTACTACCACAATTGATTGCATGAAGTAAATTTTGATTCAATTCATAATCAATTTGAAAGAAACAATCCCGAATAATCCGAATAACATTTCCATTACCTCCACTACCACTACTTCTATTACCACCAGCAGGATCTGAATTCTCTAATTGACTTGCTTTCTTTCTTTTATATTTTTGTAATTCTCGAAATATTAATCTTGGTAAATGTATTGCTAAATATTCTGAACATTGTTTCCCACCATGTCCATCAAATACTCCAAATACTGCTAAACTTTCATCTTCATTAATCTTAACATCATGGGCATCTTCCATTGTCATTCGATATCCTTGCATCGCCCCTACACAATATGAAAGTTTATTGTGTATTTTATAATCCAATTGTTTATCTTCAATTGGATGAGATAATAATTGTCCCATGGCAGCTTTGCTTGTTTGTTGTTAATGTTCTTTTACTTTTGTATAATTGTTGTTATGTAGTGTGAAGGGGTGTGCTTATGTATGTATATATGTTTCTGTATGATTTCTATCTTCTCATACTTGGGATATGTTAATGACAATTGGGCGAAGTGAGAAAGTCTGAAAATGATTTACAGTAATAAATCAAATATGAATGAGCTAATAATAAAATCTCTTTTTTTTTTCTTTGCTTGTTAATTTAAAGTTTTTTTATACGAAAAAAAATCTTTTTGTTTAATTAGTCGTCTTTTTTTTCTCTCTCTACTTTTATATAAATTGTTGGTAGATTATTAAATTAGTTTAAGTTTAGTTTAGTTAGTTAGAGTGACTGTGAAATTTTGATTTTGTAACTTCCAGCGGAACGAACTTTTGTCTATTATCATTCAATGTCGTCATTTTTTAGGAGTGGAATGTCTCTTTCTCTTACTCGGAGTCAATGTCGTCCATGCACTCCCCACATTTAAATCCAAACATTCACTTGAGACATACAACAGTGCATACTTACTTACTTACTTAGCCCCACACTTACCAGCACCATCCAGCAAAGCGCAATACTTACACAAAAATGATGATCCCAACGATTAACCAGAATTCAATAGTAGGATGTCAAAATTCACCCCTGCCAACTGACATTCATTTCCCATTAGGACCATTCACTAAACATCCATACAACCCCATCTTAACCCCAGACCCATCCCATGAATGGGAATCAGCCTATATCTACAATGCAACTGCCATTGTAATTGATCAAAAAATCTATCTCTTCTATCGAGCCCAAAACTTCCAAAAAATCTCCAGTATTGGAATCGCTTGGTCAACTGATGGATTCAACTTTGAGAGATTTCCAAAACCAGTAATCTTCCCCACTGAACCTTATGAATTAGCTGGAGGATGTGAAGATCCAAGAATCGTAAGAGATGAAAAAACTAAGCGGTTCATAATGACATATACCGCATATGATGGACATATTGCCCGATTATGCGTTGCTAGTTCAATGGATTTATTTAATTGGAAGAAATATCCTCCATTATTTATGAATTCTCCCGAGGGAAACCCACTTTGGAGTAAATCAGGAGCGATATTTACTGATCTTAGACAAGAAGATGGGAAATATTATATGGTTTGGGGTGATCAGAAATTATATCTTGCTATTTCCGATGATTTAATTCATTGGGAACTACCATTCCCTGATACGAGGCTTGATGATAATATATTTGCCAATAGAGTATTTCCTCATGAATCGAGATTAATTGAATCTGGTCCTGCTCCGATTAAGTTAAGTAATGGGATGTATATATTTATATACAATTGCTCAACCTGGGGCACTGACGAATTGGAAGAAGGAAGTTATAGTATTTCACAAATGTTGATAGACTATAATAATATAACCAATGGCCCAGTAACTAGATTAGAAAAGCCAATGATTATCCCAGAAACAGAAGATGAGAAGAATGGATTGGTTAATAATGTCGTGTTTTGTGAAGGGATCGTGTTGTTTAATGGAACATGGTTTTTATACTATGGACAAGCTGATTCGGTATTAGGAGTTGCAATTGCTCCATTGAGTCAATCTTAAATTTGAGTTATTAGATTCGTCTTAGAAGAATACAATAGATACATTTGGATTAACTACAGACTTGTAGGTTTTACTTAATTCTCTAATAACTCTAATACCCTTTTTTTTTTTTACTCTATACAATTTATAAAAACTATACAGAAAAACCTACTCCCATTGAGTAAACTCAAAGGAGGTTGTTATTGTTTTTCTCTTAAAAGCGAAGTGGCGACATTGGTAGCGCGGATGCGTAAGATATTTCCTGTCATATTCTTGACGCCAGCAAGTATTCAGTTTTGGAAAATTCATATAACTATTGATCAACGTTAATACCTAGATCACATATTCCATTTCTATTTATATAACATCCGTATATTGCTAGTCTTCTAGTTGACTACCAATACTTTATCAATGTGCAAAAAGTAAAAAGTGCGTGCACCTACCAATATCGCCAACCTTATCAAAAAAGAAGGTTCCCCCCCATACAACTCCTTCTTTAGCGTTTTATCAATCACCTAAATTCACAATACAAAAGCAATGCAATGCCTTCGAATAAAGTACATATAGGAGATCTATCATCTCCCCAAACCAGATCTTCCGGACCCAGCAAAAGACCAAGTTCCCAATCGATCGCTCCATCTGACACAACTGCCATATCAAAAGAATTCCTTCGACAATATCAAACCCGATCTAAAACAGATGACGAGTTTAATAATCGATGTAGGGGCCAAATTGATAAGATATTCCTAATTACTGATCTTTTATTATTGGGTTATGCAAAAGATGGAAAAGAAATTGCCGGGATTTATGAATCATTGGATCCGGAACTACCTACCCCCCTGATGACTACTATTATATCATTGGCTATTCAGTTGAATAAATCACGTATGTTGGGAATGAGGGTTAAGACTGATGCAATTGAATCTACAACTCTGCGACTATCTGAGAGAATTGAGAAGATGGAGGAGGAAAAAGTTAGGAGAGAACAAGAGTTGGATGAAATACGAATGGGGTTTTTAAGAAAGGAAACGGCATTGATTAAGTCATATTTGGAGACTATGGACTCTTTAGGAAATGAAATTGAGGAATATAAAACCACGAAGAATAAACAAGTTGAAAAGCAATCTTTGAAATTACAATATTTGAATTTTAAAATATTGTATGAAATAATGTTTCAATATAAAGAGAAAGGAAGATTGCAATTTATTCATCAACCAATATTGAAATTAGAGGAGTTTTTGGGATATAACATATTGGTCATAAATCAATTTCTTGAAAAATTGATTATATTGCAATGTCATTTATCTTATTTGTTTAGAGTTGAATTGCCTCATTTACATGAATTAATTGGATTCTTACCCAATGGCAAATTTTACGATTTGATAAAGAAGAAACAAGCCATGATACTAGGGACAACAGAGGAAGAAGAGGAAGATAATGAAGAATCAAAGGATAAACCGTCAGAAACATCAAGTCTGAAAGGACCCATTCCGGATACAACACCAGAACCTCCAAAAGACATTCGGAACCCTAAAGAGAAGTTAATAAAGCTTGGAGATGCATATAAATTACCATTATCAGCCAAAACATTAAATTATCAACGGCGAGCTAGGCGAATTTCATCTATCGATCCAAGTGAATTAAACAATATTCCTATACTTAAAGAAAGATCATTGTCGCCAAACTCGACAATGGCTGCAAATATATCTTCTGCAACTGCTATCCCAACTACTGGTTCGACAACTGGTCCCAAGAAACACATGATAATTATCCCGCATAAAATCATTAACAAGCCATTCAATAAGCTTTCAATTAAAGAGTTTCTCAAGTTCCTATTGGTGATAGTGAAAGTTATCACCAATTTCCAAGTATTCCTAATGTTCACAACCAATGATAACCATGACTTATCACTTGACGATTGGTGTAATTTTGATAAATTATTACGAGAAGTAGTACTTAATCTCGATCAATTTTTCAATCAAAGAATGAATGAACTCGAAATGGGGATTTCTATACCTAGAAGAGGGATAAATCATGTTGGGGATGGATATTCTGATACTACTAGTTTCCAAATTCTAATGGAACATGTTTATGAATTATTAATGGAATCTTCAATTAGTCGAAAACAATATAATCGGCCAATGGCATTACTGGATTTAAAGTTACGTGATTTGATTTTAAATCAAACTAAATTGAATCTAAGTGAAGAATGGGATATAGTTAGTGAAATGATATAGAAAGGTCTCTTTTAGGTAGGAATAGATAAATCGCAGATGAATATTGTGCGCGTATATTTCATACTGTGACTGTAAATTTCAGTACTAATTTTTGGTCAACCCTCGTTGTCCCTCCCTTCCAACTGGCAATGAAAAAAAATGAAATTGGCTTATCAAAGACAACCAATCTATAGCCCAATTCAAATCCAATTGGAAGGTAATCAATATCAATTGCTAGAGAAGAAATATGTCACTTTCAGATAAGGAATTATTTGAATTAAATAAAACTGCTGTAACTCAAGGGTTTAAGATTAAACCAAGAATTACTTATAATACAGTTGGAGGAGTTAATGGACCTTTAGTTATTTTAGATCATGTTAAATTCCCTCGTTATAATGAAATTGTTAACTTAACTTTACCTGATGGATCAATTAGACAAGGTCAAGTCTTAGAAGTTAGAGGTACGAAAGCAATTGTTCAAGTTTTTGAAGGGACTTCCGGTATTGATGTTAAGAAAACCAGAGTTGAATTTACTGGTGAAAATTTAAAAATCCCAGTTTCTGAAGATATGTTAGGTCGTATCTTTGATGGGTCAGGTAGACCAATTGATAAAGGTCCAAAGATTTTTGCTGAAGATTATTTAGATATTAATGGATCTCCAATTAATCCATATGCTCGTATTTATCCAGAAGAAATGATTTCAACTGGTATTTCAGCAATTGATACTATGAATTCAATTGCAAGAGGACAAAAAATTCCAATCTTTTCTGCATCTGGTTTACCTCATAATGAAATTGCTGCCCAAATTTGTAGACAAGCAGGTTTGGTTAGACCAACTAAAGATGTTCATGATGGTCATGAAGAAAATTTCTCGATTGTTTTTGCTGCTATGGGGGTTAATTTAGAAACTTCTCGTTTCTTTAAACAAGATTTCGAAGAAAATGGATCGTTGGAAAGAACTACTTTATTCTTAAATTTGGCTAATGATCCAACTATTGAAAGAATTATTACTCCTCGTTTGGCACTTACAACTGCTGAATACTTGGCTTATCAAACTGAAAGACACGTGTTGACAATCTTAACTGATATGTCTTCTTATGCCGATGCCTTGAGAGAAGTCTCCGCTGCTAGAGAAGAAGTTCCAGGTAGAAGAGGTTATCCAGGTTATATGTATACCGATTTATCGACAATTTATGAAAGAGCAGGTAGAGTTGAAGGTAGAAATGGGTCAATTACTCAAGTCCCAATTTTAACCATGCCTAATGATGATATCACCCATCCTATTCCTGATTTAACTGGTTATATTACCGAAGGTCAAATCTCGATTGATAGACAATTGCATAATCGTGGTATTTATCCACCAATTAACGTCTTACCTTCCTTATCTCGTTTGATGAAGTCCGCCATTGGTGAAGGTATGACCAGAAAGGATCATGGTGATGTTTCTAATCAATTATATGCCAAATATGCCATTGGTAGAGATGCTGCTGCTATGAAGGCAGTTGTTGGTGAAGAAGCTTTATCTACTGAAGATAAATTATCTTTAGAATTCTTGGAAAAGTTTGAAAAGAATTTCATTAGTCAAGGTGCTTATGAAAATAGAACCATTTTTGAATCTTTGGATCTTGCTTGGTCATTATTAAGAATTTATCCAAAGGAAATGTTGAATAGAATTAGTCCAAAGATTTTAGAAGAATTCTATGATAGAGACAGAAGTCAAGATGATGATGATGAAGATGAAGATGACGAAGATGAAAACAAAGGTAAATCAAACAATTTGATTGATGCCTAGAGGAAGTCACGTTTTTAAATCACTTATATAAATTCATTTCTACATTAGTTTCAGCACATATCTATATTGTATAAAATGCACGTTCTTGTTTATTAAAATTAAAAGTTACATCAAAATAAATATACTACATACTCTATTTTTTCCTTTATGCTTGAGCTCTAGCTTCAGCTTCTCTCTTTAAATTCCCAATGTAATTAATTGCAGAACCAGCCTTGAAAAATTCGACTTGATCCTTAGACATGGTATGCTTAGCCAAGATTTCAAAACTAGACCCGTCTCTCTTTGTAACCTTAACACGTAAATTACCACCATTATTACCTTCTTTGGCAATCATATCTTGTAAATCAACAGTTGTCAATACATCCCCAGCAGAAATCTTATCATAATCAGCCTCATCAGCAAATGTTAATGGTAACATACCTTGTTTCTTTAAGTTGGTTTCATGAATTCTTGCAAATGATTTAACTAAAATAACTGAACCACCCAAGAATCTTGGAGATAATGCAGCATGTTCTCTAGCTGAACCTTCACCATAATTATGTTCAGCAACAACTACCCATGGTCGTCCGTCTTGTTTCCATTTAATCATTAATTCAGGAATACCATATTGGTCACCATTTAAATCATAAGCCTTGTTTACTTCCCCAGTTTCTTTATTAACAGCTCCAATTAAAGTATTATTGGAAATGTTTTCTAAATGTCCCTTATATTTCAACCATACACCAGCAGCAGAAATATGATCAGTGGTACATTTACCTTCAACTTTCAATAATACATGAGTAGATAATTCTTCTCCATTCCATGGCTTGAAAGGTTCTAATAATTGTAATCTATCAGATTCTGGAGAAACATTAACTTGTACTTCTGGCTTTGGTTGTGGATTAGCTTCTGGATAAAATTCTTCACGACCTTTAATGAATCCTTGAGAAGGTAAATCTTCACCAGTTGGAGGTTGGAATCTGAATTCTTCCCCATTTGGTAATTTAATGGAGTCAGTAACAGGATTGAAATTCATATCACCGGAATAGATCATAGCTGTAACCATATCTGGAGAAGTTAAAAAGTTCATAGTATTTCTATTTCCATCATTTCTGGCTCTAAAATTTCTATTAAATGATGTGAAGATGGCATTAGTTTCAGTTGAAGTTTTTGGAATGTCGGTTCTGTCCCATTGTCCAATACATGGTCCACAAGCATTAGCCAACACAATAGCACCATTCTTTTCAAAAGTTTCAATTAAACCATCTCTTTCAATAGTAGCTCTAATTTGTTCGGAACCTGGAGTAACAAAGAATGGAATCTTTGGCTTTAATCCTGCACTTTCGGCTTGTCTGATGATAGATACAACACGAGACATATCTTGATATGATGAGTTGGTACATGATCCGATTAAACCAGCAGATACTGTTTCTGGCCAATTTTCCTTTTTGGCAGTTTCACCGAATTTGGAGATTGGAGTAGATAAATCAGGAGTGAATGGACCATTTACATGTGGTTCCAAGTCAGAAAGATTAATTTCGATAACCTTATCATATTGAGCACCTTCATCAGCTTGCAAGAATCCAAATTGTTGGTTGACAGCATCGGCTGCTTGAGCAATTGGAGCTCTGTTGGTTTCAATCAAGTATTTTCTGTGAGCTTCTTGGTATGGGAAAGTAGAAGTGGTAGCACCGATTTCGGCACCCATATTACAAATAGTTGCCATACCAGTACATGATAAACTCTTGACACCTTCACCAAAATATTCAACAATGTAACCAGTACCACCTCTAACAGTTAAGATACCAGCTAAATTAGTAATGACATCCTTTGGAGATGACCAACCAGATAAGTGACCAGTCAATTTAACACCCAAAATCTTTGGTGCTTTCAATTCCCATGGAGTTCCAGTCAATGCATCAACTGCATCAGCACCACCAACCCCAATGGCAATAGCACCCAAACCACCAGCATTTGGAGTATGAGAATCAGTACCTAACATCATTAAACCAGGAACCGAGAAATTTTCCAAAACAATTTGATGAATAATACCTGAACCTGGACCCCAGAATTGAATACCATATTTCTCACCACAACTTTGTAAGAAATCAAATACTTCCTTATTAGTAGCAATGGATTTACGTAAATCGTTTTCGGCACCTTCTTTACCAACAATCAAATGATCACAATGAATAGATGCAGGAACGGCGGTAGAAGGCATACCACAGGTCATGAATTGTAAAAGAGCCATTTGGGCTGAAGCATCTTGCATAGCAACTCTATCTGGGTTTAATTTTAAGTATTGTTGACCTCTAATGTTGGATAATTGCCCTTGACTTGATGCAAGACTTTCTTCTGGATTTACTAAATGGGAATATAAAATCTTTTCGGCCAAAGTTAACGGTTGATTACCAAGAATTTTATTTACAGTGGATAAGTTGGAAATCAATTTAGCATATGGTGGAGTTCTTGATTTGTAGTCTTCTGGAACTTCAAATGAAAAAGTACCATTATTGGCGCTAGTAGCCAATGATCTGGCTAAAGATCTTGTTCTTATGATAGGTATTCTAGTTCTCAACATAGTCAGTAGTTTCTTAACCAGGGGAGGAGATGCAATATTGTTAATTTAGAAAAAGAAGAAAGAAAGAAAGAAAGAAGAAAGGAAGGAAGGAAGGAAGAAAGAATTGAAAAAGTTGAAAAATTTTTCGTCCAATGAATTTCAAATTATCTCTGATTATTTTTCTTTTTTTTTTTATTTTGTCTAAGCGCGGTGATTACACTTTTAAATTAATTATCTTATGACTCAATTTTTGGTGACGCCGTAAAACAATAAAAAAATTTTCCAAATTCTTATCTGCACGTGACTTAAAGTCACATGATAAAAATCACGTGTAAAATTCACGTGACAAAGGTAATGAATTAATTTGTATATCCATATTCAATGAAAGTATTATATTGATGCGTATATAGAATTTCAATAACGGTATTTACTTACAGTAAGGATACAATTTTTATACCTATATCATTTTTGTTTTACATTTGTGTGATATCGGATGCCAACTTCATGTGCTTCGACAGTTATACCTTATACTTTTCCTAACCAAGCCCTATTAACCCATCCACAGTCTCGTATATTATCATCTTTAGCATCTACCTTCCAATTAGTTTTAGGATCCTTGTATTTATCTGAAATTCCATCCCCTGCAGGTTTTGAAATACATAAATATCTTCCATCCGGTAAGAAACATCTTAATTGAGATGAAGGATATGGACATGGACAAAACTTAGGTGCATCTACACAAATCCCGGTGTCTGGACATAGATATTTCCCACATCTGGAGTTCAACATGGCACTCTCATATTCTTGTGGTGTCTGAACATGTTGCTGTTGTTGTCCTTGATTGAAGTTGTTAAAGAAATTAAATAAATTGGCCGAAACAATTGACAATGAGAATAATATTGTTATTATTATATTTGATAACATGATATGAATTGGCTTATGTTGCTTTGGATGATGATTCTTATTTCGTCTGGATGTTATGCAAATGAAGAATTGTACACGTAATTTTTTTTCCTCTCTTAAGGAACGAAATAAGAAAAAAACTCAGGGCCGGGTAATGGTCAGTGCTCCACTAACTCAAATATGTCCATGTTCCAGAATTTGTCAAGTTCCGTGTTGATAGATTTGATCCAGTTCTTATCAATATAATTGATAATTGATATAACCCCGTACAAGTGAATTGATTGTCGTGATCAATCAGTGCTAAACTGTTAATAGATTTTCTTGGTGGATGAAGTCTACCAAATGAGGTGAGCATGTTGTTGAGGAACGGAGCAGGCTTCTTAATGAGGCTGTTTGAACGCTTTGATCGATGCTCATCCATGAGAGGTACAGCATATTCACCTGGTTTGGTCATTTCAGGTTCAGCAAGATCACCTTACGCTAAAGCAGCAGAAGTGATAGTGAGATCAGCATAGGTGTTAGTGGCAACAGCTTCTTCGACAATCATGGGCTTAGCTATCGAATACTCTGGCAGAGGAATACATTCAGGGTTTAGGTTTGAGCCACAATCTTAAAGAAGTTTTTCAACTTCTTTGAAAATCATTTCAGATCTTCTATCTCTTAGTCTCTCATCTTCTTCGAATAGCCTCTTAGATCGCTTCATCTTCTCTGAATCTGGTACTGACTTCACTAAAAGGTCCCGATCCTGAAGAGCGGTTCCATAGTCAAAAACTTGGGCCCTGGAGCTCGTGTCCGCCGTGAGTGCTCTGTAGGGGTAGATTCCCCCCGCTCCCCAAGAATGATTATTTCAGATGCTGCGCGACGGCAGTTAATAATACTTTTTCAATCATCAAACCAACCAGTCCTTGTAGTATCTGTGTACTTCAATGGAGTTTTAGCGACCACTCCAAGGGACAAATTTTTATTTGTCCATTGTCAAATAGGTATCCTGCTATGTTGATATATAGTTAATTCTAACATTCAGAGTAACATTCATCGTGCGTCTTCTCTAATAGCTTATTAATATTGGTGTGTGAAAATACACGGCTGAGAAACTGCGAATTCTATTTCCGTGTTTGTGCAACATTTTTTTTTATTTTGGCTGCGGAAAATTTTTTCACTACCACCTGTTCATAATAATCTCAACAAACTTTAATACAACTCTAACATATCCGCTTTTGTGTCCAGTTCGTCCGAAAAGCTTCTTGGAGATTCATCTATATACTTTTCTCTCCCTCTTCCGGGTTTTCTTTTAAAAAAAATTTTACTCTCCTAATTTCCCACACTTTTCACAACACCAAACATCTCCAACCACTCAAAGAAGCATCCCCAACACCCACCAACGGCAATAAACCATCAACTATTGCTTCCAGGATGCAAAAAAATGAAGAATCGGGGCGAGCTGGGAATTGAACCCAGGGCCTCTCGCATACTTGTAGTTATTCAACTTGTTTCCAAGTCTATTTACCCAAAGCGAGAATCATACCACTAGACCACACGCCCGTATTTGATGAGTGTTTCGACTGGAAATTTTATAGATGAAGTTCTTGGCCCAGTTTTCGATGGTTTCGTTCGGTCTTCTATGGCTGAAGAGGCGGTGAAGATGTCATAATATTGACTGATGTGGCTCTGCTGGGGAATTGTGAGAGTGTTATACCTTACTTTTGGTTCAAAAAGACTCCAATATTATGATTGGTACGATTACACGAAAATTCGTGAAAATGTGAACATAGAAATTGCAATGCTCTTTTATTCAGACATTAGGTCAGTTCACTTGATGTGGAACATTAGCAAGGTTGCAAATACTTTAAAGAATTATCACAATTTAGTGGGTTGTTGAAAATCTAGTATCAACAATTTAAATAAAGAGATAGGGAGGACCTCGGTGCTATAATTGCAGCTCGGTGCTATAATTGCAGCTCTACGTCCAACAAAACTTGTAGTCTCTGTTACCTCGTATCTCTACATGTTTGATAGTGCCCCGTTTCAGAAACTGCACAATCTACACTCCAATAAAGATCTAACTAATGCAAATTATGTATTAAACTAAAGTAAAAATAAAATTAAAAAATAAATTAAGGAAAATGAAGTAAGTATTAAGTAAATTAAGTATTAGGAAAATGAGGATAAAAAGAAGCATATCAACTCACATATTATCAAAAAACAAACCAAACATAAAAGCAATCTCTCTAATAAAACAAATCAAAATCAAAATGAAAAAATCTCCCGCCGCCATATGAAAACCAAAAATTATTTCCCTCTCGAACTCTCTAACTCTCTCTCTCTCTTATTGTTTCTTCAAGAATGTATAAGCATCCTCTACTTGTAACATCACCTCCAGTAAAGCCCTCAGCTCTGACCTTATTCCACAAAACCAAATCAAACCATTGATACAACCCGACACAGCCACTATGGATGTTATAAATAAGAAAAGAACAGCTGCCCAAGGTGCACCCCATCCAGTTACAAAAGCAACCAAGACATGGAATAGAACAATAAGCAAACATGAAATTATGAAATGTGCTTTTCTCCATCCAGCTTGAAATGGTATGGTATGAGTTTGATAATCATTGATTTCTGCTAATACTTCACGATAAAGCATTTCTTTATCATCAAAAGTATCAAATTCATTCATTGAAGGTGGGACATATTGGTCTTGTGAATTGATTAAAAGTTCAGTACTATATCCAAAATGATCTGAATATGAACAATTATAAGGTGGTGGTAATCTACCAGTAAACTTCACCAGTGCGTTCAATGGTACGATATTATCAGCATCAATTAATGCATAATCTAAACGACATGCTTCCCAAGGTTTACTATTTAATCTCCATGTGTTTAAAATTGAATTGCACGTGGCACCCGCTTGTAAAATTTGATCTTCAGGATTTAAACTAGCAATATCTAAACCATGACCCTGTCCATGTAAAACATTCCAAGAATCAGTAAGTCCTCCTTCTATTGTGAATAACTTATATGGTAATGAATTGGGTTTAGAATTGAGATCTCCAACTTGGATAACTGCGTATCCTCCTCTCCTCAACATCTTGACTAATTTAGCAAAATCCCAAGCTTGACATGCTCTATGAGTGGAATAACTGGCGTCACCTGTTTGTGCATAAGGTGCATGCATATGTGAATTGAGAATGGCTATTGGTAATGAATTTTTAGTATGAGGTTGAAGTAAAGTAACTGCAATACTTTTACCAACAAACCAATCACCTCTAAAAAATGCTGATGGTCTTCCATTTATTGGGAATCTATAAAGGAAGGTTTCTGTTATTGGTATTTTAGATAATATTGCTAAACCAGGTCCACTGACTATACCTGCTTTGAATACTCTTCTGTAAGGATATCTTAATTTGCATACTTGATTGAAGTAATCCCAATCTTCCTCACACCATACTTCTTGTAATGCAACTATATCATAATCTTCATCTGGATCTCGAGGATGGGCTAACAGATCTGCAATTGCCTTGAGTCTTTCTCTTCTATATTTTGATATGTATTTTAATCCCCATGTGTTAAAAGTAAGTAATTTAACTGAAGGTTGTTTATTTGACAACACTTTCTCGTTTATCAATGTTGAATTTGTACTCATTGTTATTATTATTATTTTTTATTCGTATGTTGAAACTATGGTTATGTCTCGTTTATTGGAATATAAACGGTGGTAATGGTACTAGTCTAAGTGTGTGTGTGTGAATGTGTGTATTTGGGTAAACCCTTATCGTGTATTGTTGTATTGTAGTGGTTAAAAAAAAATTAAAATTGTTTGTGGAATTCTATTATTTTTATATTATGAGAAAAAAATGTTCAATTAAATTAATTTTCCCGTATAATTCCTTCAAATTTGAAATAAATGTGACCTAAATAAATAATTTTTAGTAAATCTCTCATCATCGTATTAAAAGTTTTTTTTTTCGTCTTAAAGCCGCAACGACCGGTTAGAAATTTGTGTGTTGAGATTTAAATCTATTGTTTCTTTTTTTAGGCCGTGACTGAGTCAGCCTCGATTGAACCAAAACAAAAAAAATTTAGTCACGGTATTAAATCCTACCACGGGATTACAAATTTATTCCCACCGCAGCCGAAGATTTTACAACCGGAAATAGTGACAGCGAGAAAATTCTTTTTATCCGGCACTGTAATTTTATTTGTCAGCCACCTCGTACCAATTGTTTTTAGTGAGTATACAACCCAGTTCTGCTGGTCTTGGACTCTCACACTAGTTACGTTGCTTCTGTCATGCACTTAAGTGCCTATAAAAGGTTTTTACCATTTGTACCGAACGCTATGCCCTATATGTATCAGAGGCTCAGTATCCGTTTAAGTATTTTAGTTTATAATTTTAGTGTATAATTTAGTCGATACCGTTTAAAGAAAAAAAAAATTGTTGTGTTAATATGCTGCAAATTTATTAAAATTGTTTTTGACTTTTCATAAACAAACTTTTTTGCATACTTTCTTGATGACTTAGTAATGGTTCTAAATACAGAGAAGAATTCAATTGTCTTTTTTTCTCGGTCGATTATCGATTTAAATATTCGATGGGACAAACGAGGAACAAGTTGAATTGATACTGAAATTATATGATGTTCATGGCATGATTGTCAACAAGGAAGGCAATGAGACAAATGAAGAATTTCTTTGTAGGCCCAGCAATTGGTTGACATACATGCTCTTAAAACTCAGTTGAGTTCCTTTGAAGTTAGTAATCTTGGAAGTGAAACCGAAAATGTTCGTAGAGTAAAACTGGTGCAGTGAAGATTTGCAACAAAACCCTGAAAGAAACCATTTTTGGCTGCGAATAAAAAAATCAATTTAAGAAATGTCAATCTTTCTGGCGTTAAATTATCTTTTCAAAACCAAATTTCTATTCATTAGAGAGAAACCAAATTCCAAGTCATTTAGAAATTATCACAATTACAACCCTTTTCATAAGATCCTTAACTTAGTATACTTACGATTAACAATCCCTAATCCTTTAAAAAATGGAACAAAATTCAAGTTCATTAGAATTAACATCCGAATCAAAACTCCTGGCGGCAGATAATGATAAAGTCAAGAAACAAAGAGTTATCTTCAAAACACCTGGAGAAGCATTTGCAGAAGTAATGTCCAAATGGAGTCCAATATTTGAAAAAACAAGAGAGAGAATGTTAATTAAGAAGAAGTATTGTCCCGCCGCCCATGAAGATATCTCGAATGAATTTTCAAATCATGATGTCAGCAAAGAAGAAGAGGAAAACACTGGTGACGAAAACGATCCGTTGGAGTTCAGTTTTAGTGGCAACTCTATAAACGACTTCAAATTACATTGGTCGGTTAAAAATACAGCTTCCACGAAAGTTTCTAATGTTTTTGAAGCAGTACATCCGTATTCTGATACAGCAAATTCCCCTGATTACGAGGGAAATAGTTACGTTAAATCTCAAAATTTGAAATTATGGAACCAAAAGGTTCTGACACCTGTCTTTGATTGTTCCTTTGCCGATCTCAGGAAAAGTTTTGGTCCAATTTCTAGTCAGTTATCTTCCTTGGATAGGGAATTTGACAATGCCCTCAAGACACATACTTCTTCTTTATTTTCTCCAATTGATGCTACACCACTACCAACTGAATCTGAGGGAGAAATAAAATCCACTTATCAATTATGGGAACTTCAACAATGCATGTTCTTTAGAATTAAATCATATATATTCAATATTGATGAGTTGGTGTCAATCCTAAACAGAACAATTCCCCATTGCAGGAATTCGGATGAAGTAAAGATGACAACAGCTGAATATGAAACCTTCGTATTGTACATGAGGCGATACGTGTATCGTTTGAATAAAATCATTGTATGTTCCGACTACCACACTAAGATCCCAAAAAGAGATAAAACAATTATTAGACGAAACTTGCAATATGATTATCTCAACAAACTAATGGAAATCAAATTGCATGGGAATCGTCAAAAAATGGTAAGATTACCATCATTGCTGGATTTTGAATTATCCCTCAATGGTGAAGTACTTCAGGGTCACCCTGATAGCAAAGATCGCGATTGGTCAGAAGCTATTCTTCGTGCGTTTGAGGAATTTGAATGAAGAATATGGAACATCTCGATTCTCAATGCTACATAATTCTAGTATATATATTTAATTACCTAGTTACCTAATTCAATAAAGTTAGCTTCTTCGGATAAATTAATAAAAAAAAGAAATTCAGTATTTTGCAGCATTTAAAAAATGAAAATTCACCAATCCGAGTTATATGCAGGATGGGCGACGTGTCAAACATTTTCATCATAATTGCACAAAATTGACAGAAACGTTGAAACATGAATCGGTTCTGTGGTCTAGTTGGTTATGGCATCTGCTTAACACGCAGAACGTCCCCAGTTCGATCCTGGGCAGAATCATTCTTTTTTTCCTATGAATTTTTATGTTTTTGGAAATATAAATTTACCTCAATTTTTTGGGGTTGTGGAATCATATCGAGGAATTGATGTATCAATGAGTTATGAAAACTTTTATTTTTGGTGCGTATAGTTGGTGGTCTGCATAGTGCGAGGGATGCAGTGTTATCAAGTCTGTAGTTTTTCGGCTGCTGTTAAACTCATGGGTCCCAGCGACTCCAAAAGTAATTACTCGTTTACTGTGCCATCGAACTATGCTATATATTAAAAGATACATATGAATTACACAAAGAGAGAGACAATGGGAAGTCATCTTTCTAGATTCTAAACACGAGTTTCTCGGCTCTAATCTTATCCTCCCGCAAATATTCCAATGCACCGTGTACACTCTCCAACCCACCATCCATCACCACCAACTCGAGTGTTTTAATCTCCTTAATAACCTTTCCCAACTCAAAATCCCAGAAGTTTCTAAACCTTTCAATAGCCTCATCATCCAATCCTATATTTGCCCCCGATTCATTCAATGGATCTCCCCAGACTGCTCCTCTAAAAGAACAAAAAAATCGATCCTTCCTGTCCGCCAAGAGCTCATGGTTTGCTTCGGTGAAGAAATCCAAATTCTCAAACAGTACTGGGGAAATTGAAGTCAATGCGGTATCATAGACCATTTGGATAGATCTGGCGGTGCCTACTGTATCAAATGCATATTCTATCTTTCCTTTCACTACTTCTTGGATGTCGGTTATTAGTGAAGGTGATTGATAATCAAATACTTCATCCGCGCCTAATGATTTCACATATTCGAAATGCCGTGGGAGGGCTGTGGTGACTACTTTGAGTCCAAAGATTAATTTTGCAAGCTGGATTGCTAGTCCTCCTGAAGATGTTGTTCCTGCCCATATTAGGATGTATTTGTCTTTATTTAATTCTTTGTCAAATGGAATTTGGAAGTTGACAACTAGGCAATTGACCACGGTTGCCATACTTAGAGTTATGGATGCTGCTGCTTCAAATGTTGTAATGTTGGTTGAAGGGTTTCTTCCTATAGGTAGTGGATCTTCAGATAAATGATCATATTTGATTGTAGTTGAGGGATGACCAATTACATATTCGGCAAAGGCTCCAATATCTTTAACGATGAAAGAGTTTATAAACGTTGACACATGATCACCAACTTTGAAATCCTCAATGTCTTCTCCTACTTCAACAACAATTCCACTGGCATCACATCCAAGTATGGCTCCTTTTTCTTGAAAATCAAGACTTCTGAAATCGAATGGATTCAAAGCGCATGCTATCGTCTTTATAAGAATTTGATTGTCCTTGATTGTTGGAATGGGAACCTCCTTAATTTTGCTGGAATTTCTATCAAGATGTCCACTATAGACAACTGCTTTCATAATTCTACTGAAGCTAAAAGAAACAAATTAGAAGATAAATAAAAAAAAAGACTGTCGTGTTTTAATAATATTACTATTAAGTGTCCTATTTAACATTTCTTTAAATTTAAGTTGCTCCAGTTCGTGTGTAAAATCTCGCTGGGTCTCTCCCCCCTTTTTTACTCCCCCCTGAAAAAAAAAATAATACAGGCAATTATTTGAAACACGCGGAGGGCAGATGCATCAATGCCTATTTTACTGTTTATCAACGTCCATTATTTTAATAATCCATATTTTGGTACCTCTTTATATTCCCTGTAACTCTTTTTTGTTTGCTCTTCTTAGTCTGACATTGCTAACTTACGAATCTTTAACCTTGAATTCGCATGTTTGGTTAATATTCTTCTAATCAATATTGGATCTCGATTAATTGCTTCCCAATTCAATTGAATCTCCCTTGATATCTCAGGATACAGAGTATTCAAACAATTCATTATCCAATTCAATTTCAATTCATCTGGGGTTGGTTTTTGAAAGGTGAATTGATACACTTTAATTAAATTATCCAAATCTTTTAAAAATTGTAATACATTGGCAATATCAAATTTCAAACTACTTTCTAAAGACATGAAAAAGAATGGATTCATAACTTGATGGAAATGAAATTTTATTGATTCAAAATTCTCCGAAAATGTTTTATCTTGAAATACCAAATATTCTAAATTTGGATCTAGTGATTGGAAAAGGGCTTGATTTAAATATTGATTAATTAATGGGTTAAGTAGACATTCTTCATGAGCACGTCTTACATTCTCTCGATAATCAAAAGTACTTCCTTCTAACAGAAGTAAATCTAAAACTACAAATGGTTTAAATTGAGGACAATTTTGTAGACTTGATTGGAAATCATCATACCAGGGTAGGAAACTTAGTTCATCATTCAATTTATGTGGTAATTTAAATTCATCACGTTTAATATGAGAAAGAGGTTCATTTGTGTGGTATCTATCTTCATCCTTGGGTATTTCTTTTCTTCGATGAGTATAGGCTGGATCATAAACACTGGACTGGGTCATTGTTTTAAGTCTTTTTATATTTGATACATAAGTGGTAGCAGTAGTAGTAGTGGAAATACCTTTTAAATCAGTCTGCATGGGCATCTATTAAATTTTTTTAGGAATGAAAAAAAAAAGAAGATTAGTTTATAGTTTTATAAAATTTCAAATGTGTTTCATCTAAAGTATGGCTGGGTAGTTCCTGTCATTTTTGGGGTTGTATTTTTCCACTTTAACTAAAATCTCCGCAGAGAATATTTTTTTGTTTTCTAATTGTAATTTAATTAGCAAAATTATTTTTTAACCCTATTCATTTATCCGTAAAGGCATCTTTTCTTTTTTTTGTCATTTTTTGTTCTTTGTCTTCTTCGGCTGGATTGATTGACGTTACATCAGAATAAGCCCTAATGATCAGCTGATTGAAATTTTTTTATTGTCATTGCAGTCCTTCCGCCTTTAGCTTATCGGTTACGTATGCAAAGCCTATAAGTGCATCATTTAGTGACGTTAGTAATTGACAACTATAGCGAGTTAAATCTGCCTAAATACTTATTGCTGACTCAATAAAACAGTCATGACTCACGAAATGGAAAGTGGCTGTTGGACTTCTCGAATTGTCAAAAATTATTGAATAATTATGTACAAAGCTATTCATCATTGATTTGGTAACTCTTCTTGTAATCTTAGCACACTCGATATCCAGTAACCAAGCGCTTCCTTGTGTTGTATACATGAGCACTATCAGGAATCCTCGCTAAATCTATTCCGGCTCGGAGTCCTCGCCAAAAATAAGCACCTGAAAAAATGGTCCACGAATTGAAAAATGTTCCCCATAAAACCCCTTGTCTTCTTTTTCTCAAGACCAATATAGAAACTCATCCATTAATAATCCAAAGACTCCCCACTCATGTCAGACGCTCATACCAAAAGAATAATTTCCCATATGAACAAGGACCATCAATTGGCCTTGATTGATTATGTGGTAGTCTACGCTAGTATTAAATATGACGACTTGATTGATGAATCTGTAAAGATTTCCAAAATAGATACCGAACAATTGGTTATTGAATATAGTTTAAAAGCCGCCCCGAATGAAGTTGAAACATTTTCAATCTATTGGTATGATGCTCTTGAAGATGAAAAGGTTCATGTTGGAGAATTACGTGATGTTAAGGCAAAATTGATTTCGATGGCAAAATATTGTGCTCGTAGACAAGGATATTCTCATAGAAGATTGACTAAGATTACTGGTCCTTCGTGGGGTGGGTTGAGTTCATGTCTTTTGATTTTGTTTTTGGCAGTGAATGCTTATAATCCCCAAATAATTCGTAGTCTTTTGGGAAATAATGCTATTTTGGGGAAATTTTTGAATCTTTTACCTAGACATATTGGTAAGGCATATCAGAAGTTAGAAGCCTTCTCGGGGAGAATTCTTGCCGGATTATTGTTGATTCATGTTTCTGAAATTTTACTCATTACAAGAAACATGTTAAGAAGATACAGAACTCCAAAACGTGAAAGATTGGCTTGGTATGCTATGCAATTCTTTGAAGGTTTCTTTGTGATTAAGAGGATCAAGAGTCTTGTTGCTTAGGTCTTTCTTCTCTGTAAATAAATATAGGATAATAAATTTTAATTTCAATCTTGTCTATATATTTGGCAACAATTTACTCTTCGTTTTTTTCTACATTTTGGCGAATTTGTTGCCAAAAATTTAACAACTTCAAAATGTTAAATAAACATAATAAAATCAAAAAATTAGACCACTCACATGCCTCATATCAATAAAGAACTTCATAAAATGAAGTAAACGTATTTCGAAATTGAAAATGACACGTTTGAAGTCAGATTATGATTTCCAAAAATTTGCAGAAAAAATGGTCACGTGAGAGATCACATGACATTGGTCAGATGACCAATTTTCAAACAAAAAAGTCACAGGCAACTTGTCCGAGTGGTTAAGGAGAAAGATTAGAAATCTTTTGGGCTTTGCCCGCGCAGGTTCGAGTCCTGCAGTTGTCGTTATTTTTTGAATCCATCTAGTTGAGTATATCCAACGTGTTTATATTCATCATTTAATCATATAATACTGTTGAAAGATGTAAATAAGCCAAGTAAATAAACTGTAAACTAATTTTTAACTTTTTTCTTTTGAAAGTTTAGAAAATAATGCAGCCTTCCTAATTTCTTTTTTTTGGTCTGTTCGTAATGACCGAGGACTTTTTCAAAGGAATATGAAGAACCTACAACTACTTTCATTTGTATCTATAAGGAATATTAAGGAATCTATTAGGATTTGGTTGAATCAAACGATAAACATTTTTCTTTGCCTAGAATTCATGGTTGATAGAACCCTGCTTAAGAAAAAATTGAAACCATGTACAAGCAATTACATGTAGTCGTGAACGACGAAACTTCATGATGCAAAAATCTCTGGGTGAACTTATTTTATTTTTCAAATTCTCTTGTATGTCTAGGAAGGAACCTTAATAATGTCTGTCTTGTTTCTTTTCTTTCAATCATATGTTGTTGTCGATCTGTCTACCTGTCAGTTTTGCGAGGACTCCTCGGGACGGAAGGTTTGATGATGCAATTTTTTAATTTTCAGCCCCGCGAAAAATAATTGTGCAAGTTTAGTTGATTCATAAAAAAAAAATAATTATTTTTAACAATGACGGAAAAACGAAGAGTGTCGAGGTTCATTGTTCAAATTAAATAATAATAAATTTCACGAAAGATCAACAATAGCCACACTGGGGAGGGCGGATGGATATGAGATTTCATTTCAAATGCAAAGTGATTTGACGCCTTCGGTTAGAATAGATAGAGATAGGAAGTATAGCCAAAAAAAAACTCGCTAGATCGATTTAAGATTTAAAACCTCACCTTGATTTTTCACTATGAGTTAATCTGGAAATCTCATCTCCTCTTAGAGATAAGATGATAGATAGAAATAATTCTTATCGTAATATACTTTGAACTATTTGTTTCTTCTTAAACTACGTCATGACCATCGGGAACTATGTTTACTATGTCAATTGATTTCTTCAATTGATCAAATGATATTAAAGTTGTAAACTGCAAGTTAAGAATATTAACCGAATAATTTAATAAAAGAATGATGATGATAAAGAAAAAAAAAAATCAGGTAATCCTGTCATTTATTTTTTTTTTTTCTTGTATGTAATTTAATTTAATTTTTTTTTTTTTAATTGTCTGTCTGATCATTGTTTGTCTGTCTGGGGAGCACACTGTTTCTCTCCTTTCTTCCTCTGTTTTGTATTTGGCTTATTATTTCTTTCCACCTTTTTTTTCTTCTTTACTTTTTGGGGGATTTTTTTTTTTTACAACCAACTTTCAATTTTATATCATACAAAAGTTAAATAGATTGTGATGATTGCTATCAATATGCTGCCATCTACAATACCAGCAGAAAGGTCACATTCACAATCAGAAGCACAACAACCGACACAACAAAAAGAATCACAGGAATCAATGTCCCTCCCTCTAGAGACTACCCAATCATCACCCACAATCAATAATATTCCAACTGCATCAACAGAAACAAAAGCAGGTACATCCACAACAACTCCTGCATCATCATCCACAGCCCCCACACCTTCAGCTGCTAGTGAAGCTGGATCACCTAGAAAACGAACTATAGATTTTGAAAAGATTAGAGGGTTATTACAAGAAGAGACAAATGCATATCTCAAAGGAGTTAAAGACACTGATGTTGATTGGTTCATTAGAGATACTTCAATGAATACCAATGTCACACCAAGTACGCTTACTTTGTCACTCAATGCTGAGGCTAAGCAACCTATCCTAAAGAAATCAACTTCACAAACAAATTTTAAAATTGACCCCTCAGTATTAGATCAAGGAGAGACATCACCATCTGGTGTTTCATCTCATTTAAGTACCAATATATCAAATACCAATGACAATATATCAAGCAAAACGAAACCATCATTAGCCGAAGTACAAGAAGAAAGCATTTCCTCATCTCGATGTCAACAGCATCACGTCCCTGCATCTACATATTCTCCTTCAAGATCACAATCTCAACCACAAAATGAATTCCCTTCACGCAGAAGAAAGAGTAGTACGGCTGGTTCGGTTACTAGTACAGCTAGCACCTCTTCATTAACGGGAGGTCTTTTTTCCAAGTTGAAGGGTAAACTACATATTGCTTCATCATCGTCAGCAAACCCATCTCCGTCATCATCTCCACCAACGTCATCATCTGCAATGAATAAGGCAGCTCCAAGCGGCTCAAAGCCATCCTCCTTCCAGTTTAAACCTGACTATGATTTACGATTGAAGAAGAAACTAAGCGATTCGAGTAATTCATCACTGGGCAATAGTCCCGTAGCTACCCCGACGATCACACTAACTGATCCCAAAAACAATAATAAATTAACCAACCATGACGATACATCAGATCCAAGATTAGAAGAATATATCAAGTTTTATCTGCAAAAAGATATCCGTCGTTCTTCAGTGGCATCTAGAAAGTCGTCAGTAGTTTCAAATGACAAATATCCAACTGCATTAGTCAATTGCTATGAAGCTAATCCATCTAATCAAAGCAATTCCACATCCAAACTTTCTTCATTCTTACGAAGGAAAAGTGCCGTAAAAGGTATGGATATGACCAAAGCAAATGACTCAACTCCATCATTAGCGAGTGTTTCAACCGTTTCAATTCCCATTCCACCTATTTCTGGACTTGATCTTGACCCAAGTTTTAAAGGATTAAAACCATTGAAGCGAGTAGCATTCCACTCATCAACATTCTTGATTGACCCTCCTCAACAAATCCCATCTCGAAATCCAAGAAAGGGAAATGTTGAAATTCTAGCTAATGGCACGTATCTTGTACACCCTTTAACTCCAGAAGATAAGATTGCTATGGAAAAGTCACAATTGGGAATGGGTGGAGGTATAATTGTCGGAGGCTCTGGTGCCTTGGGTTATATGAAGAAGGAGGACAAGGATCCAGAAGACGAAGAGAATAAGGAACTGTCATCTACAACAGAAGAAACGAATAAATCATCCAATGGTGAAGAAAAGGAAACCCAGAGCGAGGCAGAACCAAAGAAGAAAGACGAACCAGAGGAAGAGGATGAAGAAGTAAATGTCCATGCCAAGTCATTAGGAATCGATAAACCATTAATCCCACGTACACAAATTTTGAACTATAAGGCACCAGTCAAGAAAATGGCATTGGATACAATGTATGCCCGTTGTTGTCACTTGCGGGAAATCCTTCCAATTCCAGCAATACTTAAACAAATTCCCAAAGGATCAATGGCACCTTTACCAGTGTTACAATTACGTAATCCAAACCCCACCATGGTCGAAATCCAAACATTTGCCGATTTTGTCAGAATTGCTCCCGTTGTTTGTATTTCATTAGATGGGGTTAGTTTATCAGTTGAACAATTCAAGATTTTGTTGGCATCGATGAGTGCAAAGACTCAATTGGAAAAATTAAGTTTGAGAAACACGCCAATCAACGAAGAAGGATGGTCATTGCTTTGTTGGTTCTTATCAAGAAACAAAGTGTTGAATAAATTGGATATTACCCAATGTCCTTCACTAGCTGTGAATATTTTGAAGAAGAGAAGGAAGAGACAGAATAGTGATGCTAAGAAGAATGAGGAAAAGATGACAAGAATGACATGTAATCGAGACAATAGATCAGATGTTGATTGGTCCTTATTTGTGGCTACTTTGGTGGCTAGGGGAGGTATTGAAGAATTAATCTTGACAGGGTGTTGCATTACTGATATTCATATTTTTGAAAAATTGATGAAGTTGGCAGTACTGAAGAAGACTAGTAGGTTGGGATTAGCATTTAATCAGCTTTCAACTAGACATTTTAAGATTGTGGTTAATAGTTGGTTATTCCAAGAATTTGCAAGAGGGTTAGATTTGGGATATAATGATTTCCTGAGTGTTCAATTTTTCAAAATTTTATTAGATTATTCCAAACGTGATGATTTTGACAAGGTTTTGAGTAAATCAACATTATCGTTCCTTAGTTTGAATTCTAGCAATTGCACATTTACTGAGATTTTCAAAGAAGTGTTTGAGAATGTAATTATGAAATTTCCTAATTTGAAATATCTTGATCTTTCAAACAATAAGAAGTTATTTGGAACATTTGNACATTTACTGAGATTTTCAAAGAAGTGTTTGAGAATGTAATTATGAAATTTCCTAATTTGAAATATCTTGATCTTTCAAACAATAAGAAGTTATTTGGAACATTTGGAAAGGCAAACAATGATGAATTGACTACAGCTCTTGATATGGATCTTTCAAATTCAGCAACTAGCGAGCATAGTGCCAATTCATCTTCGGCGCAAAATGAAGTTGCAATGGCTCAATATTTCACATCTAGGTTCCCATTATTCCCGAAATTGATTAGACTCCATCTTGAGAATGAAAACTTTAGTCAAGCATCAGTTTTACAAATTGCTAGGATTCTTCCATTCTGTAAGAATTTGGGATATTTCTCCATTTTAGGAAATAAGATCGATTTAACATCCGCAAGTGCATTAGTTAATGCCGTTAAGAACTCCAAAACATTGATTAATTTGGATTGTAATTTACTGGAATTCCCTGACTTATTCAAAGAAAGAGTTGGATTGTATACTATGAGAAATATGGAAAGATTATTATATGCATCAAAGAAAGTAAACGGTGTAGCTATGAAATTGTCCAGTTCACAACAAAGTACTAATTCAGAAGATGAAACAGAGTCACTTACCGAACAACTTAATAATATCCTTGCTTTGAAGGCACAACAGAAATTAGATTTGAAATCTCCAGAAGTCACGAAATTCATCTCTAGAGCCCAAAGTATACGTCTTGAATTAAGAGAAACAATTGACGATTTATTGAAATTACAATTGAAAAATGCATTAGATTTAGATGGGAAGGAAACTTTGATTCGATTCATATTTATTGATTCTAGTATTGAGAAGGGACTTCAATTGATTGATTCAAGTTTAGTCGACAATGAAAAAACAAAAGCAGAATTATATCTTACGAAAGTTGGAGAACGTGAAAAAGATCATCATGCAAGCCTGGAATACTATCAAGATAGGACCCATGAAGACCATCTTAATCAAGCCCAAGATGTGGCCAATAATTCTAGATCACCTATGCGTATGTCAAGATCCAGCTCACGAAATAGTATAAGTTCGTTAGAAAGAGAGGAAGGTTCAATTTTGAAATTGTCGAGATTGAGAGATTTTCATCATCCTGCTATTGCAGCTCGCGAATATGAAGGATTATCTGGCGAAGAATTACGTAAGAAACTTATGAGTGTCGAACTTTCGGATTTGGATAAGATTATTGGATTTTTGGGTAGATTGCGTGAAAAAGGTGTATCTCTTGAGAACATCTTCCAAAATCACGGGGAAGTTGAATTGACTAGACAAGTTCATGATGTTTTAGATATGTCGGAAATCAAGCAGAAGTTGAAGGCAATTGCTGATTGTATCGGAAAGGAGAAGGAGAATGAAGATAAGAATAAAGAAAAGGAGCTGGATATCGACACCAATGAAGACTCGAGTGAAGATAAACCAAAGAATGAAGATAAGGATGACTCATCCGGGGATCAAAAGCCAGATCAAGATACAGAAGAGGTTAAAGTTGATTTATTTAGTGATATCAATGAAACGTATGACAAGGTTTTGCGAAGCCTTACCAATTAGAGTCATTTCGGTAGTTTTCAATATTTTCATAGAGCATTATAGTTATATATTATACAAGTCTTAATCAAATTTATAATACGTAGATTGAACAATGTCCTTTTCTGTTCCCTTTTTTGTTCTATAGTACAATACAATGCGGCTTGGTGATCCTCCTCATTAACGTGGCCCTATTTCGACTAACGTCCGAGCCTAATATTCGTCATCGGTGTCCATTCCTCCATCATTTCCTGCAGACTTGATAGCTGCCTTGGATTCATATTCATCATCAGAATACATTTCTTTCTCATCTTCAGGTGCACCTCCATGTTTTTCGGCTTCTTCAGCTAAATCTTCACAAGCATCGATCCAATCGGAATATATATCAACCGGTTGAGATAAGGAATGTATGGCTGTTTGGAAACTTTGTCCACAAATCTTACAATGTAATTCTCCCAAGAGATTTTTCTTGTCTAATGTACAAATCACTGATTTTTCGTGATTACAAAATAGACATGTGAATGTCACATCAAGGGTTTGCTTGATCTTTTTCACTGGTTTACTCGATGACTTTCTTTTTCCCATGTTTGTATTTAAGTGGTTTTAAGTGTGTGTAGAGACGGTGGTCAGTAATGTTCAATTTTCAAAATTCAGGTCCGATGAATTTTTTTGACTCCAGTACACTACCCCGGAATATAGAGAGAATATTTGGTTAACTTCTATGCAATTTGTAAATTTATAAATGTTATCTAATAATACTGTTATTGATTTATTATCTGTTGAGCTTTCTTCTTTAATCTCATCTCCAATCTCAATTTCTCAAATTTCATCTTTTCAGCCCTAGAATCAATTGAGTTTGCTTCCGAGGAGCCACGCGAAAGACTGGGTCTCCGAGATGAATTGTTAGAGTCAGCACTACTTCTTGCACTGCCTGTATAACTCATTGATATCTTTAAGTTCGGATTGTACTTGTTGTTTAATTTAATCCCATATTCATACAATTTCAAATCTTTGTCTCTTAATTCATATAGCTTTACCGCTTCCTTATATAATGTCGTGACAAAGGCATTCCGATGTGTCGGAGACAGGAATTTTGATGCAATTGGATAATGCAATAATAATGACAAGCTTTCACTGAAATCACAAGAAATTAAATCTGTCTTTATTTGAATCAACATCTGTATAATCAGAAAACAAATTAAATCTGGGATTGCTGTGATACAATTTCCTGAATGATTTGTTAGTTGAGATGCAATAAGTTTATCCCAAAACAAACTGGTGGTTTCCAAGTCATTACCCAACTCTCGCAATAACATCAAACGTAGATATCTTATGATCCAAAGCTGAGACTCAATCTTTAATTTTGTTCCCAAATTGTAATTTATAAACTGATCCACTTTCATCAACTTCACATTGAAGGCCTCTATTGATTTCCAAAGAACTGATTCATTTTCATAAAACTGAGATATAACACCACTTTGAACGAGAAACTTGTTCAATATAGTAAACAAATCATGCAGAAGATAATTAATGTCATATAAACTTAAAATTCGTAAATCATCACTTGAGAATGTATTTGTTAGCGGTATTTCAACCGATTCCTTGTATAATGCCATAAAAATAAGACCCAAAATTTCATGTATACCTTGTTTATAGCCTACTTGAGGGTTACATTTAGACCAAACGTATAAAATCTCTACCATTTGTCTCTTTAACATTATTGATTTAGGATTGTTACTATGGAAGAATTCTTCACCAGGAAATAGTCTATCAATATCCAAAATAATTGCTTGGAAAAGTTCTAAATCATCGTCTGTGTGTATATATTTAGTATTAGGGGAATGACTGGGGGATCTAGAGGATAATGGATCATCTTCTATATTAGTAACTCTAATTAAAGCTGATTTCTTAACTGGTTTTGGATTACGTAAGGATCTTGTCCTCTTGATACTTGTCTTCCGTGTAATTTCCTCCGTTTCATAAAACATATGATCTTTGTCCAAGTCCCACCAAGGCAATTTCATGTCATCTCGTTTTACTAATTGATGATAAACTACTCGAGAATCACTTAATCGAGAATCCCAAGTTTGAATCTTTAAACTGTCAGTGATTAGACATGCTTTCCAGATTAATGTTCTTGTGAATGAATTTGGACAATTTAAAGATGTATAATCCCCTTCTGTTACTGACGTTTTAAAGGTTGTAAGACTTCCTTTTACTTTATCAATTGTAAGTAGAACTTTTGATATAATGTCATTCTCTTTAAGCATATTGAAGCGAATGCAACTATGTAATGGTTATCCGTTTTTTCTTCTTCAAAAAGAATGTTTAGACTGACTGTTATGGTAATGGAATCCTTTGGGTAAACAAAAAAAAGGATGTAGTGTGGATATGTAAAATGGTTGTAGTGAGTGTAGTAGTGTAAGAACAAGAAAGAGTCAGTCTTGTGGAGAAAGAGAATTTGACACATCCAACGAGCCATCTGAAATAACTAACAAAAAGAAATACACAAACGAAAAAATGATTTTGGTGGAAAAAAACCAAACCATCCACTCATCGCAACGATTGAACTCAATTGGTAGTAAATAGACACCCAAAGATTAACTATGTCAGAAGAGCAAGATGAATCATCCAAGCGCCTTCAATCCAGCTTGGACAAATTGGCCAATTGGGAGAATCAAATGAGTGAAATTGAACGAGATGCTGAAATATATCGAATCAAAGCAACTCAAAAGATGTATGAAGAAAGAAGAAAGATCTTAAAGACAATTCCCAAGTTTTGGTATATTATTCTTGCAGAGAATGACGATTTTGCTGACTATGTGAGTGTTGAAGACTTGAAATATTTAGAATATATCGAAGACATTTACGTATATTACCCAGTTGTAGATGACTCAGCAAATCACTACAAGGACTTTTCAATCACAATTAGTTTTGGAGAAAATGAGCTTGTGCCTAAACAAGAAGTCACGAAACATTTCAAAGTTGTTATGAAAGATGGTGAAGAAAGACTCGTGTCTGAACCAGTCGAATTTCAATGGCCAGAAGAATTGAAGAATATAAATCCTAATTTAATAAAGGATGAAAACAAAGGGAAACCATTGTCTAAGGAAGACAAGAAGAATTATAGATTAGGTATGAAGTCTTTCTTTTCATGGTTTAACTGGACCGGTGAGAAACCAGGCAAAGAATTTAGAAATGGTGAAGATTTGGCAAATTTAATTGTCGATGATTTATATTTGAATGCTTTGAAATATTACATTCTTGCATTAACAATCGATGATGGAGATGACGATGACCAAGAGGAAGAGGACAGTTCAGAAGGTGAAGAATTGGACTTGAGTGAGGATGAAGACAATACCAAAAAGAGATCTTTAGATGAGGATGACGACACCCAAAAAAATACAAATAAAAAATCAAAGTAAATAGGCATTCAATATAAACTTCAAATAGAACCTTTATTAACATAGCATTCATATTTAAAATCAATAAACGAGATGAAAGCAAAAAATAACGACAACTGCAGGACTCGAACCTGCGCGGGCAAAGCCCAAAAGATTTCTAATCTTTCTCCTTAACCACTCGGACAAGTTGCCTGTGATTTTTTAGTGTTAATATTGGTCACCTGACTAATATCATGTGACCGCGGAAAATTGCGTTATTTTTTAAACTTTTTNGGTCACCTGACTAATATCATGTGACCGCGGAAAATTGCGTTATTTTTTAAACTTTTTGGAATAATAATTTTGACATTAAAAAATAATTTCGAGTGCAATTATCAGTGTTGTTTTATATATTTCAGATATAGGGTGTTTATTATAGATTCAATGTACTATATCATTCAAAAATATAAAACTCAAGTAAACCTTCGAAGGATTCAAATGCATCAGAATACTGAAAATGGTGAATAACGAAAAAATGGCTGTAAAATTACCATTTTGTTTGATGTGAAGTTGCAACCATTAGATTTAATTAGATTTAATTCTTTATGCATTGTCTGGTTTATGGGGGGATTCCTCTACATGATCTTGACTTAGTCATTTTGTAGTACATTTTCAAGCAACACAGGTGGTTATAATTAGTTTCGAGAAGCTTCTCGCAAAATTTCAGTTGCTACTCCTGGAAACCATCTGATTTTAGAAAAGAGAAAGTTCCAGACGAAATCTTGGATCTGATTACTCAATTTATTATTCTATAGCTTCGCCATAATAAAATACGCAACAGCGACCTGAGACCTAACCAGAAAGGAGAAAAACGAGTTGACGGATGACAAAGCAATATATTATCTTCTTGTATAGCTCTAGCAACGTGCGAGGCTCACGATCCTTATATTTCTAATTATAGAAAGTGTGAAACCATCGTTTTCAAAGCACGTTCCCTTGAAGGATTCCATAATAATCCAACAGAAGATAAAATTTGAACTTCAACTTCCGAAAAGGATCAAACTCTAGATCTAATTTTAAATATTTTACAAATAAAATATTTCTGACTAAAATCATTTTTCTAGCTCCCAAGTGGAATTTTTTGCATTTACCAATAACTAAATACGCCTTGTAAACTCGTAGTTTCAACTCAGGGATGGGTCTTAACTCTATTTTATCTAGTTGGAGCCCCTACTCGTATCTTATTTCAATTGGCAAAGAAAGAGCAAAAAAGCCCCTCGCTAGAAGTGGTAGGCTTATGCAAATTATGTTTAAAACTTCTCAATATCGTTACAACCCATACACGAGGGCTTATGCTTTAATTTTAACTATGTTCACCCAATAGAATGGTTGATTGCATAAATGAATGACACGAGTTCGTAACGTGACAGTTGAATTGTTCTTAGAGCATTTTTTGGTGAAAGGACTAGAATGTCAATTCGTATATCAATTCTGGGAGCATGATAGTGCCAAGAAAAAACGCTATCAGATCGTATCTGCACATCACAATCTGAATTTGGGGATACGGAGATCATCGTTCCCCCCAACTAGCCAAAACAGACCAAGCCTAGACCCAAGGCACAGTATATTTCCCTAATAAACATGAAGCGATGTATCGGGTTGCTACGAAGTATAAAGTTCTCCCATCCTGTAAAAAAAGCAACCGGAGACATTAAGATAAAAAAAAGATTAAAAAATAAAGGTGAAATTAACCACCATCGATGAGCCCCAATGACTAAACATTTAAGCCATAAAAAAGAGGCTGATTGAGCTTCCGTACGCTTTTCTAATAATGGAATATAACAATCAATTTCAAATAGAAAATCTATAAATTGACCCAATTCTTCTATCAATTTTGATTGTGCTTCTTACATTTTGAAAGCCAAACAGAATTCAATGATTACATTATTCTTTTTATTCGCACTTTCTTTTGCAGATCTGGTTCAGATCGAACTAGAATACAGAGGGGTTGACCTCACAGACAAACGCATTGGGGTGGTGCAAAATATGTTTGCCGGTGTTGATGATAATATTGCACCAATATTTACCTATGACTTAGAAGCAAATAGTTTACAAGATCCAAATGGTATTTATTTCGAAGGCACTGAATCGGGAATTTTAGGCAGTCCAGAAGCACCTGATCCTGCTGATAAAAAATGGAGCATTGTCGGCAGTAAGCTACTTTGGGATGGTATAGATGCTTTCTTTGTCTGTTCTCAAGTTGAGAATTTGCCAAACGTTGTCCCATACAACATTCAAATTATTGAGGACCAGGGTTGTAGTCCTATTGGATTGTTTGTTAAAGAAGTTAGTGGAGATGGTTCTGGAAGTTCTACGGATGACGGCTCAGGAGGTTCTACAGACGATGGTTCAGGAAGCTCTACAGATGATGGTTCTGCCAGCTCCACAGATGAAGGCTCTGGAGGTTCTACAGACGATGGGTCTGGTTCCTCTACGGATGACGGTTCTGGAAGTTCTACAGACGATGGGTCTGGTTCCTCTACGGATCACGGTTCTGGAAGTTCTACAGACGATGGGTCTGGCTCCTCTACGGATGACGGTTCTGGAAGTTCTACAGATGATGGTTCTGGAGGTTCTACCGACACGGGAGGATCTTCTATTTCCTGTACTGATCTGTTGGTTACCACCACAATCACTACGGAAGAGCTTGTAACGTCTTTGGTGTGTCCCACCGATTGCGAGGTCCATACATCATTCGATTTGATAACTACAGTAGTTCTTGTTCTGAATGGATCAGTAACCACAGAGACTACCAGTAGTTCAAGGCTCATTACAGATTGTCCAGGATGTACAAGTAGCACAGGAACAGTCACACATACACTTACCAGTACGATTGCTGGAGCTTGCGATAACAGTGGAGGTACCAACAACACCAATGGCGGCGATGACAACAATAGCAACGGAGGAGGTAACAACGATAATGGTGGAGGAAACAATAGCGGTGGTGGAAACAACAACGGCGGCACCACCAGCAATGGTGGCAGTACTAACAATGGCGGTACTAACAGCAACAGTGGTAGTAATAGTAACGGCGGTAATTCGAATACCAACACCAATCTGGCAACAACTTTGGAAGGGAATGCTGGTTCTATCGAATTGCAATCAGGATTTACTTTCTTCGGAATTCTTTTGATATCCATATTTACTTGATTTTACTTATGTTTGATTTTCCCGGATATTTGATTATTCTCTTTTTTTTTGTACACAGTGTGAAAAGGCTCAATCTTCAATTCCCTAATGATCACTGAACGTTTCCTTTATCAATCTGGCACTGGTTTCCATGTAAGCTCTTTTAGTATAATTGTATAATTTGCTTATAACTGAAATATATAATAGCTAGAAATCACAACCTTGGTTTTGTGATCCAGAAGTTGTTTCACGACTTCCATTCAAGGTTTCTTTGTTCTTGTTAGTTTGCGTTACTACTCTGAACAATCTAGATATACGGGAATACTTATAAAACTGGCCAGCTTGTAGTCTTCTCATCACGGCTTATGCTCTAGTTCAATGATATGAAGAACTCAATGTATAGTTTGTTTTGGGAGTGAAAAAAAAAATGGCTGCAAAAATACTAGTAACAGATTAATTAGTAGCTGCCATTGTGAATTGTTCCCTTTCGATGGGGATGGGATTAGCTAGGACGTTTTATTCCAAGACAAATGATATGGAACCAACTTGATGCCACCATTAATGGAACAAGAAATGCGTTTTATATGGGTTCCGGATTAGCTGGATGGATTTTGGTCGTTTCAGTCGAGTTTATGGGTTTTCAAGTGTTGAATCCTAAGAGTTCAAAGGAGAGTAGAAAAGTTTAAGAAATTAGCACCAACGGCGACAAACTGCTATACTTTAGAGCGCTTTAATAGTCACTTGTATTTACAGAACGTAGAAATTCTACTCCGGCCGTACTTGAGTGGTCTTGAAATGTTCACAGTAGCAGCTATCATAATAAGTAGAGTCAAATGAAAAGACCTCTCTGATCAGGATTGTACTATCTATTTGTGTTCATCACCTGCATATATCCGCTATTTATATGCACAAGTCTTGTGGCTGATTGATATTCTAATATTTTTGCAGCACCAAAAAACCACAAAATTATTGGGCTTTTCGATGCATAATTTTCCACAAGTTTACTTTCAAAGAATTATCACCGAGCTTTAGAACGTCGTTGAGTTGACAGGATAAACACCGAGTTGTGAATTTACAGCAATTTTTTACAAAAACAATTTATGAACAAAAAGTATTTGTAAATTCTTCATTGTTCTTAATTCATTCTCAGATAATGCTTGTTAGGGAACCTTATTTACATTCCGACATTGGCATAGTGTAATACAGAATATCAAGTAGATGAAATAATTACACAGGACCGCGAACAATACGCTTAACTAGAGTAAAACAATCCGAGACCTCTACTCAAATCTAGTAGCTTGGCAGTTAGTGGTTGACATTACCATAAAGAAAGAAAGTATATCCAGTAAGGAGATCCTTCTAATTTTAAACACGGAATGGGCAAAATCTAAAAAAATAAAATATTTTTTAAGATTGCTATCAAAGAGTTCGTTGTGAAATAGAATCCCTATTTAGAACATATAAACCAGCAAACACATGTTTAACTTGCATTCTTTATACCTCAAGTAACACTTTAGACCAATGCTTGCAATTGCTTTCCTAGTATGTTTATCCTCGGCCGATATACTACCGATTACAATAGAATACGAAAAGGTGGGTGACGGTACTAAGCTTATTGCGGAAGTGGATGGTATGCTTGCCGGAGTCCCAAAAGATCCTACAATATTCTTCTTTGATTCTGAAGAAAGGTCAATATCAACACATGATGGAACTTGCTTTATACCCACCAAGTTGGGAATCCGTGGAAGCTCTGATGCAGATTGTAGTGGATGGGATATTAAGGATGATAAAATCTTAACTTGGAGTAATAGTCTTACATTTTATGAATGTGAACAGAATTCGAAATTGGCTATGACTGCGAAGAATAATATTCAAATCCAAGATAAAGGATGTTCAGAAATTATGTTGGTTGTTGCCAAGTTTGGAGAAAGGAGTGTGACGGAACCACAGGAAAATTATCCTGATCTTCCAACTATAGTGATAATGTTGGTTCCTTTGCCGGTAATTGTCCTACTCCTTCTTTGGATAAAATTGCGTTAAAGGATTCTCAACACAGCTCCAGGGATTTACTAACAGTGTAGTATTCACAATTAAAGGAGCGAATTCAGAGATAGAAAACAATCATTAGGTATTGCAGCATTATTTCCTCTCTAGAAGTTGGGCTTCATCATATAGACCCTAAAAAATATTTGAATTTGTCTTAGCTGTATAAAAAAAATTGTAAATTTATTACTTGATAAATACTAGTTTATAAATAACCGAAAATAATAACCATCCCAGAAGGAAATATATAAGAAACCCATATCATACATACTCAAAGAAAATCAAACTAACCAATGCATCAGAAAATAAAAACCCGTACCAAAACAACCTCGGAATTTAATGGACTTCTTGTTTTCTAGATTCCGAAGCCCTCTTTGACTTCAATTTTCGACATTCGCTAACCACATGACCAAAAGCAGTACAGTATTTGCAACGAATGGACTTCTTTTTAGAACCATTAAGTCTATCTGGCTTTGCATATGACCGCTTGTTACCTTTAAATGAAAAGCTGATTATCTCAGGACGTTGGACATTCAAAGCTTCACAGGATTTTTCAATTGTAGCCATTGATAAGGTTGCATCACTTTTATCTATCTCCTGGAATATCAAATCTTGACTTTCTTGTGGTATATGTGCAATATAAACAATTCCACCCAATTCTTCCACGCTAAACTTGCTAATAATATTTTCCCAGAATTGTTTGATTTCAATGGTTGGAACCGGTTTACTTAAATATTGAGTTATTAATTGAACAGCAACTTGCAAAGTGAATTCTCCTCCGAACTTGTCAACAATGGCTTGATATCTTTTTCTGCCACTAGTTTCGCTATCTTCTAATTTACATTCCGAAGAAACAGTGGAATCAATTCCCTTTTGGATAAACTTATCTATGGTTTCATTAACTTCAACACGTAAATTCTCTTCTACTTCGTCTTCAAAGTTGGTTTCTTCCAAAGGAACCCCTAATTCTTTGCACCGGGCAACAAATTGTTCGTTCCATATGTGAAAATTGAGGTGACCTTGTAAAGAAACATTAACATTTGGCCAACTATCATTGCTTTCAATGATAGTAGTAATTAGTGATTTAACTTGGTCGATGTTCATTCTGGATAGCCTGGAAAGCTTTATTAGAGTAATTAAAAATTATAACAGATTTTTTGGGAGAATGGACTCCCAAATGGACTTATCCACCTCTTTATATAGTCGAAAGCAAGTAACTTTCCATATTTTATGAGTTAGGTCAGCCACATTACAAAAAGATAGTGTCAACGCGTATTATATGCCAGATTAGGGGATAAAATTGCATATGAGGAGGAGAGAGAGCCCATAACAATAAGCCGTACAATGCCCTAAAAACAATTCCGAAGTTCTCTAAAAATATAACCATTACGAGTAATCTAACTAGGTTCTTTGTCCCAAGGCATACGTTTCCATTCATAGGCCCGAATTTATATTTACGAACAAAATAATATTTTTTGCGACAATCCCTATTTTTAGCATTTCGTTTTACTGCTAGTTTAATTATGGCTACATAACAATAGCACAATATACTTGCATGAATAGCTCATTGTCAATCCTCAAAGAAGATATCATAATTACACTGGACCCTTCCAGCGGAATACGAGAAATTTGGCAGCTAAGGTGTTTATTTGATTGCAACGAGTCTCCTTCTGTGTAATCGTTAAAACAACGAATACTATAACGAGGATGCCAAAAAAAAAAAGAAACATCAACTGAAATGACCCTAAACTGATCCGTTTGAAATCTGTTAAATTAATAAACCCGTTGATGCTGTCTGAATTACATTTCCTTTCCACTTTTTGAATCAATCGCGCAATTTTTGTGAAACAATGGCATTTATGCTTTCAATATCATCTGTGTTAATGCCAGGCTGGTCAAGAATGGTGCTTAACATACCGGAGGCGGAATTTTATTTATTTTCTCCGACCGACTCAAATGAATATAAAATATGTAGTTGGTTATTATTTCGCCCCCCCCCCCCCATTTTATCAATTTAATTTAATTAATTAATTTAATTAATTAAATTAAATTAATTACCAGAATATTTTTTAGGGGGATCACCAAATTTCAGCAGGTAAAAAAAAATACGGGAGGCAGATACGACTTGCACAATACGATATACACGCCAAGATGTCCCATCATTGATCTGGATTCAATGTCATGTTTCGGCTCAAGAAGCTAATAACACTATGGTATTGTTTTAATATACCTAATTACATATAAAGAGCATGGACCCATTCTTCCTGACAATGAAATGTGAAGTCGGCCTACAAAGTTAACATGAGGTTAGCTACCGGGAGCTTCTGGACAGCAAATCAAAAACGAGACGGCCGGTTTAGGTAGTGATTTGTCATTTTCTATCAAGAACCTTTACTCCACTTTTTTTTAGCCACTCTCCATTGTTAGCTTATTGTATGACACGCTTTATTCTAAGGCAGAACTTGCACTAATTTGTACACTTCCAGCTTGCACAAAGAGAGAAACGGGAGCTTGCATGATCCTTATTGTCTTATATTATCTGTTGTCACACACTATTTTATTCTTACAATGGGCATGCCGTCGACTTTTGCTTTGTGCACATTATTCTTGAACAATGTGTTAGTCATGGAAAAAATAATTTATTGTCCAGTTATCTTTTAACACTCCGACGAGTAATGTTTGGAAGTAATGAATTAGAAAATGGCAGTAATTCGTAAATATGTACCAGTTTTTGTGATTTTATACATTCTGTAAACGTGTTATAGACTTATTAATCTTTTTCTTTAATACATATACAAAGATTGAAAAATTCTTGAAAGAATTATTACCATCTGAGAAAATCTCACATCCATAATTTCATCTTTAAGATTGATAATTTACGTTAAACTTCATTGCTCGTATATCATACAATCGACTTGTTAGATAACTACATATACTCTGGTTGCAGTATTTGCTATGGTGATTATTTTCGAAGAACTGTCCTGAAATTTCGTTGTGTTGGATTCCATTCCAGATATATTGGTTGTTCAAAAAAAAAGAAGAGACTTCTATTATATAAGAAGCCACATTTCCTGACTAGAGGCCCCAGATTTAAATCATACCTAGCAACCTTTTCCGTTAGAGCTACTTTCGTCCCCTATTTTGTCAAGAGGTTGGACGCAAAGAGAATAGGAAACGAGTTTTGGGCGGGATCGGGGAGTATCTGTATTTGTAAGCAAAGGGAAGGTGTCTAATTCATCATCGAAACATAGCCATGCGGCATTTGAGTCGATATCTATCAAAGAGTGAAATAAATGAACTAGTTGAAGGAGTATGAACGTCATTGTATAGCCACGTAGCAAATCGTCCGAGATAATTATATCCGAAGCTGACTCTACCACATCGGAAAATTACTAATCACACTTTCCCCATTAGGAAACTTCGGAAATAAAATTTAAGTTGCTTTTTTTCTGCTTTTCCTTTTATTTTTCGTTTTTCCGCACCTCGTTGGGAAATATAAATACTCCACAATGTGCTTTCTAGAAAGCCGTTTTTTTTAAATCAGAAGACATATAAGGATCATAGCTTAAAGACCATGACTGTATCATACGAAATTAAACCATCAGATGAAGCTAAGGCTTCCGACGCTGTTCCATACTACACTCCTGAACAACCGGTTCCTGCCGGAACTTTCTATCGTGAAAATCCAGATCAAATAATTCCAAAAATCTTTCAACCTTTAAAGATTGGTAATCTTACATTGCAAAACAGAATTGGTGTTTCCCCTATGTGTCAATACTCGGCCGATTCAAAATTCGAAGCAACTCCATTTCATTTTATGCACTACAGTTCTATCATTTCTCGTGGTCCAGGTATTACCATCGTTGAAAGTGCTGGTGTTAGTCCAGAAGCTGGATTATCTCCTCATGATTTAGGTATTTGGACTGATAGTCAAGCTGAAAAATTAAAGCAAATTGTCGATTTTGCTCATTCTCAAAAGCAACTAGTAGCTATTCAAATTAATCATGGTGGTAGAAAGGCCAGTGGTCAACCATTGTTTGTCCATTTAGAACAAGTAGCTGACGAATCCGTTGGTGGATGGCCAGATAAGGTATTAGCTCCATCCGCAATTCCATTCAGACCGCATGGAAACTATTATGTACCCAACGAATTAACCAAAGAAGACATCAAACGTATTGTGAATGACTTTGGTGATGCTGCTAAGAGAGCTGTTGAGATTAGTGGATTCGATGCTATTGAGATCCATGGTGCTCATGGCTATTTGGTCAACGAATTTTACAGTCCTATTTCAAACCAAAGAACCGATGAATACGGTGGTTCATTTGAAAATAGAGCAAGATTCTTAATGGAAGTTATTGACAACATCAAATCCAAAATTCCAGAAACACCAATTTTCTTGAGAATTTCTGCTGTTGAAAACAGCCCTAGACCAGAAGCTTGGACCATTGAAGAATCAAAACAATTAGCTGACCTTGTGATTGAAAAAGGTATCTCCTTGATTGATATTTCTTCAGGTGGTAACGATTACAAGCAACCTCCAAGAGCAACGGTTGCCAAAAAGACAAAGGGTGAACCAATCCATGTCCCTCTTGCCCGTGCAATTAAGGAACATGTGGGTGATAAAGTCGTTGTGGCTTGTGTCGGTGGACTTCATGAAGATCCTCAACTTGTTAATCAATACCTCGAAGATGGCGTTTTCGATGTGGCCCTCATTGGAAGAGGTTTCTTAAAAAATCCAGGTTTAGTATGGGAATTTGCTGATAAGCTAGGAGTCAGACTTCACCAAGCATTACAATATGGATGGGGTTTCTGGCCTGAAAGACAGCAGATTATAGACTTAATTGAAAGGACTTCCAAGTTTGAACTTGAATAGATAGATAGATACATGTACATGTAGATAAATATTGGTTATTATTATTTTCTTTATTATAGACATTTAGAGCAATAGGATATTAGATACAAAATCTCACATTAAACATATAGGGGGATTCTCGCATCTGATGATTGAACAGGCGCTTTTTTTTCTACTTCCAAGGATTTTTGCTAAAAAAAATCTGAAACGAACGTCACGGTAATATGTATTTTTTATTTCTTTTGAATCTCGCTTAAGTATCTAAAAACTTAAATTCATAAAAAATATTTTTTTGTGCGTGTTAAGATTCAACTCAAAGGTAGTGTCAATTTTCTAATCTGTCATACTTGTTGCAAATGCAAAAGAAAAAAAAAAATTTTAACATCATGACATTCCAGTATATCCCTATTAAAAGAATGTTATTTAGAATCATGTTGTAGTCCTTATATAGGGGGGTTTCTGCTTTTTCTTTCGACTTTCCTTTCTTTTCTTTTCATCCATCAACCAAATGTTAGCTAGTAGGAGTGCTCAATCTAAGAGCGAGAAACCTATGGCCCTGGCACAGCTGCGCAAGGTGGTTTTCAACATTTCCCAGAATTTGAAGGTAACTAAAATATTAGGGGAAGGTGCCTATGGAATAGTCGCTCTCGCAACGCATTTACCAACAGGAATTGAGGTGGCTATTAAGAAGATTATGCCATTTGAACGGCCATTGTTCTGTCTTCGTACACTCAGGGAGATAAAATTATTAACAAAGTTTAACAGCCATGACAATATCATTAAGCTTTATGATGTGCAAAAACCTTTAAATTACGAAAGCTTCAATGAAGTTTATTTAATTCAAGAATACATGCCTAGTGATTTACACAACATCATTGCTACACAAACATTGAGTGATCAACATGTCCAATACTTCGTTTATCAAATTCTTAAAGGACTTAAGATGATTCATAGCGCTGGTGTTATCCATCGAGATTTAAAGCCTTCCAACCTTTTAGTTAACGAACAATGTGATCTTAAGATTTGTGATTTTGGTTTAGCAAGATTAAACTCTGCCCTTTATAATACGCCTACATCCCCTCCTCTCATTTCCCAACTTACTGAATATGTTGCTACCAGGTGGTATCGTGCTCCAGAAATAATGCTTAGTGCTTCACAATATTCCACTGCAATTGATGTGTGGTCGGTTGGTTGCATTTTAGCAGAAATGTTAACTTATAAGCCCTTATTTCCAGGTAAAGATTATATTCATCAATTGAGGTTAATTTTAGATATTTTGGGATCACCTGGTGAAGAAGACTTAAGAAACATCAAATCCAGTAGAGCCAGAACTTTCATTAAGTCACTTCCACAGAGAGAGCAAATTAACTTGACATCTTACATTACTAAGCATCCTTATAGGATTGCAAAACATGGGAGATCACCCCAGGTAAATCCTCTTGCAGTAGACTTATTGGAAAAGTTATTGATATTTGATGCAAAGAAGAGAATCACAGTTGACCAAGCATTGGAACACCCTTATCTTGCTTCATATCACGATCCAAATGACGAACCTACTACTCTGCCTATCCCAATTGAAGAATTCGAATTTGATATAGATAAGCAAGATTTAGATATTGGAGAGTTGAAGATAGAAATTTATCATGAAATTATTAATCAAAAACGCGATTAAAGTTTTTATTTAGTTATTACGTATATATTTTAATATTTGAACAGAAATTAATTAATTAAGAAAAACGTGAGATAATCTAAATCTCATTTTAGTCTATCTTCTTTCAACCGCATATCTATGCAAGAAAGTATAACCCAAAGCCAAGAAAATGACCGATAAACCGGATAAGTAACCAACATCTTTCCAGAATGCCGTAACATCAAACCCAAAAGTACTTAAAATGACAGCACCTGGGACTTCAATCGATAACCCATACTTCCTTTCTCTCAAAATAAGATCTTTCACTTCATTGATAGACAAGGCTTCATAGGCATAATGGAATACCGATATCCATTCAAGCCATTTAATTTGCATAGTTAAATCTTCACTATTGATGAATAACCCAGCAAACAATAATGACAATAACAAAAGCAATACACCAATCATAGTTGAAGTACCGGGTTCTTTAACCAAAATACCAACAATTAACATTTCAACCGAGACCGCAACATTAAAAACAATCAAAACGACAATAGTTTTCAAGAATGCATTATGCTCCATAGTCAATCCAACTAAAGGATATGCAACACTGATTAAAATAATAGGTGGCAACACTCTAAGTGGAATCAAATCACAGAAAATCTTACTGAAATAATAACTTAATGGATGATAATAATTATTTGCTCTTTCTCTAATGAAGATAATTCTTTCAGTAGCGAATGAATGTAACCCTGTCAATGACGAAAACCCGAAGAAAGCAAGAAGGAAAAAGAAGAACCCTAATCTGTTCTGGAACCCACTAATATCATTGGAGACATTATAATACAAGTATCCACAAAATAAACCAACCATTAAAGACAAAATATAATGTGCAAGCAACAATCTTGGATTTCTGTACAAATTCTTGAAAATTCTTGAAGACAAAATTGTAAATTGGCTCCAGAGGGACGCTTTCTTAATAGCACCATTTGATAAAGCAAGCGGAATAGGGTTTGAGGCTCCTTCTGAGATTTCCTGTTTTAATTCCAAAGATAATACCGATTCATTGAATAACGTAGGTAATTTGTTTCGTAAACGAATAAAAGTTTCTTCTTCTCCTGTTTTAGATGTTCGACGACCCACAATGTCACTTTGGTATTCATCGCGGTGAGTTGCGTAATGTTCCCATTCCATAGTGGTATCTTCCTGACTTTGATTTCTATTCAGAAGGAATTGTTCATGAACATCAGTGTCATGCAAATCGGTAGAGGAAGCTTGTACTATTTCGGAATCTGCATTAGTTACTTTGATAATCTTGTTATGATCCACAGTAATATCAATCAAATAATCTGCAATATTATAGCCTAAAGGACAACTATATCCATTCTTGGTAAAGAAATCATTGGCTTTTATCATATCACCAGAATAAATCAAATCACCCTCACTTAACAATAATAATTTATCAAACAAGGAAACAATATTACTTCTAGGTTGATGAATTGTGAAAACAATTGTTCTTCCATAATCTCTAGACAATTTAACCAAACAGTCAATTACATTTCTGGCATTATAAGAATCTAAACCAGAAGTAGGCTCATCCAAAAATAAGATAGATGGAGATGTGACTAACTCGCAAGCAATCGAAACTCTTCTTTTTTCACCACCAGAGATACCTCTTTTAAAATCAGATCCTATAACAAGATCTTTAATACCCAAAATTCTCAATTCATTAAGCACTTCAATAACTCTAGCTTTCTTTTGTGTCATGGTCATATCTCTTGGAAGTCTAAGTAAAGCACTATTCAAAACCGTTTCATACACAGTCAAGGTTGGAATCAAGTGATCTTCTTGATCAACAAATCCAACAATTCTTTCGTAATGTTTTGGATCAACAATATTTCCATTAACGTATATATTACCAGTAATCTTTCCACTCTTGTTCTTTCCAGCTAAAATATCTAAAAGGGTTGTTTTACCAGCACCGGAACCACCCATGATTGCCAAACATTCTCTTGGTTTAACTAATCCAAATACATTGTTTAATACTGTTCTTCCATCGTGAATTTCATAACTGATATCTTCAAATGAAAGAGTTGTTGGCTCAAAGTTTTGATTCATGATGCTTGAATCTGGTTCAAATGGTTCATAATCGCCACCTTTCTTAAATAAAGCAGATTCTCCAATATTACGAAGGGCAGTAGCAGCTCCTAAGATGCAAACAACAAGAACGCCAATTATCAGGAAGATATCACCAAGGGTCAATTTGGAATGATCAGGTACTTCATATCCTGGGATTTGACTCTTGTGAACACATTCTCCCGAAGTACAATGTAATGTAATATAGGGGTCACCAAAAACAGTTTGAATTAAATCATTCATATTTGGTTCAGAGAAACGACATTTCTTTTCAGCAACATCACAGGAAAAATCACCAGGACCTCTAATTGTTTCAGTTAAGAACTCGGAAATATCAATAGATCCATCCTTTCCACAAAGCATTCTATCTGGTAAACATTGACAGGCAACTTCTTCACAATTATAGTGGGTAGTGTTAGCAGCTAAATCATAGTCAAGTACACATTTGTTTAAATCACAATAAAACGATTCAACTTGATCGATCCAGAATTGGAAATTACAATTTTCAGACGTTTTATTACATGCAAAAGTAGCTTGAGGTATTTGACCTCCTAAAACAGCAATAATCTTTGGATTAGTGACATCACACATTTGATGTAATTTATTAACAATAATACCATCTTGATAACAAGTACCCTTCAAACCTTCTGGCATGAATTGGTCACATACATCATCAGCTGTGCACATATTACAATTTATTCCACTCCAACCATCTTTACAATCACATTGTTGCTTCTTTCTCACTGGTCTGTTGTTGTTCCCATCCCCAAGAGAACCACATAAAGGTTCAGAACAATCCATTCCTCCAAACCCATCTTGACATTCACACATACCAGTAAAAGTATTACATTGGGAGTATTGAGTACATTTGAAGTTTGGAAGGTTACAATTGAAACAAGGTGGACAATCTTTATCACCATCACCAGGTTTGCCACCACCCCTATTGTTACTTGCTTTTACTTCAAATACATCCTTAATTGGGAATGTCTTTTTAATTCTATCAAAGTTCTGGTATAATTCTTCTTCATTCGCTATTTGGAATGAATTGACATAAGTAAAGATTAGGAATAATAATCCCAAGAATGATAACTTGGGATTCATAATATATTTGAGAATATTCTTTTTTGGGAAAGAATTATCAAAACGCAAGGAAATAACCGAGAATATTATTACTAGAATAAGGAGGGAGTCTCGATTGTGGTTTTTTTAATTCCTGTTGTTTAGCTTCTTAAATAAAGAACAGGTAGAAGTTGACGTTCATTTTGATTCATATTCTCCCCCAACGTTTTTTGGTTGAGTTGGTCGCAATGGTGCGAATTTCACCTTGGCAAACAGATCACGTGCCCCCGGATTTTCAATTTCCATCACAAAGGAGGGAGTTTGACATTACGTTGTCAAAAAGAAAAGTGCTAGACTCTTCAATACGATATGGCTGAATAACATGATAGGTCTATCTTACTAGACTAACTATACATGTTTGTCTATAAAATCCATCGATCAATAATTTGGCAAGTGGTGACGTAATCAACCGTAGATTAACCAAATGGGAAAATCAACTAGTCGCGGTAAGCCGCAGTGGGGGGGAAAAAAAAACAACAAACAAGGAACTCCAATGATGGGCAAAGCCTGAAAGAACGAAAGCAAATCATACTTTAAGCACATAAGTCTGATACTTTATATATTGTCAAAAGATGAAGAAAGCCAAGAAGAGTATTGCCACTCAAAATAAGATTAGAAAAGTGCTTCATCATAAACTCATAACTGCACTGACAATAAATGCAGATTCCAATCGTCAATATCCTCAAAGATTAACCCCCAGTATACTAAAGAATGATAATTGTGACTTGTTAATCTACTTGATATATATGAAATATATAAATGATTTGATTAAAGGGGGAGGTGATCCTAAATATGGGCTTATTGGAAAGAATGGAGAAATAACTGAACAACGATTGAATAATGCCAATGATGAATTGATAAGGAAATATCAAGGGTAAACTTTTTTAGTACACTATATACAGATGAATGGTTTAATTCTATAATGACTAATGAATTTATATACATATATATACATGAATGATTTTTTTTCTAAAACACAGTGTTTGGATCTTGTAAGGTTTCAATCATTTTAATTGCACCTTTAGGGTCTTGTTTATTATAAACAAATAATCCTTGTAATTGAGCAGTACTGACATGTTGAACATTTAATTTACGATATTTGGCTAAGAATTCTTCACAAAGCTCTTCTTCATTTTCATAGAATCTCAAAAACATTCTCTTGACTTGATTTTCAGTCGCATTACCTATCAAAGCTTTGTAATCCACTCTACCTGGTCTTAATAAGGCTGGATCTAATTTCTCTGGGTGATTTGTAGTCATAAACGTTATACATTCTTCAGCACTTGCAACACCATCAAGGGCATTCAACAAACCAGAGAATGTAACTCCATTTGTATAACCTTTCTCTTCAGTTTGGTCTCTCTTATTAAATGCTGCGTCAATATCTTCCAATAATAAAATAGAACGGTCGGGAATATGATTCATTAAATGATTCAAACGATCATCAGTCAAATTATTTTCAGATAGGTTTAAAATACAAATATTGTAGTCAAGTTCCCCAGCTAAAGCTTGAATAAATGAAGTTTTCCCACTTCCTGGAGGACCATACAATAAATAACCTCTTCTATACGGAATACCACGCTTATGGTACCAAGCACCACTTTTCAAGAAATCCTTTACATCATTTACAATCCCTTCTGCCAATCCGTCATCCAAAATGACTGAACCTATTAATCTCTTAGTACGAGGTTGTCCAAATGGTCTCCAGTCTGGTCCCCAAGATGTGAATATAACTGTCTTTCCTTCACGAGTTTTCAAGGCCAATTGTTTAGCTTCAGCCAATAATTGCCCGAATAATACTCGGTCACGGTAAAGTGTAGTTAAAGTAACTGTTTCAAAAGGAGTACCACTTGTCATATCAATTAATCTTCCAGAACGTTCACGATTCACCAACATAAATGCCCCTTGGTAACGGATCAAATGTTTTCCTGGACCTGGAACCAATGAGAATTTGGTACTGACTGCCCCATTATCATGTTGAATAAAATTAGTTTCCACCGATAAATGACGAGAAGATCTTTGTTTATGTTGAGCCATCCATTCTAAAAACCAAAGATATGATTTATCTTTTGATGGGATTTCAAGATCAACTAATAATTGCCTATATATGAGACCAGATCCTTTTACCATACCTTGTCTAGCTAAGGCTAATCCAGTACCTAATAACATAAGACCACCACCAGCTGCGAAATAGGGATTATTTAGCACTACTTCATTAAATCCCAGAGAGATCATTCCACCAAGGGAACCATCTGAGTTCTGTCTGATTTTTTCAAAGTCAATAGACGGAGCAGGTTGGGCCATTTAATTTCCTTAGTCGGGTTTTGAGATTGAGATTGCAATTCTTAATGGAAGTGAAATTTTTTTTATTTTTTTGTTCCAATTTTTTTCGGTACTGCGCAGCTTTCTTTGTCTGATTGATTTTTTGGTGATGGGTCCCTCACTTTTGCTCCGATGGTACGGGAGATACAAATTTACTACGGGGTAGATGTCAACTGGATCGTCATCGTCCTGCTAATTTTGGAATCCCGTTCTAGAAACTTCATTAGAAATCACAAGTCAATATTGTGAGCACAATTCATACTAAATTCTTTAAATTTGGATTATGATAACAGATACACATTATGTACGGCCCCTAATAGATAGATCATTAATTATTCAAGTAGGAGAACCTCCGTTGGATTGGTTAGTTTCCCTTGGGGAAGTAAAAATCTTAAAAAATCAGATTACAGTTTTCTTCGCTAACCGATTCCGAAGCAACCTTTTTTTTTCTGTCTCTCTTTTATTGTGACCACCTCAATCAGATTCCTCCGATTAATCAATCAATAACCCAAATCTATTGACAATTAATCTCAAGAGGTAATATCAATTAATACAATTGCATCAGTTAATCTATTACTAATTATTAGGCCACATAACAAACAAAGAAAGATCCATTAAAGTTGCTTTAAACAATAATTAAAAATACAGTCACTTAACTTTGCAACACATTTTTTTCCATTATGGTCAATGAGAATGAAGATTCATTAGCTTCAACTCCTGCAAATCCGCCAAGTAGCATGGGAGGTTCCGATTCATTAGATCAATCTCTCCAATCCCCGGAAGTAGATGGCTCTATGGAAGACTCACCACAGAAGCTGAATAATCCATTCAACTTGAATGTTGGCGGCGACTCCGCCACTGCCACCCCCACCTCCACTCCAAGTTTTCAATATCAAAGGACAAGAATCACAAATTCTGAGCTTATCAAATATCCATTCAAGACATTGAATAGAATTCTCAACGACTTAATATGGACAGTTCCTATGAGGGACCAGTATAATATTAGTTTATTGAACTCCAAGCCTATTGACTATTCAGATGGTTTATGTAGAGTGATTAATTCAGTTCCAAGATTTCAATCCCTTATACTTAATAATAGCTTGGATTTTTGTCCTTCGTTGGAATCACACTCATTAGATGACAGACAACAAACTTTATACATAATTAGAGGATTATTGGTAGATAACGATCAACAGAAGGTATATCATTTCAGAATATCCGCATTAGAAAACAACTCCAACCCATTTCTTGCCACCCCTATAGATAAACACCAATATCATATTATTCCAAAGGAATTGATCTCCAAGCATGATTTGCAAGCTTTAAGAGCAGATTATCCTGATTCAGATTTAAAGATCGATGATGCTTTTTTCAAGAGCTTGAATTCTCCAAACAATCAATTATTACGAGTAACTTTATATAATCCGGAATTCTCGAGTGAAGACCTCGATTCTTTGGCTTCTCAGTCTATTATTACCAAAAGATATATGAAAGGAATCGAGAAGCATCCAAATTTATCTCCAGATACAATTCCAAACGCAGTACATTGTTTCAAGACGCTTATTAAAGTGTTAAAGGGACCAGTTTTATTGAAACCAGATGATCCTATTAAGACAATAAGCTTGAAGAATACAGTTTTGGATGCTCAAATCGATGTTAAGTTGCTATATGAGAAGTTGGGATTTACATTGGATGCAGAAAAAGAGGATGCGGTACCTCCAAATTTGAATCTTTTACCAGGCTTGAAAGAAGCATATATAAGAAAAATTCTCGAGTTGATCCATTGGGGTCTAGTTATCAGTAAGAAAGTACCTTCAATTGAGTTTGAAGCTCTTTATTCTTTTTCCAATAATATGTCATTAGTATTTCAAACAATTGTTGAATATGATAAGCATGCAAGCATGACCAATTTTAATAGTAAATATACTGAGAAATTCCCTTATTTCATCAACCTCAGTATTTCCAGTTATTTCCAAGATGAATTAATTATTAAATGTTTTGAAAATACCGTACAATCAGATCCAGCCAATAAGTTGCATTATGTCGATTCTTTAAAAGAAACTAGACGTATGAAAAATAGCATTGCGCCAAGTAGGAAATTAGATGCATATCTCAGGAATTTGGAAAATCAAGGTGAACTTGTTGGATTTTATGATTATGTCGAAGCCATGAAAACTATTGGGCTTTCAATCGCAAACAAAGATGAAATTGACAGCATTGATGACGAGGTCGTGATCGCTATGTATAGAACCCAATATAGGAGTGATCCTAAGAATTATCAATACTACAATAATCTTGTCCGAGTTATCGCCAAAGCCAGAAATTCAACTAACTTGCTTAATTTCTTGCAAAGGGAAGTTATTCCTATGGGAATGGCACTTGATGAATTAAATATTGAAGAAGTCACAGAAGATGAGGTTGTCATTACTGCATATGAATTTAAGTTAGATGATCTCTTGCAGCAAAATAATCTTAATGCTAATAGTACCGACATTATTTACTTACACAAAGCATTGGTATCTGTGGCCGTTCATAGGAAAAGTTATCTTTTGTTAAATTATCTTGAAACTAAGCTTCCCGAATTTACAAAATTAAACGAAATGGAAGATATTACCACCGCATCGGCTTATTCATTTTTCAATTTGACACCAAACACTTCTGATTTTGATGCGATAACTTACTTTCAGAATGCTATTGTTGACCCTAACCAACAAGCAGATATTCGTTTGTTGAGATATTGTTTAAAGTTGATTGCTGAATCAAGAAAATCTGATATCATATTTAGTTTCTTGAAGACAGGAAAAATTGATGCATCATTATTACCTGCAGAAAATTGGCCAGCTGGATTGGATAATATTGGTAATACATGTTATTTGAATTCGTTATTACAGTATTATTTCTGTATAAAGCCATTAAGAGAGTTGATTTTATGTTATAATGAGAAAGATTTTGATTTAACTCAATTTGAAACTCGAAAAATTGGAGGACGTAAAATTGAAGAATTAGAAATCAAACGTGCAACTCAATTTATTTATCATTTGAAATATTTGTTTGATGAGATGATCCATACTAATAAGAGATGTGTTCAGCCGAGTAAAGAGTTGGCATATTTGTCATTCCTTCCTTTGTCACAACCTGTCAATTTTCACGTGGATGTGATGGAGCCTGAAGTTGTATACGTTGGAACCGACACGGATGCAAACATGGAAAGTACGGACGAAGTAGAAATGGTCGTTGAAGAAACCTCTTCGAACGATATCAAACAAATGGAAGAAGATGTAGAAACTCCAGAAACATCGGATGTGGAAGAAGACTCTACAGAAGAACAGACCAAATTGTTACCAATCCTGAATGATCAAATGGAAAGCACGATTGAGGTCGGAAGACAACAAGATGTTACCGAATGTATTGAGAATGTGACTTTCCAGATTGAAACGGTTTTACCTCCTGATAAAATGGATAAAGATGGAGAACAATATGACTTGATAAAGAAATTGTTCTATGGAAAGACTAAGCAAACTATAAGTCCGTTGGATAAACCTGATGGAGATCTGCGTGTTTCATTAGAATTATTTTTCAGTTTAATTATCAATGTGAGTGATCACCCAAAGAGTATATATGATGCTTTGGATTATTACTTCAACGAAGATGTCGTAAAGTTAGACGGGGGCTTATTTAAGAGAAGTATAACTATCAGTGAATTGCCGGATATTTTGCAATTCCATGTTCAAAGAGTATTATTCGACAGAGAGAAGTTAATGGCCTACAAATCCATTGAACCCATTCCTTTCAGTGAAAAGATTTATCTCGATAGATATTTGGATACTGACGACGAAGAAATTTTATCCAAACGTGAAGAAGTATTTAAATGGAAGCGTGAGATTAGTGAGTTGATGGAAATGAAGAAGAAGATACTTCATGTGGATGAAGAAACTGGTTTGTCAATAATACTGACTCTTCAGACTACTAAGAAATACCTTGAAGCCAAGATAATCCAAGATGAAAAGTTATCAATTGAGTTAAGTACCATACAAGTATTACAACAAGAGATTGATAATTTGAAAGGACAGTTATTAGAGATTGATACAAGATTGGCAATCCTTAACAAGAAAGTTTCCAAACAGTTTGAAAATTACAGGTCCATTGGATATTCTATATTTGCTATTTTTATACATCGTGGTGAAGCAAGTTATGGTCATTATTGGGTCTACATTAAGGATCCACATCAAAAGAATGTTTTCAGAAAATATAATGATGAAACTGTAACCGAAGTTCCTTCCAGTGAGGTATTCAATTTTGTTGAGGGTAATACCGCTACGCCTTATTACATCGTTTATGTTAAAGATAATTTAGAATACGATTATATAGAACCATTGAAACGGGAAATATCGTAAAAAATATTATAGAGAAATAAAATTACATCGTTTATTATTATAATGACAAATTAAGAATACAAAATCTATATAAAACTCCCAAAGCTTAGTCTAACTTTCTCTTTTTGTTTTCATTCTCATCATTCCTCTTAGTAAACAAAGCAGGTAAACCTACTCCTCCACTTTTGATAGATTTATCCAACTCGCTGACACTTGGTAATTGATCAGGAACACTTCTTGGAGGTGATCCGCGTCTTGGTATACCACTAATTGGCAGCTGTTGAGATTGAGGTCTTGAAGAAGGATTTAACTTTTGATCATTCATAGAAGTGAATGAATTACGTTGATAAAAGTATGTTGAACCGGCACCAATTTTCTCTGTACGTGGATTAGGCAATGAGTTTGTTCTTGAGCCACTGAGGGGAGTTGTAGTGTATGGAATTGAAGGTTGAACGAAATCAGTAGATACATGGGGTAAAATTCTCTTCAGTTCAATGGAAGATCTTGAACTAGATGAATTAGAACTGTTCTGTTGTTGTTGTTGTTGTGATGATGGTATGAGCGAGATGGGTGAAGATGTCTTCTGTTGTTGGATTTGCTTCATTCCATTGATTGATAATGGGCTGTAAGACTTCGACTCTGTTCTTATCCTGCCTTGTAGACCAATACTTGATGGATCGTCTATTAATGCTCTTGAATTATGCCTCGAAGGTATTGGTTGTAATGGATCATATACGGATAAATTTCTTTTGGTGGGATCATTCTCCTCTGATGCTCTATCATATATTGTGTAGTGAGGGTTTAATGGATATGGTTGAGGTATAATTTGAATACTTGAATTTGAAGGATTCCGCGAATTTGTTGCAAAAGATTGAGAAACACCTTGCTCTGGTTGAGCTTGGAGAGAAGTCACTATTGGTTGATTAATTCGTTGTGACATTGCATGCTTTAGATGCCGAATTTCGGTTATGAATTTGGGTTTATCTAGTCTTGACATTGGAGATGGGGCATCCTCTGCTTTGATTGAATTGACTGGTGTTTTGTTCTCACCGGTCCTTTCTGGAATTGCTGAAGTATCATTATACTCTGATCTGATCCAACTCTCAAACATATCCAATATGGTGACAGAATCATTAGCTTGAGATTTCAAGTTTTGGTACAACATATCACATTGTCTATTCATTATACTTAAATCATTTCTTAACAGGTTGATTTGACTACTCATTTCCATTAATTTAAAATTGACTCCGTTTTCAAAAGAGGTCGGTGGTGGAGGTCTGGTAGTATATTCAATATGGCCAGGTGGAACGGCTCCAGGTCCGTGCGGTGCTGGACTGGATGGAGAGTTTGGATTTGATTGGTTAGCGTTGGAATAACTCATCACTTGTGCTAAGGGTGGTTGAAATGTTTGTGCCTCTCGCATTGATCCATCATCCGGAGGAGGTTGATACATTTGTTGGGGATGAGGTTGGATTGGTGGATGAACATGGTGTTGGTGTGGATGGGGATAGTTAGGGGGTGGTGGCTGTTGGGTATATTCTATTGGATGTGATGTAGGTGGTAATGACTTTATACTGACAACCTCTCTCTGAGAATTAATGTTCTTTGAACTTCGTCTTTTGATTGACTTCAAGGATTCAACATCCCCTTTACGGAATTGGCTAGTCGAGTGTCTGAACTCCCACTTGTTTGGTTGTTGTTGGTTATTTGCTTGCTCATCTTGATTTTGAAATGTTTCATTTACTTTATGGAAGCCATACATGTTCAATTGTCGTATGAAAGATGCAATGTTTGTATGTTTAAAGTATTGAGCAAGAGCCTTCGAGAACTCTTCACCGGGCATCACATAGAATGAATCCAACGTGGGTGACCACCATATCAAATGAGATATTGTATCATCATGTAACATGTCATACAATTTATGAATAAATACGATTTGAGTCTTGCCAGCATTATTATTGTTATTGGAAGAATTGGTGCTATTGCCATTGGAAGCTGAAGATGCTGAGCATCCCATGGGTGTTGCATCCACTGCTGAAGATGTAGACATACTCACTGTTGTACTTGTTTCAGTCAGAATAGGAGGAATGGCGAATGAACTTGTTGGTCTCAACGTTGGTGGTTCAGCCATTCGTGTCGGGCTTGTTATGGTTGGTGGAGGTAGTTGTGGGGGAGATAGTTGTGGGGGAGGTGTTGGGGGAACCATTTTTGTCGACATCAACGCTTTGTTTGTTGCTGAGGGAATGATAAGTTAACGTTATTTCGGATTATTTGCCCCGAAAATTTTTATGTCAATAAATAACTCAGTTAATGTACGAATGGTTTCTTTCTTCTCTGGCTATCTAATCTGTCAAGTTTTCCTTTTATTCAAAGGTGCAATAAACTTAATGTCCTTTTGAATCGTTTATTTATTGATTTGTGTCTGATTGAAAATTGTTGGATAATTTAATTTTTGTTGAAGAAAGGAAAATGGTAAATCAATTATATTTTTAATTCTTCTTTTTGACCAGGAAGAAAAATGTCTTGGTAAAGGAACGTAATTGCAATCCCCCAAAAAATTATTTAAAGGAAAAAAAAATGGAAACTAGGCAAAAAAAAAAATAAAAAAGAAAAAAAGTTGAAGATTTTTTTTCCACAAAGAATTTTTTTATTTCTCCTTTATCAAAAAATATTATTTTTAAAATTGTCTCCAATATTTTTTTGCCTTATATTTTTTGTAATTGTATTTAGGCAATTGTATTCAATGATTAGTTAATTTGAGCCCAGTTTAAAAGCTATTGGTTTTGTGATGGTTCTGGAATTAAAGAATGTCTTCGAAAATAATGAATATAAAATAATATATCTGTGAATGCTTCAGAATGATCTTGGTACTCGAAGGGAGCCGGGTCGAGGGTCTTTCCAGAAAATTTCTATTAGTTTTTAAAAAAAAGGGAATCTTCTTTTCAATACATTCGTTTAGAGAACCAAGAAAACCGCCACAATTTATACCATATTTCTTGATTGCATGTGTGTTGATAAAGCGAAAAAAGCGAAAAAGCGCTTTGCATGAAGAAAAATACTAAGATTTTAAAAAAGTCTAAGAAATAGAGGGCATATTTCCATTATTTCTCTGGTTAATTTTTCTTTGTCACAAATAGAAGTTAGATATAGTAAGTCTTAATGTTTTTGAAGGTTTTTATGGAACATATTGTTACAATACGGGCATTGTCTGACGATGATTTTAGTTCTAGTCTTGGCTATAGACGGATCCAAACTAGATCTGAATGAGACAATCTAGAATAATATTCTTTTGCAGTTGTAAAATAATAATAAACAAAAACCAATCTTTTTCCGCCTGTCAAAAGCCCCTCTTTTCTGTATTTTACATTTGACATATGAATCCGTACAACAAGATCTTAAGTGTAAGATGAAATTTCTAATTTTAGCGCCATGTATATTGGCAAAAAGCAGCATGGTTAAACCTTAAAAACTATGGAAATGTACAAGTACATAGATGTGAAATGAAGCAACTAATTATATATTTTTTGACAATTTATTTTTCTCCTGCAATCCAAATTATTTTTTTGATCTTTTTCCACATCTGGAATACTTAATTTTTCCCGAACTTCATGTCAAGGTTCCATTCAAAAACTTTTTAGAAATTGTCACAATGGCGTTGTCAATAATTCTCCTACAGATGTAACAGAGACTAAGAAAAAAATGAATGAATCTCTATATACAAATTATAAATAAATGGTAGATATCAGAGCCGAGACAAAAATAGACATTTTCCCTGCATTTTTCTGAACGTTTTATTTTTTCACGATAAACAATAAAAAGTAGTGGTAATCAAATCCCACAACAATTTGATTCAAACGCAGGTCGAATTTTGATTTCCCTAATCAGCTTTCTAGCCTATTTGCTTGAAAGAAATCCAGCACAAGAATCGTATCTACAATAGATTCAGGAAAGGGCTCTCAGCTTTAAACTTTAAGCTTTTTAGACATTCCAACTCATGCAACCCTTTCTAAAAAATCGCGCAAATCGAATTGTATATGTAAAAGCCTTGACGTCAATGTTTAAACCACATATAGTTTCAAGCCTTGGATCACTATAATGATTAGATGCCGCTATCAGCAACATTTAGCAGAGTCAATAATAATTATTTGTCCTCCATTCAGAAACCTTTCCCCCCACCAGAATAATTTTGAGTCTCAATTTGAAAAATAAAAAAAAATAATCAAATTGTTTTGAAAGACTGCAACATTTCTTCCGCGACGACCCCAGACACACACCGCCTCGTTTTCAAACTGTTATCTTCTACGTAAATACAATGGCTAGAATGGCTAGAACGGCCAAGGTGTAATAATATAATTGGGGGAACAGGAAAATTAAGGTTTTATGAACTTAAAAACACATTTCATTGAAATTTTCGACGTGGGACTTGACAACAACGGATAAATCAAAACCTTAAAGTTGTTTCTATCTGGCAGCCAACATAGATCTGAAATATTTTTTTGGGACGATTTAAGTCTTCGTTTCCAAGCATCATTTTATTATTGTACCCCATTGGAGCCATATGTATTAATTCAAGAATCGCCGTGTTGGTTGACTAATCAAGAACACAATCAAACCCATCCAAAAAAAATAATATATTTTCTCTAAAAAGGTTTTCGAGGGCCTGGAGAAATCTACAGGCTTTAATTATTATTAACCTTCGGTGCATGGTCAATAAAAATATCAACGCCTTCCACTTCTAGGAACGAATGGAATTATCGGGATTTTACACATTGATAGGGGATCCCCCACCATAAATCTCTTGGTGCATGAATGAAACCATGCAAGACGAATTATGTATTATAATTTAACCGAGTGGATGATGGTGACAATATCACAAAAGTTTTGATTGTTTGCTGAAGATAAAGTAGCTATGCGTGTTTCTTTATCTATCCTATGCGAAATGTCACCCAAGGTAACTTTCAAGGGCTTTGAAAGATATAGAAAGTTATAGTATATTCCTGGATGAATTAATAGCCGAGAATATTACACAAATCAACATTATTATTCTTCGATATTTTTTTTGAACTATTTTTTTATAAATATTTTTTTAAGTTCTTTCTAAAAACAAGAAAATAATAAATTTTTGCGAACTTTTGCATTCAATTAAACCAAGTGAGCACACAAAATTGTAAATATTTCCGGAGAATGATTCCCACTTAATTCTCTCAACAACCAAATTTACACACACACAAACACATGTATAATTACGTCACCTAGATATAGTCTTAGTTTTTTTCTCTCCTGCAAGGAAGTACTTGGCATGCTTCGAGATGTAAGTAAGCTTCTCCACCACCAACCTTCTTTGATAATCTAGGGCTCGGCATGAAATGCTTGGGACTTGGACAATGATTTGTCTTGAAAGTAACGTGTTGGCAAAAGAACATTGGCGCGTGATAATATATCTTAGCGGATATTGTAAATCAGCTAAATTTAAAGGAACCTTTTGGTTTATCCAAACCTCTGAATAGGAGAGAGGTTTGTATAAAAACTCAAGGGCCCCAGTTCTGGTTATCGTGGTTGCAAGGTATTCAGACCGCAAGATAGAAGATTTAAGTAGATTTAAGCAAGAGGTGCTGGGTAAAGAAAAATCTTCAACCATGGCTGAATCCTGACGAAAAACAGTTCTGACGTCATATTTGGCCGATAACCTAGACCCTATTTGCAGGAAAATGCCAGCAAGACTGACACATTTGGTTAAGTATTCGATTAGGACTATTTCAATTTCTGTTAGTATTTCGGACTTACACATTATTGGAGGGGGGGGGGGTTGAATCTATTTTGGGTATGATTTTGACAAAATAATAATGTGGACTCATAACCCTCGGTTGGACATTCTAATATCACACAACAATATAATAATATTGCATTAACTTGCAATATTATTGAACCCAAGAAAGATTCTATATGGAAGAAGAAGAATGAATTCTCTAATACCTTTTCTTGGTCATTCTTCTTCTGGGCAGCGGTGTTTGCTCATGCATCCGCGTAACAATACATCTGCAACCAGATTTGTCTTGGAAACCTACAGAAACAATAACAGCACTTTTCGGCATGCACCTTCATGAAAAAATAATCGCAACAATTATTTGATGCCACTTGAGAGGCAAGTGGGATCACCCCGGAAATTCTGTCTGTCCAGACAAAAAGCTTGGTTGGCTTTGACCACCATATACTGCGGGGGGAATTCCCAGGACAATGTCAAAAATTCTCTTGCAATCTCACGCCTCAGAATGGTCTATTGATTGTAGTGATTTGCGACTTGCGGCCAAGGAATGAATCAACCGACGAGAACTATGGACAACATGAATCTAAATGATTCAACAAAAACTTTCAGTGGAACATATGTACAGTTATCCTGAAGAATTTCTTGGCTTCTTTCTTGGCTGCTCGGTATTACACTGGTAGAATGAGGCTCGATACCGTCGATAACCGTGGTACCCTTATAGAATTGGTCGACCCTTTGTATTGGGTTTAATCGTTTCGAGAATGTGGGGAGACGTCAATTCTTAAAGAAGCCAAACTCAAGGTTGAATGAATAATCGATTACGCCTCAGGAATATTGGCTTTGAAAAATGGATATCCTATTTCAGCAAGTAACACCGAGCTCGTGTATCTATTGTCAGAAGATCGCATCGTGTAGATGCTTGTTTCGGAATAATGGGCAAATGATTTTGAATACTGCGCATGTCAAATACCGATTTCGTATCTTAAGTTTCCTAATTCTATAGTCTTAATGTGAGAACTTGTGTAATAAATAGATTGGCAGTTTTTTGAACGAGATCTCACACTTGCAGTTTGGAGATTTTCCCAATTTTAATAGCACGGAATAATTCCAAAGGCTGTCAAAAAAAATTGTCCCATTAAGGTCGATCTATCGATCTAAAGAATTCTACAGAATGGCGTAAAAAAGTGGCAAAATTGGACAAATCTTTGACAATAATATAACTGAGAGCGTCTCGTGACATGATCACGGAATGCGAAGGATTGGTTTGAATAAGATGACTAATTGAATGAAATAAATTATTTATCTCCAGTTTACTATAGAACAGGGCTACTGTGGTCTTCTCCCTAGTATCTACTCATGGCGGAATCAGTCAAACTAAGTACGTAGCTTATAGTTCATACACTAGCCATGGCACCACCGCAAAAGTGACACATCCATAGGAAACCATTTCTCCGTTCACATTGGCAAAATGTAACAAATCTGCAATTCTTCAGATAATGTGGTAAATTAAAACAAAAAGGATTTATCGCTTAAGAATTTAGGATTTATAAAATTATTAGATTAACATGAAAACTATATTTAGATTGCATATGAAGTGAAATTATGAATTTTGTGTGATAGTCTACTGTACATTCACACATTCGATAAGAAAAGAAAAAGCTATGATTTGATTGTTTTTAGCCCACGGCAGATTTGTGTTTTTATGCAAAATGAAAATATTAAAATAAATGTGGGGTTTAGTCAAACCCGCCTTTCCTAGCATGGCCAATTGTTTGCTGTAAATCGTGTGTTTATCGCAAGTGTGTAAGCTTTTTACAAATGCAATAATGATAATCTTTTTTGGTTGTAGCATGGGGTGCATTTTGCGGATGTTTTAAGGTTTGACGAAGACTTTTTTTTTCTAAGGTTGTATTTCCGATATCCCCCGGTTATGGAACCAAGAAAATAGAAATCAAGGGGGATGACGGATAAGTAATCAATGGGAAGTTTCCGATACGGAATAGTAGAGTTGCAGTGAGTAAACTTGGTGGAGTATCGATGTTTGTGGTTAGTAAAATATTCAAACGTTCGATTCGTCTAGTTTCAGATGGTAGAAGTCGGGTAATGACGTTATCATAGAAGCAAAGAAACGACAACACAAACGAGACAATACAAGTAATAATTATTCCCAATTGGGAAATATTTCCCCCAAATTCCAAAATAAATTTATTTACTTGGGTCGAGAATCATTTTACTACAATTGCCAAATGATAAGATTTGGGAACAGGGTTATTAATCAAAAATTCTGCGGGACATCTGCTTATTAATGGAACAACAATGACGCAAATATGGGAGATGGGTTGCAGAATTTTTATCTTTCTGAAAAAGTTTGATCACTTGGGTCATTTTTCCTTATACTTAATTAGAAAATCCGTCCTGGGCGCAGTATAAAGTTTCGAGAAAAAAGAAATTTGAATATTATTTATAATGTACCAAATGGCCGGCCAAAATAAAAAAAAAAAGGTTTTAAGAATTTCGATGCCTCGTTAAATTTCTTTTGAATTTTTTTGTTTGTTTGTTCGATATGTTACAACATTACATACATAAAAAATATCAATTTGTTAGATAATATGATTGAGTGACTGGATGGGATGGTTTACTTATTATGTTTTGACTTAGTAATATATTTCGTCATCATCACCTATATTTAAATTTTACATGACACAAAAAAAATTCTTCCATCTCATTCCATTTCCGCTTGCCGTTTTGGAAGGTCATTTCATATTGTCTCTTTTCATGTCACAATCTACGAGGTCTTCTCACATGACTCGATATGAGCGGGTGTCTTTGGTTTTAGAAATTTAGTTTTTAGTCAAAGTGTGACCTATAGGATAACACGGATAAAGAAGGCGAATATGTTCCATCTCTGTTTATATAATATTGACCATGGTACTATAAGGTACGACTGTTAATTAAACCACGATTAAGGTTTTGTTATAATAACTTCATTATTTGTTGTTGCTTCAAATTGACAGTGGTCCACTTTTTTTGCAGTCAGTTGGTTTTTTTTTTCCGGTCAAGAAATTTTATGTGTAAAGAGTAAATAAACCGAACAATAATAAAATTAGTTTCTTTTTTTTTTGATGATCAATTTTCTTTTTTTTTTTTTTTTTTTTTTTTTTTTTTTTTTTTTTTTTTTTTTTTTTTTTTTAATTTCTTAATAAATTATTATTTATTTATTTTAATTTAACTCACAGGTAAAATTTTAATTTATCCTCCTCCTTTTTCTTATTAACGACAATAAAGAAAAAAAAAAACGCAGCCAAAAATAAAAAAAAAAAAACTCTGGTTCTATTTCACACTTTTTTTTTTCTTTTGGGAAATAACACACCACATTTTCTTTTTCTTTAAATAAAAAAAAGAATCATCACCATCAAAAACTATCGTCATTTCCACCCAACCCCTAAAAAACTATAACTTGGAAAAACTTCTTGAATATACCATACTATCACTATTGCTACTACTATCACTACTACTACTATTAACACGCAAACCATATAAACTACATCTTGCGAGGAACTAGAAAGACAACGGGAAAAAACAGTTTTTTAAATCTTTTCTTTCTATAAACTTGTAAATAACATTCAAGAACAAAGCCGTCATATCAAAAATGAACTCACAATCAGAACAACAAGAACAACAAACAGTGTTCCAAGAAGAACAACAAGGGCCAACACCAAACACAGGAGCCCCATCAGCAACTGACCTGCTGACTCAGCAATTTCGACAAGTTTGTTTTAATCCCGGTGCAGCTTCTGTAGTTGTTGCCACCACCCCATCATCCACAACATCTGCTGCAACTGCTACAGCTACTGCTACAGCTACTTGCGGAAGTACATCTGTTAAGCGCAACTCATCGACTTCTACAGATTCAGCAAAACGCATCAGACTTGACACAACATATCATCAACAAATTCAATCTACTACTGCCCTCAGCCAACCAACACCAACAGTAGCAGCCGCAACCACCACAACTACCAACGCTGCCACTGTTGCTGGAGCTGCTGCAAATACACCAACCACATCATCTATCACCAATACGAACACTATAACTAAGACGCCTAAATTTATTCGCAAATTTAGGTCAAGATCATTACCAATAATAAACTTTAGTAATCCAGCGTCTGCATTCTATCCCCATTTAAAGAAGAAGCATAACAACAATATATTCAATACCCGTAATAACCTAGCATCTTCATCTTCATCAACCACAGCATCTTCATCCTCATCGTCATCCTCATCATCTTCATCAGTCATCCCTCCTTTGCCACCAATAAATTTACAATCATTAAAGGAGATTGATTTGCATGAAATTTTAAAGAATCCACAATTAAGACATGATATCCTCTTTGATCCACAGTTACAATTCAGACCTAATTTGGATGGTGAACGAGGTAATCGTAAGAAATCATTAATTGATAAATATTGGTTAGAAATCCAAAAAGAATGTCAACAATTCTTTATAAGAACTGATGAACGACCAAAACAATATAAAATAAATCGATTACCGATTTTATTTACAACATTAAGAGATATCTTGTTATCGTTATTACCTACTAAAGATCGTCAACAAGTGAATGAAATTATGGATATTGAATTATTAATTCAACAATTAAAACATGGATCATTTGATTTCGTGGAAATGTCAAGATGGTTAGCTGAAGTATTTAAATCACATTGTGCTCCTATGAGAGATCAATGGGTGATTGAAATGCATCAGAAATTTGTTGATGCTTATAATTTTAATAGTGTTTCTTATTTGGTTGGTGGATTAAGAATGATTTTTCAAATTTTGGAAGCAATGAAATTAGATGTTGCAAATCATCAAATTAGAATCTTAAGACCAGTATTAATTGAAACTGCGGTTGATTTTGAACGTGATTATTTCCAAACTTTAATTAATCATCAAAAGATTAATATTAATGATTCTTTAAATTGGTTTTATAAGAAATTTATTAAAAAGGTTGATAATTTACAAGAATTACAAAATATAACTGATGGTACATTAAAACCAATTATTATATCTTCAATTATTGATTTATTAAGTTGTAGACAAATGGCAACTGAATTCCCATCAACTTTAGCATTTGATCATACAAGATTAGTATTATTAAGAGCAGATGTTAGACAATTGGTTTGTATTCAATTATGTGTTGTATTATATAAACAATTGGTTATAAATTCTAAGAAATCAATGGAATTATTAAGTTCAACAAATATTGCTAAAGTTCAACAACAAATTCTTGCAATTGTAACGGATGATAATGGAAATATTAAATGGACTAAGAATATTCAAGCTATAAGTTTACAATTAGTTAAGAATTTATATCCTGAATCATCAATGATACCCAATAATTTACCTAAGAATTTAATTGATTTTAGTCATAATTGGTTAATGAAACATATTCAACCAAATTCTGAAGTTTATGGTTTAATGGAAATTAAAATATTTAAAGAATTATTAACTGAAATTTTAAATATAATTGATATTGAAGATAAAGAATTAGAATTAAAGACAACAACAACATCAAATAGTTCTAATAATGAAATGAAAAATATTGCTTCAAGAATTGCAACTTTAGTTAAGTTCCATTGGAATGTATTTGGTAATTATTATATTGATCATATTAAATCTCAACATATTAAGTTACAACAACAAAGAGAGAAAACTATTAGAACAAGTGGTGATAATGTTGGGGTTATGAGACAAGAAGATAGTAAACAAGATACTCAAGATAATCATACATCATCTTCATCTTCATCATCACGAACAAATAATATTGATAATAATGCTTCAGCTCCATTAAGTATGTTGTCTTGATATAGTCATCACCTTTTTTAATTTAATAATTTAGAATTTGTTAACGTCTTCATCTCTTATATATTTATACATCGTTTAATATGGTAAAGTTTTTTGGGTTTTATAATTTATATTTTCATTTTAATTTAAGTGTGGATTTTTTTTAGTATCTTTTATTCTTTCTTTCTTTCTTTGTCGTATAGGCTATATAAAAGAGTTGAGGGTTATTGTAGGCGGGGGGGGGGGCGTTGAGTTGTAGACACAATTTTGTATGCAAATTGTACTAACTTCTACATGTAGGGCCAATTAAAATAGTTGGCTGCCAAAAAAATCGTATTGGCAACAGAGAACTCCGCTCTAGTTTGTTCTAAATCACCTCTTTGTTGATCGATTTAAGAATAGGGTGAGGGTATTGTAGTTTTGGAGGGGTAGCGATACAGATAGGTTTATTGTTAATCAATAATCGTTGTCTCTTTCAAGATTTGGGTTGAGAGGGGAGTGTAAAACAATATGGTCTTAAGTACACTAGCTTAAAATCCAAGATCTATTTTCAAGTTACTCGCCTCTTCTTCTCTCTTCTACTTGTGTTAAGCATGTGCTTGGTGTATATACAGTTACTCAAAGCTTTTCGTGGTTGTTCATTGTCTCTATCCCTTTCCCTCGGTGAAGAAATATTCCCACTGTTTTCGGCATATCCCACTCTCCAACACACACAATTATTGAAGAGATATTTCTGTGGAGAAAATTTACGGTAAAAAAAAAAGCTTGTGTCTATTATTTCTACACATTATGGTTGGTGGAAAAGGATTAGAATTATATTAATTAACAATGTACTTATTTTTAAGACAACTTCTAAGTTTTTATACCAAAAGAGTAAAATTATTTAAGTTTACCAAATTTAAAAAAACCATATGCAAATTTTGGCAGGGGTTACGGTTGTTATTGGGAGAGACAAAAAAATAATTATTTAACACACTTTCAGCCGAAAACAAAAATATTATAAAAATTAAGGGTTGCTACTTTTTTTTTATTTTCATATTCTATAAATATTCTTATCTAATCTTCAAGAAAGAAGAAGAAGAAGTGAATTCAAATAGAATCAATATAGAAACAAGCAAGAAGAGTAATCAATATGAGTATATCGTCAGTCATAAATGTGTTGCTATCACCATTTAAACTATTCATAGCTATCAATGTGTTTATTGTAGTCAATACAATAATCATCCCCTTTTCATTATTATTAAATATAATGATTTATACACCATTAGTTAAATTACCAATTGTAATTCCATTGAAATATTTATTAGAATTACAAGATGTTAAATTCACAGATTATCATTGGTTATCTCATCAAGTTGAATTATTTGTATTGACATTATTTCATTTTGTTATGGTTAGTATATATATTGGTATAACTGTTGGTGTATTTACGTGGGTCAATTTAAGCGCAATTAGGTATGTATTAACATTACCTTTGGAACTTACAGAAGATAAACAATCAAAGAATAGAATTGAATTAGAACCGGCAACAGAGAAGAAGAATAAAACAACAATTACCCCCGATCATCAAATTCAAGATCAAGATACTGGTTATTATGATTTCTTGAATCAAGTTGTCGTACCTGATGTTGTTGAACCTAGACAACAAGCTTTATCAGCACAGACTCTGCCTAGTGAAATCTCTCCAGAAGAGACCCATCACCATGTATATGAGGATGATGATGGATATATCTATACTGGCCAATTACGAAATCGTACTCATGGAGTTGATTCATCTGATATAACCCCATCAGAAGATGTGAGCAATCCTCCAAGTGAAGAAGAACAGGAAGAAGAAGAGCAAGGAGTATCTGGAGGTGCTAAAGAGCAATCAGCAGCTGCTGCTGCCCAAGGAGTTGCGGTTGATGAATCCTATATTTTGGAACCTGTTGAAGAAGAAGAAACACAATCTAGCCATGAATTGTCAAATATACCTGAAGAAACAGAAGAAGAAGAAATGTTTTCTGAAAGAGTCAATATTTCTAAAGATACTACAATCACCGATCAAACAAGTGAGTAGTGTGGCAATTTATTTATAAATTTGTTTTTTTTTGGGTTTGAAGTGTGTAATTTATTGTGTATTAGGGATTATATGTATCGGAGCACAGGTTTAGAATTTTGTGTAGGATTGAAATAGACATCCGATGTCAATTAATTATAGCGAAATTGTCAATCCAGTTTTAACTAATGTAAACCTTTATGGGAATATCGGTTGCAAAAATTTGGTTGTAAAGTACAAACACAATTTTGTGTTTTCTACATTTTGAGCTGGGGCTCTGCCCATTTGTAATTCTAATCGCACTTCAGCATTGTCGTAAAACTTGACTATTGGCTACTTACGTAGCCTTTCTTTTGGTGAAACAGTCAAGACCGCAAGATCTAAAGATGAGCCATCACTTATAGGGGGTCAATTTCAATGCTGGTAAGAAATTGTGTGTATTGCTTTTGACTAATCACAATAAGTACTACATTCCAACTAACAGTTTGACTATTGGTAAGTAGAATTGTGAACAGAATCATTGAAAGTAGTATTTAGTCATGTGACATGGGCTGCCATTGTTTTGCTGGTTACGCCGGAGATTTCAAAAGCTTCCATGCATTAAGTATGTAAGTATGGATGTTTCAAACGAGAAATAAAAATTAACATGAATAAAATAATTAAAGTTGCATTTTGTGTAATTTTAAAAAATAATCAACTTTAAATTCTTTTTATAAATTTGTTTCACTTCCTTCAAACTAAAACACTTTCTTCAAACCACCAATTTTTTTTTATTATAAAACTTAGAGAATTTGTGAAAAAGGATAACAGGAGTGGCTATCAATCGTTTTGCTTTTAAAATATTTGAAATTGAAACCCCATTTAAGGTTTGTTTGGAACTCCGAATGAATTCGACAACACTAATTTCCTCATCATCAGACGACTCCCAAATAACCCCAAATTCGAAAACCATCAAAATTCACACAAAAATCCGGCCATTTTCAACTGACAGAAACTTCAGCAAATCAATAACATTCGCAGACGATCACAACCAACCAACCTCAATTCCTTTTCCTCCCGGAACCACGACGCGTAATGATAATGATGATGATATAATTGATGATGATTCGGAAGAAAACCAATATCAAACAAAAATAAATGAACTTGGAAGACGTTCATTAAAATATCTACACGACATAGGCATAATACGATCTAATAATAATAATAAACTAAATGGAAATCTGCCCGAGTCAAGCCAGCAGGAGGAGCCTGGGGCCAGGGCCATATCCAATAAGAAGGTCTACAATTGTAATCTAAATTTTGAGTTGACTCAAGGAGATGAGATATTCAATGTTAGATTTCAATTAATATATAGAATGAATTCAATATCAGAGGAAAAACTCCCGCCTAATTTATATATATCAAATGAGGAATTGATAAATTATCTACGAGATAAGATTATTATGCGAGAGAAGAATTTACATGGAATTGAATCGAAAATTAATGTTTTGTTAAAATTATGTTCTGTTAGGTGTTTTATAAACGATTTAGAATTGGACTGTTAGATTTTTACTAGGGGGTGGTGTTGTTTGTATTTTTATTTCTAGTTAGAGGTTGTGTTTTAATATTGATTTTTAATTCAGGTATTTTAGTAAGTTTTTACTGTTTTTAATTTTGTCAAATTCTTTCCAAGGCGTACTTCGAAAGATTCTCTCGCTGACTAATTTGGAGGAATCTAGCCGTGGTCGACATGGCTGATGGGACGTTGAAGTGTAAATATGTGCTCAATTGCATCCTTACGTAGATAAACGCACTCCGGTAGAATTATTTGCCACGCACCAATTTACTCACAGGTTGCACTCATGACGTTAAGAAGACAGAATGAATGATCACTCCCTAGAATGGTACACTTCCAAGACAATTCCTTCACGTACTAAACCTCGGCGTGAAGTGTTCTTTTCTGGGCTTAAAACCGGAATGGGATAAATTGAAGAATTTTCTTGACCCGGCCGATTTAGGTCAAACTGCAGCACCGGAAAATTACTTGGCTGCAAAAATAAATCAAATAAATGAACAATTTTTTTTTTATAATTTATTTTATATACATTTATACACATCAATAGAGAAAAACATTAAAGAAAATACATCAAGGATAGAAAACAACAGAGAAGGTTGTTATTAGCATTCTGATAAAGAAATAAAATTAGCAAAGCAACATAATTGGACTCAATTCTACATTAGCCCAAACCTCATCAATAGTGACACAGTTGAAAGATATTCCCCCCTATGAATCTCACTTCTTAGAGAGGCGTTGCGCAGTGAATTGTAGTAAGGGATTCTGTAGTTATATGTGTGTTATATATATCAGTTGTACAACCCCCATGACATTTCCCATTATGCGCAGGTGGAAGAGTGAACTGCCCCCAATTCTTCTTTGGCCTGGTATAACAACCCGTATAGCAGCTAAAGGTCGAGAAATAAATATCAGTAGTATAAGTTGTGGTAATCAACTCATCAATACAAGGAGCAGGCCCAGTGTTTTCACAAGCAGTTAAAGTTGTAGTATAAGTCGTGGGTTCTGAAGTATAATCAGTTACACATCCTCCTCGACAATCATCAACAGTTCTTAATCTAGTAATGGTTTCCGTAACCAATAAATCACCCGAAACAAAAGATGTGGTGATTGTATCAGTAATTGGTCTGGTGGCACATCCACTCCAGCAATCAACACTAGATGTAACCACATCCGAAGTAACTGTCACTACCGTTTCAGTACAATCCCCACCACTGGGGCAACTAGTTGTTGTTCCAGTACTTGTCCACAAAATCGTAGATGGAATATATTCAGTACTGCAAGGACCATCGCACTGGGTGACATTATCAAAGACTGTGTATGATTGAATGACCAATGTCCAATAGGTAGTCGTTAAGACTTCAAATGTGGAATGAGTAGAACATGGACCTTGACATTCTAAAGTAGTCTTAGTTACATCGGTTGAGAAGGTTGTTGTATATAACTCTTCTGTACATTCACCTGAAACAGACACCAATAAAATATAAAATGCAAGGATTTGCAGCCAAAGTAATCCAAGAATCATTTTTTTTGTTTGCAATTATTGGAGAAGGAAAAATTTAACGAACTATCAATCTTGAAGAGAATTGACGTCTATTTATACCGGTTCATTCCCCCCTGTACCAAGAGCTAAATATAGATGGGAGTATTAGGATGCGTTGTAACTATTTCCATTGTTCTCACAATTTGTCAGATTGTTTGTTTGTATTGGGGGGGACACATGTGTTGCAAGTTATTGGTCAACTAAATTAAGCTGCCAAAAAGAAAAGCTATAAAGTTTGATCTGATTTCTTTTTTCTTGGCGAATGATTTTGCTAAAATAGACTACAATTACAAATTTATAATTATAATTGCTTACTGATGTAGTTAACTTTAATCTCCAGACAAAGAGACGTCTTTATGCATGCTTGTTGAGGGCTTTGTCTAAGGCTTGGGCTCTCAATCTTATGTATGTAGCGATCGCTTAAGCGAATATCTAGAGCAAATAGAAGGAGACTTTTCTCAACTCGATAATTCTATCCATACCTGGATGAAAACAACGAACAATCGGGATTAAATTTATTTCGGATGGATAAATCATATACTTAAACAAAATTGTGACATAATCCTTCACTTCTCCTCAACTACCAAAAGGAATTCTTTTTTGAATAAATAACACATGGGCCCTCAATCGAAATGCAAACAGAGTAGTTACTAAATATAAAATATTCTAAAAATATCGAAATTGATTTAATGTCAACAACGAGGTTGTGACGTTATTAATTGGGGAAGTTTACGAGGGAAGCAGTTAATATGTACTTCTCTCTATCTAATGGATTCATTATATATAGTTAATATGTAGATATATCCAAAATTATAAAGAGCCTAAACTAACAATGCCAAGAAAGCAAGCACTATAGCAGTTAATTCAGTGTGACCCTCAACAATTCCAGCCCTGCCTTCGATCGTAGTGACGGTATTGTTAGAGGCATTGTTTCCTCCCAAGCTTGGGGGGTTAATATTTTCATTTGAGTCCCCTCCCGGAGATTGATTTGAATCTCCCCCTGGAGTGGTGTTAGTACCATCATTATTCTCGACAACTCTTTTGATGACCAACTTAATCGCGGGACATTGCCTGTTTACAATTTGAATATTGTAAGGGATAGTGATTTGCAAATGGTCGTCTGTGCCACAAAGGTAGAAACTTGGACTTCCATTCCAGGTTAAATAATCGCCATCAAGTCCCCATTTACTATCGGATGAATCAAACCCACCGTGAATTCCTAATTCATCTGCTTTATAAAAGACATTATCATTTATATCAGATATGGTACCATCATCGGTATTGAGGATAAATTCTGGGGCATCATCAAAGACACCAGCGAATATTCCGTCTAACACTCCAACCTCTCTACTTCCAACTTCATCACCTGTAAAGGTAAGATTGAAGTGAATAACCTCCGCAACAGCAAGTGATAAAACAAAAAATATAGTAAGTATATCGTTCTGCATCTTTGTAATAAGCAATGTGAAGTTAATTTCTTCAATCCTAAATTAGAAAATCCAAGGAATTTGTCATAGCTTTATATGATTCAGATTTTGTAAAAACCCCTGAAGATGTTTAGATAACCTCAGAACACGCCCATCTTATTTTCTAGATAGTCAATACGTCCGCCTTGGATGACACTTGGGTCCTTAAAAATTACGAAAGTAACCCTGATTTGGTTCAATTTCTGTCCCAAAATTGCTGTCTGATATCCCTCAATCTTTTCAACAATAGTTTTCACAGGTTTATTTTTTTGATCCCGCCCTTATATTTCAAAAAAAAAACGAATTTCACCCCCTTGGGGACTCAATAAATCCCTTGGATGATGGGATCTACGTCGGATTGCCAAAGACACCGGATGAATCCAACGAGTAAGAAGTCTAAAGAAAAATAGTATTCTAAGCCCTTTATGAATGGAAATACTAAAGAGGCTTTTGATGGCTTTGAAATCAATTGTTATTACCGATATCGACTACGCCACGCAAAAACCTAGAATATGGGATTTCATCTGACTCCATAAGGTGACACAAAATTTACAAATTTGGACAGAAAAAGAAGCTAGTTTATGATTACTCTCCCTGGCTCAAACCTTAATGGTCTGTCGAATGGGTATATACAGAAATAAAGAAAACCAGGCGAAGGCTCTCTATTTGTTCATCGTTCCTTCTGAAAAGCTTTCTATTGAGGTGAAAATTTATTGAGGAAACTTTCCATTATTCTCTTTGTATTTTTTTAGTTTTTTCCTTGGTTATTTACAAAAAAATTATGGTATGTAATTATATAGTGTAATTTTTGTCCGATTTTTTTCGTAAGTAAGTTTTCTTTGATTTATTTTTTAGTTGAGAACATTTCGTAAATAAAGAATAAGCTTTCGCTAAAGACTGCCAAAAAGGTAAAAATAGAAGCACAAAATTCTAAACAATCAAAATCACGATTTCTAGCAACAATGGCTGTTCTGCTTGTAGTCGTTTGGCATCGCACCCTCGACATTGGAAAAGCGTCAGCAGTTTTAACTTGAATTTGATGAAGAAATTTAATCCATTATACTATATAATGACTGTATCAAACAGTTTCCAAATGAAAAAGATAAATATAGAAGTAAACCTAAACTAAAAGGATTCCGAAAATCACAAACAACGCCGTCGAACGACTTCCCAATCCTGAAAAACTAATTGTATCAATTGTAGATTGATTAAACTTAGTATTAGGAGAGACAGTCACTACTAGGGAGTGGCTGATTTGGGAAGAGTTACCAATTGGATACATAGGACTACGTGTATGGTGTACAGACGAGAAAACCGATGGCGTGCTCCCACTGCCTGAATGAGATTGTGAAACCGAATTTTCGGAAATGAATGAAGTGAATGATATTGAACTTAAGGAAATTATGATCAGCTCTGATGAAGTTGCGTGAGAGGACAGGCTCAGGAATGAATTTTCGCTTGATTTGCTTGATGAGGAATGTATAACTGACAAGTCTGAATTAATAGCTTCTGATGATGACAGTGAGGATTCAACTTCAGAAGATGAGCTCTCAATTTGCGATGAGCTTTCGGAAGATAAGCTTTCCACTTGGGAAGATGAACATTCTATCTCTGATGACCTTTCTGAAGATGAGCTCTCCGCTTGCGAAGATGAGCTGCTACTTGGGACCTCCAAATTAATCACTTTCAATTTACAAGCGACTGTCGTACTATATTCCGTAGTCAATATTGTGTTATCCAAACCAAGATGAAAACTTGTACCTCTGTAAAATCTGGTGTTTCCTTTATGAGTCAAATAGCCATCAGCATCGATCCCAAATACTTCAATGTTAACAAATGCTCTGGTATCAGTTGGTTCTATTACCCTCATCGTGGCCGATTCAACCATTAATCTGTCAGGATCTACTGCCCAGAGCGAACCTTCGTCCATGAGGGAGAATACTTGGGGTGAAGTGGTACTGTCCTCTGCGTGCATTTCACCATCTCTTAAAGTAATTGGTAGGACAAATGTGGGTGAATCTGTCAATAGGGTAAACCTAGCAATTTCGGCTGATAATACGCTGGCCACAAAAATGAAGAGTAATATCATTTGTATTCTTTATCGATTGGATTACAGTAGCAACAGTCTTAGACCTTGTTAGGTACTATATGGTGCATTTTATATACTTTTAGATCTTGTTTCATACTGCATAATGCATTTAGATACTAGGTAATGGTTTTATATTTAGAACTACGGTTCGTAAATAGGTCAACTTTATGGTAAGCTAATTTTGCAGCAATGTAAACAATAGTATTTGAATAGAAACTCAAATGCAACGGAAAGACAAGCGAGTGGCTGGGTTCGTTTAAAAAATATTAAAAATCCTCAGCCTGTCTAAAAATTAATGATCATATTTACTCTTTAATCCTTAGAGAAATAGATCTAAGTACCCGCCTTTGGTTTTATTGGCTAAAAATGGAGAAGTAAGAAAGATAAAGTATGACTAAGCATATTATTGAAACTAACTGAATGTATCTATAAATAAAACTAACAAAATGTGTCTATAAATAAAACAAACTAAATGCTATGCAAAGACGGGATTAAAGGAATAACCCGCAGACTACTACCAATGCCAATGGAATTTCTAAACCATTACCCTTTCCGACGAAACTAGTTGTTGAATGATTGGTTTTATTGTTTGGAGGAATAATAGTAACAAATGTAGAAGTCGATTCTGTTTGGGTTGTAGTCTTATTAGTCATTGGGTAAAGTGGGGTTACTTTTGAGGTAGGTTCTTGAGGGTGAAATGTAGAAGTCACTGATACTGTAATCGGAGTTGGGGTGGTTTCTGTATATGTTTTTGAAATCAGATGACTGTTGTTGTAAGACATACTGGTGTATGTGTTATGCTTGGAACTGTAACTGTAAACAGAATTTGAACTGTAATTGTAATGGGATTTTGAGCTGTAACTGTAATCCGATTCTGCTTGCGTTGCCCAACAATTTGCAATAAAAGCAAACAATATTAAAATAAGCAGAGCCATGTTATTGAGATAGTTAATAAATTAAAGTATCTAAGTTTGTCCTTTAGAATCGTTTGAATTAGGTTGGATCCTTCCTCTTTATATACTAGACAATTCCTGGCGTAGGTTTTCGAAAATGAATATAAACAACCGAAATCTATATTTAGAAGCCTCATTCGCATTTTTTTCTTGTCACCGTTTGTTTTTTGCAGCCGATTTTTTTTAATTATTTTTTAGTGATTTTTTTTTCAATTGTAACCAGATTACATACATCAGTTTTTGCATCAAATTCCTTTTTTTTTATTTTTGGAATTTCGCAGCATTTCTTTTTAACGGTTTAAAAAAATATTAATTTTATGAATTTTTTACAAAAAGCCAAATTTAGAATTACGTTAAAATAAAATAAAATAACAATACCAATTCTTCTTTTCTTTCTTGTAAAATAATGAATTTATTTGAATCCCCGCTTTAAAACGTTCATGAGAGATCAATGACAGACAATGCGGGTATTCTTTGACTTTTAAGGTTGACAGGGACAACGGGACTTGCGTGTTTGTCCTTATCACCCTGCGGTGAAGGTGAGAATTGGGTCAAACAGACCTACAGCGGATGCTCTACGACAGATTCCCATATTTCATATCTTTATTTCACCTTTCCAATAGTGCAATTGCGGTATTTATATTGAAAAAATAAGCCTTGATAATATGCACTTAGACATGCCCTTTTAAAATTTTCATGTTTAGTTTGCTGAATTAAGAATTTTTACTAAACTTAAAATTAAATTGTACAACAAGCCAATCCCATTGTGGAATTGCTTCCCCTCAGATCCGTGATTTCAGATCATGAGCCGAATTGTGTCTGAATTTCTCACATTTCCACAGTTTCTAACCAACGCAAAGAAGAGAGGTATTGTAGGTGTGAAGCAATGAAAGATTTAGAAGAAACTCTGCTCGCATGTAATGATGTTTGATTATACGAATATTGAAGCATATATTACTAATTAAAGAAAAAAAAATGAAAATCAGTCACTATACATATACTTAGAAAAGCTTAAAGGAATAAACCGCAAGCCAACAACAAAATCAATGGGACTTGCAAGGTATCACCAAGAGCAACTGGAATTGTTGTGGTATTAGTATGGTTACTTGGTGCGGTGGTAGTAGTTTCGTGGGTAGTGGTGTTTGTGATTGGGAATGGTGGAGGAGCTGGTGTGGTTGTTTCAGTAACTGAAGTGATAGATGTGTGAGTAGTAACACTTGTAGTATTTGCAACCGACGTATCTGCCCTAACTACAAGAAATTTAGCTTCTGCAACAATCAATTGAAGAATGAAAATATAAACAAGGAGAAAGTTCATGGTTAATCGCGAGTGTCTGAGGTTAGTTTGTTGGTAATTGGTCTTACATCCAAAATACAAAAAACTTGAAAAATCTGAATTTTAGGTTCCAATTGCCATCAATTTATACTTGTCCTAACAAGGCGATCTCATAAGAGAATAGGCATGACTCTTGCTACATTTGGAATAATATTTGCCATTTTGGCTCTTTTCTTTTGGACTAGAACTTTAAATGAATATTTTTTTGCAACTTTTTCATTGCTTACGTCATGCATGCTCTTATCAAACGGTTTTATTTTTTTTGACGTACATGTAAAAAGCCCATCTTCAGAATGCCTTATACTGCCCGCAGTTACCTTTAGGTTGCATTCTTAAGCTACGAATTAAGAATATTGATTGCCTTATTGACCCTCTTTTGGAATCCTCCAATGTGGAATAACCTGCTATCGTTAATATAATATTGCCTTCGAAAAGAAATCTTTGCCATTAATACAATGAAAAATTACGACGTATAGAAAGTTCGGTTTCGGGCTTTTTCTCCCGCTTTGTGACTCATTCTATTGTTACATATGCAACATAAATGCAACACATTGATTATCAGACCATTTCATAAAGATTTGGTAGATTAGAAAAGATGCTATATTTAGAACATGTATGACTCTGTAATCAGGCTGATATCTAGATAAGAGATGTTTATGTACACTTCCGCCGTGGAAATTGCTGTCAGTCACTAATAGTGGTTTTGTTGCTCATCTCATGACTATCGCCGTAGTGTATAACTGGCAATTTCAGTGAATCTATTTCGTTTTGACAGGCGGGGGTTGATATGGCAATGGGTGTTCTAGACTTAGTAATGTTAATACCTAGAAAGGTGCATTTGAAAGCGGCCTCGTGAATTTGGCATCATATTGGTCGGTCCATACATCAGGCTCGGTAGGGCCGGTTAATCAAAAGTTTCTTCATTTCACGTGAGGCATTGTCTCGATTGGATCAATCGGTATAAGCATCAATTTACATGTCTGAATGACCGGTACCCGTTTCGAGGGCTTGTGGCAAAACTATTCAAAAAAACTCCAGAAATCTGAGTTGGAGAGTCTGAAAGAAAATCTGACAGAGAACCAATGGACAAGTCCTGCAGTTTCCGGAATTGACTAAACCATTTACACTCTTTTCTGGATTCATAATACAAACCTTTCACATGTTGTTGAATGGAAGATATTCTGTGGGTGGTATGGGAGTTGCATCAATGACCAAGAGAGATGAGTTTGGTATTTATATCGTAGCATTGCTAGACTAAACATATTTTTCTGAAACAAATCTGTGTGGTGGCTTGTGCTCACAACGCAATTGCTTGCTTTTCTTCTCCGCCTATTATGTCTCCATTGAGATACATACGCAGTTTGCTTAATATTTTCTTTTAAGGTTGTGGCTGTACTGCATAATTTCTGCATTAGCCGCAACTTTTAGCAACCCATTTGCCACAGCTCTAAAGATTTAGTTTGAAAAATAAAACAGAGGAAGAAAATTTATGCTAGTTCTTGAACCTACCTAGCTTTCTTATGCTTTATTTAGTGCAATCAGTTTGATTGGAAACCAAGATCCATTTAAATGACCAACCATTTGGTTGAGCGGCAGTTTTATCAACGTATAACTCTCAAGAGAGACTTCCGATCTTAGCTGTTCTACAAGTAACCACTTCTTCAATTTACAAATAAGACCCCTATAGTAGAAAAGTAGTTAAAACTACAATGGAACGAAGGATTCCTTGATTCTTCAATCCAAGATTCGTAAGCATTTTTTTTACCATCCATGACTTCATTTCGTACCCAACAAGCTTTGACATTAAAAAAAGACTTCCATATTATTGAATATTCAAGCTTCTGTAAGGATGAATTCTGAAATTATGTACCCTTCGGTCTTTAAGGAGTGGATTTCCCCCCCTGGTTTTAATTAATTAGTCTACTCTCAAGACCAAGCAGAGTCTCTATACTTTATTGTTGATAATTTTTATTTGGTATCAGTCTATTGTAAAAAAATCCCAGAAAGAATTCTACTGATTTTCTAGCAAAAAATTCAATTTCTAAAAAACCAAACTCCCATATATCAAGACCTCCAGGATTATTAGTTACAGGGTATGCTTGTGAGGTCATTTTCAAGAAGGATGATTCTAATAGAGATAAACCATGGATTGTGGAAGAAGGGTGCAATTGGCAATTTGATGAATCGTTTGAATCGATTATTAAGTTCGGCTGTTAAGACTGAACAGGAATCTGCAAGTATTCCTTCAACTACTGAACCATTGAGTATATATTAGTAGATGGAAGTTTATAGACATCATAGAATTTATTAATTAATTAATAGAAGAGAGTTAATTAGGAATTATCCGCTAGTTTTGACTCATCAATCAAAAAGATACCACAAAAAATATTAAAGATCCACACTTTTTCTTCATTTAGATCAGATTCCTGTTCTTCGAGGTATCTAAACGTTGATTACTAATATTAAAAGACACTTTCTTTCCAACAAACAAAGAATAATAAACAAAGTAATATTGATAACCATATCTTCGACAATTTGACATAATCTGGCTAGAATTCTTTAAATATTATACGAATAGTTTAATATAGATTTCGTGGGAGATCCTTTTTGTATAATTAGAATTATACGTAGAATAAAATTAAAACAATAAAATTAAAAAGCCATGACCACCACACAAACAAAAAAAAAAAATATTATTATTATTTACTTTAGCCGCATTTGCCTAATTTAAAAAATAAACCATATTTTTATATAAGTCAAAGGTATAGGATCCGGGACAAGTGCGCAAAAAATCAGGATCCGGGACAAAAAAAATTTTGTATGAAAAATCGATATTACATCACTAGATAATACATGTCAAATACACCACTTTTATACCATTTTCAGGCCTCTAAACGTCATATTCATTATAAGTAACAATCCTAATATGCGTAGACTCGTTTTTCTGTCAATAGCAAATGTAAGGGTTGAGTACCAAAGAAAATAATTTTTCAGATTGGGATCCGGGAAAAAAAAATTTGCCCCGTTTTTTGTAAAATAGCTCGATTTTACGTAGATAAATAACGTATGTCGAATACACCACTTCTATACAGATTTCAGGTCTTTAAACGCCATATTCTTTATATGTAGCGTCCTTAATATACGTAGACGGATTCTCTTGTCAATAGCAAATGTAAGGGTTGAGTACTAATCAAAATTATTTTTTGATCTCTATTATTGCAAAATTTTTGCAAAAATCACTATTAACGTAAAAAAAAAACCCTCTTGGATAAGAAAATGAGTCTACATTTATAAATGATGCTATATATTAAGAGCATAATGTTAAAGGATCTGAAAAAACTATGAAAGTGGTGTATTTGGCATTTGTTATTTTACTATGTAATATTGATTTCTCATACGAATTTTTGTTTGTCCCGGATCCTGATTTTTTTCGCACTTGTCCCGGATCCTATACCTTTGACTTAATAAAAAATCATCTTATGACTATATATTTCTTTTTTTTACATATACAATCTGTTTATTGAGTTCTTATACATACTAACATACAGAAATATAACAAACAGAAAAACAATATACTTTAAAGGCAAAAAGCATCATTGCCTAAAACATATTTCAAGAGGGGACGCTGGATATGTCCCCATGTATTTACTTATCAATTAATTTAAGCTCTTCTTCTTCAATCATTGTTTTTGCTACCTCTTTTGATGAGTAAGTTAAAAGAATTCTGACTGTATTTATATTAAATAACTTATAAATTTTGAATACACATCTGTCTATATCATTTATTCCATCTACTTCAATATAATGATTAAGAATTATTGGACGGAAAGAATACATATATATTTTTTTATTTAACACTAAATAATAAGTTTTTGAACATCTTTTTAAATAAGATGATATTATAGGAATTGTATTTTGTGAATAATGATATTCTATTTTTTCTACTTTTATATATTCCGGTTGTCTATCATTACAATTTGTTTTTGAAATAGCATATTCTTTATCTTCATCTGTTTTATATAAAACTATAAATTTATAATTATCTGTTTCATAATAATGATATAAACTATATAATATATCATTTTCATCTGTTATTTTTACAGAGTGTTTATAATTAAGATAACTACGCATCATTATTTCATTATTATTTAAATAAACAAAATTATTGAGAGTATTTTCTATATTTTCCTTAGCAATTTTTATTATATCTTTTTCTTTTACATTATCTATATAATGTATTCTTTTATGATTTAATTTTAGTCTTTCGTTTTTATTGCAAAATATTCTTAACATTTTATTAGATATGGTAAAAATTAGTTGATAAGGAAAGAAAGAAACCAAAAAATTGGCATTGAAAATTTTTTTCTGATTTGATTCAGTCGTTTTATACAGTGAAAAATCGAAGTCCGGGTAATGTGTTTTTTCTTTCTGTCAGGAGAAAAAAATTTTCACTACTAGACAGCATTTCTCTATGATTCATCAAAAGGGCAGCGATCTCTCTATTGAGTAAGTCTAACAAAGTATAAACAAATAGTAAGGATATTCTACAAAAAAATGACTAGTGGAAGTGTAGTAGCTACTAGCTGGGAAGAAGTGGAACCAATCTATGAGAGAATATGTAAAAAAAAGGGATTCAAACCTCGTTAACTTCAAGAAGAATTGACTAAATTTCAAGGATTTTTGGTCCAAGCTGACCCCAGGGAGAGATTCAGGTCACTTTCCTGAAAAGGAAACCTTCTTATTCATTGAAACTGGCCATTTAGCATCCCGAAAAATCCTTTAAAACAGGCAGACTAGTCTCATTTCAAGAAACAACGAAAACAAAATAAGCCTGGCTAGCTCAATGGCTAGAGCGTTTGACTTTTAAGAAGTACATTCTTAGGGTATCAAAAGGTTGCGGGTTCGACCCCCGCGTCGGGCTTATTCTTTTTATTTTTGAATAAACTAAACATATTAATCGATTATCTAACTACTGGCGTCCAAATATCCAAAGATTTGCAGCCATTGAGTTAAAAATTTAAAGTTTTTGCAGGGAGGGGAAAGTTTTTTTTTCTTGAAAAAAATGTTGATGGTATCGGTATAGTTTCGGAGGAACGAGCGAGTACAGAGATAAGAGTCAATTTGGGACTGTATTGATCTCTCCGAGTGGAAGTTACCATCTCTTCACTAACACCTATGGTTTTGAACTTCCAATACAACGAAGGAAGGATAGCTTTGGTAGGCTTGAATTTAAACTGAAAAGTTCCCAAAAAAAAAAAACTGTGATCAAATAGCTTGGCAGATGAAAAATGGCGAGAGATAAATTGATTAAGCGCAGACGGAATACGTAGACGTTTAGTAAACTATGTAGCTGAGACGAAATTAGCTCAAACTGCCAATCAAGTGCAAAATCAGGAAGAAGAGCTAATTAGTTTGAGAGATCTTCTGTACTGTTCGAAATAATTACAATAAAACTTTATATTCATTTTTCATGAATAAATAAATAATCAATTATAAACATAGAAATAATTAACGAGACTATATAAATGAGAGCTTTGAATCAACTTAAGCAGCGGCCATCTTGTTTAAAGCGGAACCGTACTTGAACCATTCAATTTGTTCAGCATTGTAAGTGTGGGATAATTCAGTTTCCCAAGCTTCACCATTCTTTGGATGAACTCTTAATTTAAGGTTCTTACCTGGAGCTAAGGTAGTTAAACCAATCAAGTCAACTTCATCATCAAAGTTAATCTTGTCGTAGTCAGCAACATTAACAAAGTTTAATGGTAATAAACCTTGTTTCTTCAAGTTAGTTTCGTGAATACGAGCAAAAGATTTAGTAATGATAGCAAAACCACCCAAGAATCTTGGTTCTAAAGCGGCATGTTCTCTGGAAGAACCTTCACCAAAGTTTTCATCACCAATGACAACCCACTTCTTACCAGCATCTCTGTAAGCAGCAGCGGTTTGTGGAACACCATCGTATTTACCAGTGTAGTGGTTTCTGACTTCGTTAGCCTTACCATTTTCTGCGTTAATAGCACCAATCATATAGTTATTGGAGATATTTTCTAAATGACCACGGTATTTCAACCATGGACCAGCCATAGAAATATGATCAGTGGTGGTCTTACCAACAGCCTTAATCAAGATTGGTAATCTTTCAGCATCCTTACCATCCCATGGTTTGAATGGGGTCAACTTTTGTAATCTGTCAGAACTTGGAGAAATTTCAACTTGAACCGAAGCTCTGTCTTCTGGTGGGGCTTGGTAAGTGTTTTCACCTGGATCGTAACCATTGACTGGTAAACCGACACCAACTGGTTCCTTTAATTTGAATTCATTACCTTCAGCATCCTTCAAGGTATCAGTAATTGGGTTGAAACCTAAGTCACCAGCAATAGCATAAGCAGTAACCATTTCTGGAGAAGCAACGAAAGCGTGAGTGGCTGGGTTACCATCGTTTCTGGAAGTGAAGTTTCTGTTGAAAGAGGAAACAATAGTGTTCTTTTCACCCTTCTTAACATCTTGTCTATCCCATTGACCAATACATGGACCACAAGCATTAGCCATGACAACACCACCGAAATCTTCGAAGGTCTTTAATTGACCATCTCTAGCAATGGTAGCTCTAACTTGTTCAGAACCTGGAGAAACAGTGTAAATAGACTTAGCCTTTAAACCGTGAGTAGCAGCATCCTTAATAATAGAAGCAGCTCTGGTCATATCTTCATAAGAGGAGTTGGTACAAGAACCGATTAAACCAACCTTAACTTCCATTGGCCAATTGTTAGCAATGGCGGTTTCCTTCATCTTGGAGATTGGAGTAGCTAAATCTGGGGTGAATGGACCGTTAACGTGAGGTTCTAAGGTGTTCAAGTCAATTTCAATAATTTGATCATATTCACAACCTTCATCAGCAGAAAGGAAGTCCTTCTTGTAAAGGTTAGCAAATTCACCAATCTTAGATCTACCAGTAGCATTCAAGTAGTCAACCATAGAGTTGTTGAATGGGAAAACAGAAGTAGTAGCACCAATTTCAGCACCCATATTACAGATAGTACCCATACCAGTACAAGAGAAGGTTTCAACACCGGAACCGAAATATTCAACAATGGCACCAGTACCACCCTTGACGGTAGTAATACCAGCTAATTTCAAGATAATATCCTTTGGAGAAGTCCAACCAGACATTCTACCGGTTAATTTAACACCAATAATCTTTGGAGCCTTTAATTCCCAAGGTAAACCAGCCATAACATCGACAGCATCAGCACCACCAACACCGATAGCTAATTGACCTAAACCACCAGCATTTGGAGTATGGGAATCGGTACCAATTAAAAGAGCACCTGGGAAAGCATAGTTTTCCAAGACAATTTGATGGATAATACCGGAACCTGGCTTCCAGAAACCTAAGTTATATTTAGCACAAGCAGAAGCTAAGAAATCGTAAACTTCCTTGTTTAAATCAATAGCTCTAGCTAAATCCTTTGGACCACCAACTTGGGCTTGAATTAAATGATCACAGTGAACAGTAGATGGAGTAGCAACTTGTGGCATACCAGCAGACATGAATTGTAAAATAGCCATTTGAGCAGTAGCATCTTGACAAGCAACTCTGTCTGGTCTCAATTTCAAATAAGAAACACCTCTTTCAATATCTTGTCCATGAGGATCATCTAAATGACCGTATAAAAGCTTTTCAGCATATGTAAGAGGTCTGTTTAATCTTTGCTTAACAATTTCAACATTTTCAAGATGTTTCTTGTATTGAATAAATGAATGGGATTCTAACAAATTTTGGTTAACTTGAGAATCTCTGGTTAAAGCGGCAGTAGCTAAACCACGAATAGAACGTGGGGCTCTAACAGCTGTTCTAGAAGCAGACAACATTATTCTAAAACTCAATTGGTAGAGGGTATAAGGATAAAGTACAAAAGAAGAAAGAAAGAAGAAAAAGGAGAAAAGAAAGAACTAAGTTTCCCTGAAATTTTGAAATTCTGGAGGGGATTCATTGATGGTTTTATAAGAAGTTGATGATGATGGAAAGTTTTGAAAAAAAAAAAAAAAAAATAATAAAAAATAAAATATTCAATTGCGGTTTTTGTTACTTATCGCTGCTTAATGTATTGATGTTTGGATGTAGTCACGGTATTTCGGATCCTATATCCCCTGTAGACTGCATACAAATCTACAAATAAACCAATAGCAGCAAACAAGTTTCTAATACAAAATTGAATTCCGGGTATTTTCCTCGGTAACACCCAAACAACAGGCAATCTTTAATATAAGGTGATTTTGTCTTAGATTTCTCGAGTAAAACTATTAATGGTTGACTAATATTTACTATTTGATACGTCTACTTGCTATATAAGTACCGTACTAGAAAGAATTGAGTAATAGATTGAGTCTTGCTATTATTCATCCAATCGTCTTTTACCCTCGCAACTATTAAAGTTCTCTGATTTACGGTTTGGTTCTTCTCCAGATTTTTTTTGTTTGTTGCAAGTTGTGAAAATTTTTGAAAGCTAACGAAAAAACTCCGAAACAATTAAACAAACCGTCATTGGATCAATTTTCTCGGTGCCGAATATTGCATTTGATCTGGTTAACACAAAAAAACTATATACACCAAAACAATTTTGTACGACGATACCAACGATTGCATTGTGAATATGATATGTCAAATTGACAATAGAATCGTACACATAACTACTAGGTGAAATCTTGATATATATATTAGGAAAGCTCACGGATTGACAGCCATGACAATGGACTCTATTCTCGTTCAATTGAGCCTGGGATCCTACCGAATTGACTATAGAGTTACCAATATCACGCAATTTTTAACACGCTAACACGATACTTCTCAGTACATGACTTGAATTGATCGTTTTCAAACCGTTTTGATTGTAGTTAACAATGCCATCATTGAAAAGTTTTTTTGCGTTCCTGAAAATTTTCGGAGCCGCTTTTCGGGATTATCGCATGGCATAGAATTTTATACTGTGCAATAATCAATCTAACATGTGGGATCGCAGCCCTGTTGACAGAGACACAACTGTCAAGAAAAACTAGACTAGTATTTAGAATTATTGCATTGAAGAAAATTGGTTGCAATATACTCCTAAACCGTACTATCGAAAGATTTTCTATATTTCCGGGCCCATATATCGGACCCCAGTTCTCACCCTTGAACATTATATAACTTACTTAATAAATGATTTCAAAATCATGGAAGCAGAAAGCCGTTTATAAATATTTGACCAATTATATATGCTTGAATACTAGCTGTTGTCTCATGAACTTAGTATTCACGACGAACTATTGTTGAAACAGATCTGACAAATAAAGGGGGGCAGGGGCCAGATCAGAAAACTAAGTTGATCGATTTATGGGCAATTGGTTACGTTCAGAGTTGGCATGAACTCAATGGAAAAGACTACAACTTTATCAAACAATCCAGGTCGCAAGGACCCGACCTTTTATATTACACCGCACAGGGTCTAATGATTGATTTGTACTTAAGGTGTATAGAAAGTTGAATTCCATTATTGCATAGAGTCTTTATGTATTACCTGTAAAAATACTGAAATTTCTCCAATGCTCTTTATAGCTGTTATCACCAAAACTATTAACTATTTGATACTCAAGAAGCAACAATTGCACTAAACTACTTAAGCGAGAGTATCTCGGAAAGTTGCAATATTTTTTTGAAGATTCGGAGTAATGTCGTTTTTTGCAACAACTTGTTTTACTGAAGTCAATTTTGATTTTTCAGGGGTACGACATTTAGACTTCGGAATGTCGTGGCAATAAGATTTCGCCAAATTTTAACACTTAAAGATATTAAGGATGGCTTTGCCAACCAACTAACACAAGCTTTCCTTTCTTTATAGATAATATACCAATCAGCCTTTAAGAAAGGATTTTTCAAAATCATGATGGAGATTCTGGACAATGTCGGTCTAACATGTGGGATCAAGGCTATCCTTCATCCAATGGCTCCCCACAACGAAAATGCTTTCAATCCCTGTTTCATCACTTTGATAATCAGTTTATTTAGCGGATTGTTTCTTATATACACGGGAACCTCACTATATCTAACGTTAAGTAAAACACGGTATGGCTCATTATTACCCAAGAGTACAGGCATGAAACACTACATTCGGATCAATTCTGTGCTATTACAGATTGTGCTATTTGCTTACTTGAGCACCTTTATAGACATACAAGAGAGAAGCACGTTGATTGCTTTTATAATACTCCTTACAGGCTTGATACTAGTTATATTGCCTCTTCATTTTGTTGAAACTTCTTATGAACCAATTCCCAGTGATCCATTAGTGCTATTTTGGCCATTTTTAACCTTGATCGAACTTGCTTTATATTTCCAAGATAATTACACCAACTGGCAAATCATAAAGCCCATTGAAGGTGATACAACAATCCAGATAGTTGAAATATTGCTAATTGTGAATTCCATATGTATATTCATTATGGAATACGCTAATTCTTGGAAACCAAGTCATGATCTAATATTACATTATGCTAGAACAGAACAACTCGAAAAACTAGCAACCCCAAATGTCATAGAAAGAATCACATTCAGTTGGATGAATGAACTAATTTCCAACTCATACAAGAATGAAACAGTCACTAATGCGGAATTACCCAATACCCCAGAAGAGTTATCAACTATAAATTCAACCAAAAGAATACGTCGATTCTGGAAAGGAAGAGGAAATTTAGGCTACTCGTTACTTCTAGCATTTGGATGGGGATTATTAGTTTCATTTGCATATGAATTAGGTGGAAGATTATTGAATTTTGCCCAGCCTCAATTCTTGCGGTTTTTGATTTTATATTTCAATGTCGACAATCCACCTTTATTACAAGGAATATTGATTTGTCTTGCTATGTTTGCCAACACACTTATCCAAACTTCGTTTAACAACGAATATATGTTGAAGAATCTTGAGGTTGGGTTGAATTGTCGATCATCATTAACCGCATTAATATATCAAAAAGCATTAGTATTGTCTACTGAATCCAAACTAAGAGCATCTACAGGAGATATCGTGAATCTAATGTCAGTGGATGTTAATCGTATCCAAAATGTATTAACGAACTTAAGTACTTTGATACTTGCACCCATCGATGTTATCTTATGTATTGTATCACTTTGGCCATTATTAGGTAAAGCAACATTGGCGGGAATTTTCACCATTATATTTTTAGTTCCCGTAAATGCAGTCATTATCAAATATCTGAAAAGATTAAATAAAACCCAGATGAAATTAAAAGACAATCGGTCTCGAATCATAAATGAAATCCTAACCACTATCAAAAGTATTAAATTATATGCCTGGGAGAATCCTATGTTTGCAAAACTTTCTGAAGCCAGAAATGATAAGGAATTGAAAAATTTGGTGAAAATAAGATTAGTGAATCAAGTTGGGTTATTCATTTGGAATGTCATTCCATTCGTGGTATCATTCTCGTCATTTGTTACATTTGTATTAATTCAAGATAAACCTTTGACATCAGATATTGTTTTCCCTGCATTAGCATTATTGAATTTATTATCTTCTCCATTATTGCAATTCCCTATGGTGATTACATCAATGATAGAAGCAGGTGTGGCTATTGAAAGAATTCGGAATTTCTTAATGAATGATGAAATCGATGAATCTATGATATTACGTTTCCCGGAAAGTTCCAAAAATAAGGACGATATCGCAGTAAGAATCGAGAATGCAACTTTTCATTGGAGTCAGGACAAAACCAAAGACATCAAGTACACCGATGAGGAACAAGAACAACAACAACAAACCCGTCATGTTCATGCATTACGAAATGTCAACTTTGAAGCCAAAAGAGGCGAGCTATCCTGCATTGTCGGAAAAGTAGGAAGTGGGAAAACATCATTATTATATGGATTATTGGGACAATTGAAAGTTACATCCGGTGATAAACCATTTCCGCCACTAATCCAAACTCGAGGAACTATTGCCTATTGTTCTCAACAACCATGGATCATGAATGCTTCGGTTAAAGAAAATATCTTATTTGGATGTCGTTTTGACCAAGAAGTTTATCAGCAGACTATAGAAGCATGTCAATTAATTCCTGATTTAGCGGTGTTACCTGATGGAGACGACACCCAGGTTGGGGAAAAGGGAGTTTCCTTATCTGGTGGTCAAAAGGCTCGTTTGGCACTTGCGCGTGCTATATATTCAAGAGCAGATATTTATTTGCTTGATGATATTTTGTCGGCTGTTGATTCATACGTGGGTAATCAAATAGTTCAAGGGGTATTGAGTAAACCAGATGGATTGCTTGCTTCAAAGACGATTATTTTATGTACTAATTCGACTGTCGTATTGAGTTCTGCAGATAAGATTTGTCTAGTAGAGGATGGAGAAATTACAGAAACATCTTCCTTCCAGGATGTAACAATAACAACGCACCCTAAGTTATATAACATTATAAACAACTTCAATAATACCACCACCACCACTGCGGGAGAATCAAGTTTATCCGATAGACCCCCAACGTCAAATATAATTGTCACTGATGATGAGGACCATTCACCAACTCCACAAACCGAGTATGAAATTGAAAACTTGGAAAAGGGAGACGAGCGTGAACTCGAACTAGTTCCCAAGATTGGCTCTTCCACCCCAACCCCATTTATTTCCCGAAGAGCAAGTGTGGAAACATTCAGATGGGATCCATTAGGGAAATTACTTCCTAATTTGCGTAGTGGACAAAATCGCGAAGTAAGTCAGACAGGAAAAGTCCAATGGTCAGTTTATTTTGCATATATCAAAGCTTGTTCTATTACCGGTGGGATATTCTGGTTATTTTTATTATTGATGGCTTCTGCACTTTCAGTGGGTGCAAATTATTGGCTTAAATATTGGACTGAGAAGAATTCTCAATCGGGTAAGAATGAAGATACATGGAATTTTATTATCGTATATGCTATATTTGGATTAGGTGCTACTATTATGACAGTTGCACGTGGTTCAGTTATGATGCTTTGGCTTGGTCTTAATGCATCTCGGAAAATACATGATAAGATGGCCAAAAGGGTCATGTATGCTCCAATGTCATTTTTTGAAGAGACTCCAGTCGGAAGAATTATGAATAGGTTTACGAATGACGTTAATAAGATTGATGATGGGATACCACAAGTTTTCCAAGGGTTTATTGCCCAGACAGTAAAGACAGTTTTCACGCTTGGGGTTGTTAGTTATGTTATACCTTTATATATAATCGTCATCAGTTTGCTTTCGATTATTTATGGTTATTATGAAATCTACTATGTGTCAATATCACGAGAATTAAAACGGTTGGTATCAGTGTCGCGTTCACCTATATATGGACACCTTGGAGAAAGTTTGAATGGAATAGATACAATCAGGGCATATAGACAAAACGACAGGTTTACATTCATAAACAATTCTAATATTGATTTCAATTTAAAGTCAGTATACATGTTACGGTCAATTAATCGTTGGCTATTTTTCAGATTACAATTTATTGGCGGGGTTGGTGTTTTATCCGCTTCATCTTTATCAATTTTGAGTTTAAGGTCATCTCACCCTTTGACCGCTTCAATGGCTGGGTTTGTCATGACGTATGCATTACAGGTTACAAATTCTTTGAAATTGGTAGTTAGAACTTCTGCTTCAGTGGAGACTTCTATCGTTGCAGTAGAACGGTGTTTGGAATATATGGATTTACCTATCGAGGAAGAAGAACAAGAGGCTCAGAACTTGATAAAACCACCACAGTCATGGCCAACACAGGGAGTAGTTCAATTCAAGAACTATTCAACTCGTTACCGTCCAAATTTGGACTTGGTACTTAAACATATCAATTTACATATAAAGTCAGGAGAACGAATCGGGATTGTTGGCAGAACAGGAGCAGGTAAGAGTTCATTAGCATTAGCTATCTTTAGAATAATTGAGCCAGTAGAGGGACATATTAATATAGATAAGTTAAACACCAGTCGGATATTTTTATATGATCTCCGAAGAAAATTAAGTATTATTCCACAGGATTGTCAATTAATTGAAGGCACTATTAGACAAAATTTGGATCCGTTTAATTATTATACCGATGAAGAAGTATGGGAAGCGCTTGAATTGGCACATTTGAAAGATCATGTTTTAAAATTTCTGGATGAAGAAAATCAATTATCATGTAAAGTCTATGAGGGTGGTTCTAATTTTTCATCTGGTCAACGTCAATTGATGTCTCTTGCAAGAGTGTTGTTAAAGATGAAGGATTCTAAAGTGTTGGTGTTAGATGAAGCTACTGCAGCTGTGGATGTCCAAACAGATAAGATCATTCAAGAAACAATTAGGAATCAATTTAGAGATAAGACAATCATTACCATAGCCCATAGGTTAGAAACTGTAATGGACAATGACAGAATTGTAACTTTAGAGAATGGAGAGGTACAAGAGTTTGATGCTCCAGGAAAGTTACTTCAAAACAAGGACGGTATTTTTTATAAACTTTGCAAAGAAGGTGGATTAGTTTAATATTAATAGATTTTATAACCTTCACAGCAAATATAGTTTGCAGCAATTGGAAACCATTGTTTTACTCTTCATTTAAAAATAAGCACTCTTTCCTTTCAGTCTACTGTTAGATGTAACATCGTATTGAAGTGCCACACATCCAACAACATTTTAAGTCACGAAAGAAGTTGTCGAGGCGTTCGAAGGAAGTGGTTCTTGCATTACCAAAGTTTAAACCCGTGCCGATGGTGTGGGGGTTGTAATTTTTTTTTCTTTAGTCGTGTAAACTGTTCAAAAATGTTCACTAATTTAGCGGATAAGAACCTACCGGGAAATCAATTTTGCTTTGAAGCGAAAAAGAAAGAAAAGGGTTTGTCGGTTCTTAAATCCAGAACTTTCTTCTAGCTATTAATATCCAACAAGTGCTGTTGATTACATTTTAACTTACCTTCACATACTCACATACAACAATATGGCTGCATCTGCACAACACGCTTCCAAGTTTGCTCGTTATATGAATTCAGAAACTGGTCCAAAAACTGTTCATTTTTGGGCTCCAGTATTTAAATGGGCATTAGTTATTGCTGGTATAAATGATATCCAAAGACCAGTTGAAAAGTTAAGTGGTACCCAACAAATCGCCTTATTCTGTACAGGTGCTATCTGGACCAGATGGGCAGGTTTTGTAATTAGACCAAGAAATATGTTATTGGCATCTGTTAACTTCTTTTTGGGTGGTGTTGCTGGTTATCAAATAATTAGAATTGTTAACTACAGACGTGATCTTGGAGAAAATCCTGCACAAGTATTCAAATATTTAGTGAATGGTGATCCAACCAAACAACTCGAAGCTGTAAAGGTTGAAGCTTCCGCTTAGAGAAGAAGCAGTTAGAGGATGGTGAGGGGAGGTATGTAAAGTGGTGCATATAGGTTGCCGTGCGAAGTGTCAGCAAGTGTAAACTATAGGAAATGGAGGATAATTGCGAGGAAAGCATTGTGTATAATAGGCAGATTATATCTATTTATTTTGCTATTTATTTTTATAATACAGATAAAGATTGTTTAACTATCGAGTAACATTTCGTCATCATCTTCGGATTCGGCTTCCGAATTTGTAGGTTCGGGTCTTGCATGTTTTGTGACATTACTTAAGGAACCTAAAGGTATACTATCAGTATCATCAGTGTCGGAACCATTATCGTTGTCGAAACTATGATCAATATTACTATTGTGATGATATTCCTCGTCACCAGACTTTATTTCTATGATTTCAATTTCATCCTCATGATCATGATCATGATCATCTTCACGGTGTTGGTCGTGTCTTTCTGTTTCTTGTTCAATTTCCCGGATAATTTCCAGCTCTTCTTCTTCTTCTACTTCTTCATCTTCAGAACTTTCAGAACTAATGTCGCGTTCTTTCACAGTTTCATTTTTGATTTTGTCAACTTCTTCAATTGCACCAGCTAATTGTTTATTAAGGAAATCATCCAAATAATTATTTCTAGTTGTCCAACGACTATTTTCAACTAAGATTTGATTCTTGATTAATTTCAATACTTCATATTTCAATCTTCTTTCAATTCTTAGACGATATTCAAGATTTATAAGTTGATTTATTACTTTATAATCAGGAAAAGGTAGTGAAGATGATGGATCTAAAGAAAACATTTGATCTAATTTTACAATTCTTGGATATTCCCCCTGTGAATCTTTAACAATCGAATTTAATAATGATTCATTTCCATATAATTCTAAAGTTTTTATTGAAAATTTAAATGAAGGCAATCGTACCGAAGAAGATAAATTTTCAAAATCTTCATTCAAAGTTTCTAAATTATCATTAACTCTAAACATCTTTCCTAACATCTTATTATATTCTTGAATATCATTTTCAATGAATGTCTGTTTTTGTTCAAATTCCCATTGTTTATAATCTTTATAAGTTTTATTAACTTTAAAAGAATCCAATATAAACTTCTTCTTTATTGCTTGTAAGCCTTCTTTATTATCATTATTTATTAATTGTTCATTAAATTGAAGTAATTCATAAGCTGAATCAAAGGTTTCAATCGATCTTTCAAGTTCCAGTTGCAATAAATCGACTCTTTCGTCACCAGAGTAATTACTAGTATATACCATTATCCTGTTTCTTCTATACCCTTAGCTCTTTTACACTTCTTCAAGGGCAGCTCTAATCTATCGATCGATGGTTTCGAGGTTTGTTTAATTTTTTTTCAGTGGGTGTCTCACAACAACAATAGGAAAAACAGTGTTGCCAAAAATCATATAATCAGAAACAACGAACAACCAGACCAATCCCATAATGACCGGAGAGTCAATAAACTCATTGACAGAAGAATCCATAAGAACAGAGCTCTACAAATCAACCCAGAGACTCTCAAACTTAAATCTATTCCAAGCAGCAAAATGGTGTGCAGAAGCTTTAAATGGGTTGCCAAAACCAATCCAACCAATGTCTTATCCTTCTCCAACTGAGAACGTTACCGAAAATGAAAGATTAGATCAGGATACGTTCCTACTCGCAAAGATGTATTTCAATTGTAAAGAATTCGATCGGGCTGCTCATGTGCTTCAAAATTGTCATAGTGGTGATGCGATGTTCTTGAGATTATATTCAATCCTAATTTCAGTGGATAAATTGGCAACTGAAGAAACTGATGGGTCTATCAATATTGGATTCGTGAATACAAATGATGAAGCAAGTGAGAATTCCACCAAGGAGACTATTAATTCTTTGAATTCAAGACTATCAAAAGTCTTATTAGAATCAGAAGAATTTCTTAAACAGGAAGAGAATCCGTTTTTATATTACCTAAGTGGAATGATCTATAATAAGAAAAAGAAGTATCAACTAGCACAAACTAGTTTGTTCAAATCTTTGGAATTATTTCCTTATAATTGGTCCTGTTGGCAAGAATTAATCGCATCATTAACTTCATTTGAAGAAGCAATTGGATTCATCAACAAAATAAAATCAAGCAAAAGCAATCTAGCCGGTAATATCATGTTTTTATTCTTTGAAGTGGTCATACTGCAAGAATTCTATCATCAACTGACATCATTATTCGATACATTAAACCTCCTAACCAATCTATTTCCCAAATTCACATTTTTAAAAGTCCAACAATTCCTAATATCCTATCATAACCTCGATTACTTCCATGCCGAACAAATATTTGATCAAATCCTAATAGATGACCCGCTAAGACTCGATGATCTAGACACATATTCAAACATGTTATACGTGATGGAAAAACGATCAAAACTATCATTCTTAGCCCAATTTGCATCCCTGATTGACAAATTCCGTCCGGAAACATGTTGTATATTAGCCAATTATCACTCCATGAAATGTGAACACGAAAAAGCGATAATGTATTATAAACGAGCCCTAACCCTCAATAAAAACTGTTTAAGTGCTTGGACTTTAATGGGTCACGAATTCGTTGAGTTGAAGAACTCACATGCGGCAATTGAATCATATCGACGGGCAGTTGATATCAACCCTCGTGATTTCCGAGCCTGGTATGGATTAGGACAAGCTTATGAAGTTTTGGATATGCATTTGTATGCGTTGTATTATTATCAACGAGCAACTAACCTCCAACCATTGGATAAACGCATGTGGCAAGCTTTAGGGAATTGTTATGAAAAGATTGATCAATTACAAGAAGCCAATAAGGCTTTTGAGAAGGCATTGACGATTAGTAAAGCGTCAACGGAACAAAATGCTGAATCGGAGGTTGTGAATGTTGAACCTCATATATGTTATCGATTGGCTATGATTGCTGAGAAATTGGGGAATAAGAAGGATACTTTAAAGTATATGAAATTATGTTTTCAACAAGAGTTTGATTGGGGTGTGAGTGATGAAACTTCAAAGGCGAGATTATGGCTAGCTAGGTACTCGCTTGAACATCGTAAGTTTAAGGAAGCATATGAGTTGGCGAGAGAATTGCATCATAGTAACGCACATGATATCGAAGAAGCGAGAGCAATTGCACGAGAAGCTCGTAATAGAATGCTGAAATAGGGTGTGAGGTTTTTGCTAAATAGAAATATCTGACTCGTTTGCAATTAAAGTTGTTAAGATTAAATTAATTAAAATATATATATATAAAGACAATCATCTACTCTATTATTAAAGAATTATTATTATATAGATGAGATGAGATATGGATATAGCACAAGTAATGGTTTTTTTTTATTAAAGGGTCCTTTTTTAATAATCAATTATCTCATTAGTCAAGGTAAACAAATCATCCACAGTTTCAATATTGCTTAAAGTATGTTCAATTGCATTTGGTAATACATTAACCAAACGAGTGATTTCTTCCTTTGAAATACCAGTGTTTATATTTATTAATAAATGAGGAGGTAAAACTGGTAAATTTTCATGTTCAAGAATTAATTTAGTTCTAGTTATTAAAATTCCTGAATTTTTTAATACATAATCAATAATTTTTTGCATTATAAATGATTCAAGATTAAAATATTCATCAAATTCATTTAAATTCTTTGAAGGTTTTGATTTAGTTAAAAAAGTTGTATTTCCATAATAAGGCAGTAAATCTAATTGCAGACGGAATTCTTGAGTTAATTGAATATGAATCATTGGAGATTGAGGAGCTGAAGTTATGAATAATTTCGTACCTTTTAATACTTTTTCCAAACTTTCATATGCAAAAATTGTATTTGAATGTAAATTAGTTAATAATTTAGATTTACCAGTGGTTGAATCTAAATTATTACAAATTTCACTAATTGCTTGAGAAGCCACTTTTGCTGAATATGGAGGTAATGATGCACTAAAGACATAAGCATTAGATTGAATTCTTTGATGGATAACCATTGGAGCAACACCTACACAGAATCCACCAGAAGAAGCAAATGAATTTGCCATTGAACCAATTGTGATTGAAATTTCCGAACGAGGAACTCCATAATGTTCAGGTAATCCTTTACCAGTTCCACCCAATACACCAATTGAAAGTGATTCATCTAAAAATAATCTATATTTATATTCATTTTTTAATTCAGCAATTCTTGGTAAATTAGCAATATCACCAGTATTAGCAAATAAAGCTTCAGTAATGATAAATCTTCTTTTAATTGGTTTTTGTTTATCCAATACCGGTTTTAATTGAGATAAGATTTCTTCTAAATGGTCCATATCATTATGATCATACCATTCAATATCAGCACGACTAACAATAAGTGCTTTTTGAATGGCAATATTAATACCACTATCAACCACACATAAATCACCTCTTTTCAAAAATGCAGGAATAACCGATCCAGCAGTAACAAAGTCTTGACCATAAATGATAGCTAATTCAGTATCGAGATATTTTGCTAAATCTTCTTCTAATCTAACATGAACATCTTGAGTACCATAAAAATTTGGTGGACCACAAGCACCAACACCAGCACTACTAATTTCTATTCTTGCTGCGTCATGAAGGTTTTCATTTTCATTAAGATTAAGAAAATCTTGAGATGCTAAATTTACTATAGTTCCTTCAGATTGTTCAAGGGTTACATGAGCACCATTTTTACCAATAATAGTTGGAATTGATTTTAAGTTCCAATTTTCCAAGGGAGTAATATCTTCAATTAAAGATTCAGGTATCCAATCGTCACATAATTCATCAATTTCAGTTTTAGTTAATTTGAGTAATTCTGCTTTATTTTCTTTACGTTTTGCACTAAAGAAATATGATAATGCAAATATAAATAATGTTAATTCAAAAAGTGATCTTATTGGATCATCTTGATAAGACAGTTTAATATATCTAAGAATGATTTGACCACCTGGTAATCTATCAAGTTGATTTAGACAATATAAGAAATTTTGTGCTAAAGATTCAGTTACAATTTCCCATGTTGGTGGTAATATGGT